AATTTGGGCGAGGTGAGGTGATCAAGAAACCCAAGGCACCCAACGCACCCAAAGCACCCAAAGCACCCCAAACGACTCACCCCCCCCAAGAACTAAACTACTCCCAAGCCAAAACCAGGTCAAGCCCAAAAGACACACGCCAGACAAGCAAGCCACATATATCGACCAGCTCTGGCTATGATATCATTTTCTCACCTACCACCCCTGGTTCATGGTCCATAGTCCTTCACATTATCTGCCTTCTGTGTCAAGGGCTCCTTTAGCTGCACCAAACATGATCCTTTTTTTTCTCTTTTGCACAGCGAATTCTGTGAATTGAGACCACCTCAGAATGCCAGAGACGTCTCCTGAAGCAGATACGCATCTCGATTCACCACCAGAGACGACAGATTCGACTTCAACAGATCTTTGCCTCCGTGGCCCGGGGAGGGTCTACCCTCTGCGATCGATAGTCGTGCCGACACATCCCCTAGCACTTCCCTTCCGGTCTTCATCAACAAGCAGTTCACAACATGTTCCCAGCCTGTGCAACGAAAAACCCGAGTGGGAGGACCGGGATGGCTGCTGCGAGCAACCCTCCATTAGTCAGCCGAGCACCCCGCCCGAGCAACGTATCCCGTCATGTGACTCTCCTATACAACAATCACCACAATCTCCTTACCATCAGCATGTTCCACATCAACAACCGGACGGTGCGGGCTCAATAACCCCTACTAAGCAAGTCGACTATGCCTCGGGTGCGGAGGTTCGAGATGCGCTGAACCTCGAGACCCTCGGCTCCCTCACTCCCTTATCGCATCGCCAGTACGACGGCGTTGACTCCGATGAGGACAGTCTCGCTACCACAAGCACCTCCAAACACTCACAGGCGTGCGAAGATGAGCCAATACACAGACCCGGCGCTGTGCAATGTTTCGGGGCGTTGGTGGTGTTGGAACAAGTCGACGAGGGGACGTTAATGGTACAGCTGGCTAGCGAAAACTCCGAGGCGATCATTGGGCACTCCCCCCAGAATTTATTCACCTTGAACAGTTTCTCTGACCTGTTAAGGAACGATCAGGATGGCATCTTGAGGGATCATGTGCAACTAACCGAGGAAGAACAGTGGAGTCCCGCCGTCGACGGGCCGGAGATCTTCAAGTTAGCCATCAACGACCGACACGGACATCCCCAGCGATTTTGGTCGGCAGTCCATCGCAATCCCGCCCACTGGCATCTGATTATTTGCGAGTTCGAAAGTGAGATCGACCGTCTGAATCCGATCAACACCGCCGGACAGACCCTCCCGGCGAAGCCCACGGATATCTTAGGATTCGAACCGACACCCGACCAAATAGCGAGCAGCACCATGAAAATCAGTCAGCCGTTACGCCTGCTACGGAACAGGCGCAGGAAGCCTGGCGAAATGGCATCAATGGAGGTTCTCAATATCATCAGCAAGGTCCAGGATCAGCTGGGCAGGACGCAAGATCCGGATACGCTGCTCAACGTCTCGATCGGCTTAATCAAGGAGCTGACTGGGTATCATCGCGTCATGATATACCAATTTGACAGTGAGAACAATGGGAATGTTGTTGCCGAGCTGGCGGATCCGAGATTCACGAAGGATATCTTCAAAGGTCTGTCCTTTCCAGCTTCGGACATACCCAAGCAGGCACGCGATCTTTACAAGAAGAGCAAGGTCCGGCTGCTGTACAATCGCGATCATATCAGTTCCCCGCTTGTCTCGCGAGATTTTGAGCATGCCAAAGCTCCTCTGGACATGACTTACGCCTTCCTGCGGGCAATGTCGCCATACCATATCAAATACCTGGCTCAAATGTGTGTACGTTCTTCGATGTCGATTAGTATCAATGATCACGACGACCTCTGGGGCCTGATCATCTGTCATTCCTACGGGGATCACGGCATGCGAGTGCCCTTCCCAGTCATTCGATTGACCAGATTGATTGGAGACTCAGTCTACCAGAATATCAAACGCTTGTCCTGCATGTCCCACCTGGAAGCCAGCAGTCCCGCCAACCAGGCGACCGCAAGTGAGATCATGAAACAAGACGGCCCCACCTCGGAAGCGTTGCTCAAACTCTTCGATGCGGATTTTGCGGCTCTTTCGATCCGAGGACGAACGAGTATCCTCGGCCCGTGGACGGATTTCCAGGAGATCCTGGCTGTGGTCGAATATTTCCGCTCCCGCAGGCTGGGCTCTGTTGTGGCCTCGAACCATCTCAAGCGCGATTTCCCTGATTTGCACTTTCCTCCCGGCATCCATGCGGTCTCGAGTGTCATGTATGCGCCTCTCTCTCTACATCGGGAGAACTTCATTGTCTTTTTCCGGCGGACACAAATGCGGAACATTCGATGGGGTGGAAATCCATATGAAAAGCTACGGATGGAGCCGCGCCATGACTTTCGGGTCTGGCGGGAAACCGTCGTGGACCGATCTCGGGAGTGGACCACCTCGCAGACCGATAATGCCGCGGTGCTTGGCATGGTAGGCTCTCAAGTCTCGAGCGACTGGCAGACGGAGACGGAATCCTTGTCCGCCAGCCAACGCGCGCAGTCGGGCGATGAAATCCGCAACACCCTCAACACGATCTTGAAGAATTTGGGCGTGGTGCTCGGGGGATCCCTTGACCTGGAATTCCAAGACAGTGTCAGTCGATCTTATTCTGCATCCAAGTCTCTTCTCTATGTGATCAACGACCTGCTAGACATCACCAAGAAAGAGCAGGGGCAGACCCTCGTCAAGGATGAAGTATTCGATCTTTCTTCGTGCTTTCAGGAAGCCACCAGTATGTTCGAGACCGAGGCGCAGCGCAAGCAACTGTTCTACAAGGTCATCCATCAGCCGGGGATTCCCCAGGGCGTGCTAGGCGACGAGCGGCGCGTGCGTCAGGTGATCTCGAACCTCATCGCCAACGCCATTCAGCACACCTCTGAGGGAGGAGTCACCGTTGAAATGTGGCGAGACTCGATCAGTCCCGGCCCGAGGCGCGCCATCATCAATATCACCGTTACTGACACTGGGTGCGGCATGTCGTCGGAGACCTTGGATACGCTGTTCTGCGAGCTGGAGGAGATCTCGCTGGAGCGCCACAGCGGAGCAGAAGAGACTTGCACCGCGCTGGACCGGCCACAAGACCATGTTCTCGGGGTGGGACTGGCCCTGGTCTCTCGGATTGTGCGCAACTGCCACGGGCAGCTTGTGGTCCACTCCGAGGAGGGCAAAGGCAGTCGGTTTGCAATATCTTTGCAATTCGATACTGGGTAGTATACGCACCTGCCTGCTCGTCTTTACACGATATACCTTTTCGTTTTTTTCTCTCTAATTACCTCCGGCTCGCCATGGCTAGCGCATATGAATTGGCCCATGACGCGCCATTCCCCTGGATTCCGCAAAAGCAGCGGACCAGATTAGCGATCTTTCATCTGCATGAGACCAGAATGCCGGTCATGCTGCTCTGTATATATATATTCATCTCGTTGATTTTGGGCTCTCTTGGTTGTAGTATTACCCTCTGTCAGCGTTCGAGCCGGCCATCCTGGATGATTTATTTTCCTACTTCTAAGATCTTCCTTTGCCCGATTTGGGAATTTTCGGAGAATGAATGATGACGATTTCGATTACATTGACGATTAGTATATACATCGACGCAAACTGTCGACTGGTAATTCTTCCGGTGATACAATGAGACGCGTCTTCTTTTGTCCATCTAGGTAACAATACCTAATGTTCACGGTATTGATTCTAATAGACTATCCCAAATCATAGCTTCGGACCCATGATTGGCACATGATTTCGATGTTCTACCGTGGCTCGTGCTGCGGGATTATTCTTTGTTTTGTTTTATTGACACAATAAGCATTGTTCTGCGTCGAATCGGAACACCGCCGGACTGGTGAGACAACGTACTTGCCACATCTACCTGTGCGCGCTCCCGCACAATACAATCACATCATCATCTCACCAGCAGCTCGCGATAAGAAACCCGTCTCAGCACACTGCATTCTGCAACTGAGTTCATTTGCTTCCTCATTTTGCATTCTCTGTGAAAGCTTTCGTCACGAGATGAAATATAGGCGTCGGAACCTGAAATCTGAGTGGAGATGCGTATCTCTCAAGGTCAGTGGATGGGATCAGAAACAGGTACGACGCATGGCAATAGATCTCTACCCAGTTCGAGAAAAAGCCTCAGATGTGTTTCAAAATCAAATCACGCGCCAGAACTGACCGTGTCTCCCCACCAATCGATTCATCAATGCATTATCACATATGCCACGTGAGAGAGGTTGATAAGCACTAATCGCTTAGCTGCTCTCACGTACGCAAGTTGCAGCACTAAGTTAAACAAGACGGTCCGAGGTCCAAACCTCTCTGACTGAGCTACGATAACGGGACCAGAATATAAACGACGACATGCCGATTCAAATGCAGCACAGCACTGTCACAACCGCAGCTATCTCGAACCCACAATGACAACCCCCCAAGCCCATCCCATCCCATCCTTCGACATCGCAGCAGCTGACATCGCAAAAGAAGCTGAAGACCTAGTCAACTATCTCGAACAATCTGTTAATAAACTCATCGCTTCTGTTGGGAGCTCAGAACTCACCTTCGACACAGTAATCCGGCCGCTGGCCGCCATCGACAACGAGCTACGAGCTCGCGTGCAGTACATCGCGCTATTCAATGGTGTCTCTCCTTCCGCCCCTATCCGACAGGCCTCGTCGGCAGCAGACAGCCGGGTGATCCAGGCGCATCTGGCACTGTTCCAGCGGGACGACCTGTTTGCTCTCGTTGACGCGGTCCATGCCGATCCGCACCAGCACGCGTCCGTCGACGAAGAGGACCAGAAGCTACTCAACAGATTCCACCAACTGTTCGTGGAGAACGGCTTGAGACTGACTGGGGTGGATCGTGGGCGGTTCAACTGGATCACACGGCGCTTGGTCGATCTGCGGGTGGAATTCATGCAGAACCTCAGCGCTGATCCGGGATCTGCGTGCTTCAGCGAGGACGAACTTGCAGGGTTAACCGTCAACGGCTTCGACGCCGTCGAGGATGACATCACTGACCCGACGGTGAAACGGTACTCGGTTCCCCTGACAAAGCCGGTGGTGACGAGGATCCTCTCTCACTGTCGTGTGGCCCAAACCCGGAAGGAGGTGTTCCTCCTCAACCAAAACAGATACAAGCCGAACGTTGAAATCTTCCGGGAGATAGTGATCCTGCGCGACGAAGCCTCGCGGCTGCTGGGGTTCGAGTCCTTTGCACACCGGAAGCTCCAGCAACACCTCGTGAAATCCCCGGAGCAGGTAGAAGAGTGGTTGAAGGAGCTCCAGACTGCGTTGCAGCCCCTCGCGCAACGGGAGATCGAGCAGCTGCGGACTGTCTCAGGAGCTCACGCGATTCACCTCTGGGATCTGGACTTCTACCACAACCGCATCCTCCAGGAGCAGTACCAAGTGGACCACGAGCGCGTGGCGGAGTACTTTCCAGCCAAGGGCACCATCGAGCGCATGCTCGGTATTTTCGAGAATCTGTTCAGCGTGCAATTTGAGAAGCTCGACGTCGCAGGAAAACACACTTGGCACGCGGACGTGGATGCGTACGCAGTCTGGGAGGCCGACAAGTCGGCCTTTATCGGGTATCAATATGTGGATATCTACCCCCGGCCGGGGAAGTACAACCACGCGGCGAATTTCAATATCTATCCGGTGCAGACTCTTCCTTCCAACCCGTTCAAATATCGGGAGTACCTAACCGCAAAACAGGCATACCTCAACAGCGAGGGCAAAAGAACCCCCGTCGTAACAGCGCTGGTCTGCAATGTCTCGCGTGGAGAGCCGGCTCTCCTCCGCCACCAAGAAGTGATCACTATCTTCCATGAACTCGGACACGGTATGTTCCTTCATACTAAACCTCATTCCACAACTATGTGTAGTAGAGGAAACTAACCAGAGAAAAAGGAGTGCACGATCTCCTCGGCAAATCCAAATACGCTCTTTTCCACGGCCACCGCACCGTCGCGGACTTTGTCGAAGCGCCCAGTCAGCTCTTGGAGGCTTGGTGCTGGGTCCCGGACTGCCTGCGCCAGCTAAGCTGCCACTATAGTTATACACCATCACGGACGACTCCAGCTTCCGCCAACAACAACGAGCAGCCTCAATCACCACCACCACCACCAAGATCCCTCCCAGACACCCTCCTAACCTCCCTCCTCTCCACAAAACCCCTCAATCAAGCCCTCCTCACCCTCCGCCAAATCGCCCTCAGCACTTTCGACATGGCCGTCCACCACCCTTCCTCCCACGCCGCGCTTCAGAGCCTGAATATCCCCGCTACATACAACCGTCTTATCGAGGAGACCACCTTCCTCCGGGGTCCTAGTAGTCCTGTTGCCGCTCCCAATCCCGAGACCTCCACCTCTAATTCCCCCGAAGACGACTGCTACACCTACGGAACTGCCTACATCACCACCGCGCACTTTGTCTGGAGCCTGGAGGCAAATTATTATTCCTATCTATTGTGCGTGTGGGTCCCATCCCTTCCGTATCACTCAGTCCAACTATCCCAACGGGCAGTATCAGTCCGGGTAGTGCATAAGTGGACTTATCCCACGCATGCATCGAAGTACTCCGTACATAGGTCAAGCTAACGTGTGTCTGTCTGTGTTGGGGAATAGCACCCGCATGCTAGCAGCGGATCTCTGGACCTCGCATTTCCGAGCCGATCCGATGAGTCGGGCGGCTGGGTTGGCGTATCGACATGGCATCCTCGAGTTTGGGGGAAGTAGAGATGAGTGGGGTCTTCTTACAAGTTTTCTGGGGAGGGAGCCGGATATGAGAGCTTATTTGGGGGAGTTAGGGGTGGAGGGCGAGGGTGAAGAAGTGGGATGAGAAGGAAGGTGTTAGCAGAGTAACTCATTCATATGTCGGGTTTTCTAGGTCCCCCCCCCCTTGTTCGGGAATCCGGCTTCTTGTTTCGTGATGGGGGGTGGTTGGGCCTGACTAGGAGTTTACAGAGAGGAACAGATGGTCGGTATCGACGTCACTACTCGGAATTCAGAGCTAGGTGAGCAGAGATTGTCTTGCCCGGGATCATACGGGCTAATGGGCTATGAAAATAGATTATATAACGTAAGGTGTAACCGACAGAGCTGCCGATCAAGACATCAATCGACCAGCATGCAGTGAAGAGAAATTTGGGAGAAATCAGTAGCCCCGAGAAAAACTTCTGTGTGACAAAGCCAGACAGAAGGCCAAAAAGTGCACATCCAAAATTTTTTGTCAGCAAGATCCTAGGTACCCCGTCCATTTGGAAGATAGCAGAGACAGTCAGCACGGCAAGCATCGCGACTATCACGAGCACTATCCCATCTCCGAGCAATCCACTCACTCCTGCGAGCGCTTCCACCGTCCCAAACTCTCTGCCAGCGCCGTCTCCGTCGACGGACTCGGCGTGCTCGTGATGGTGACGTCCGTGCGCTGCAGCACCTGAATGCTATTATGATGAGCTTTGACCGGGCTGGTCAGGGCTATCTCGCCTTCCTCGAGCCGCGAGTAAGAACTCTCGGAGGTGCGCCACGCCTTGGCGACCTGCTGGCCCGTGGCCGGGGGCCGAAACTGCGGGTTCTGGATCGATGACTGTGTGCGGCTGCGACAATAGTCGCTGATGCGGAGCTTACGGCGGAGCCCGCTGTCCATGAGGAGCTTCGAGAGACAGGGCATGCTGAAGATGAAGAACCCACAAGCCATCTCGGCAAACGCCCAGAAGAGCAGCGGCGCAATCATGTACATCTGATCGGCTGTTTTGGCGAAAGAGACCGTGTGGGCGAGGCGAAAGCAGGCGGAAATAGGTGCGCTGTTCGCGAGTGGGAGGGTCAGTTAGCTGTGTCTAGATGATGTAGTCGGAGTTCAGTGGGTGGAATGTGGGGGATGTTTTACGAAGCCAGATGGAAGGAGGAGGCGTACAGAATACCAGCACCGAATATAACCGAAATACCCATCTTCTTCTGCCAGCTCATCTGCAGCCCCCAGATCATACTTTGTGGAAGAAGGAACATGGTGATGTCGGAGAAGACTTGCACGGCAGCCGAGCAAAGCATTACCTTCGGCAGGGAATAGCATTTGCTGGGAACGTAGAACTCCCAGATCGCTCGATGCGGGCGGCACTGCGCGTTCAGCAAGATGATGCACAGTAGCCCCCAGAGACACTGCAATGCGCAGACCGCCATACATACCCACCAGAAAGGAGTCTTGGCACCATCGACAGGCACGAAGATCCGACACCAGTCAAGCAGAATGGCAGACTTGATCAGGGGTAGGACGGCTGAATAGCAGCAGCCGTAGACCAGGATGAGCTAGGCCATATCAGCTGCAATGCCAGAAGGTCGGAAACTCGATTGCCCTTACATATAGAGGTCTGACAAGATCGCCCATGTGAAGATTCCATTGATGAACGAAGTAACCCGGAATGTGGATCATCTCGTAGCCGGCATAGGCGGTTCCCCAGTAAGAACCCTGATATGATGAGCATTGACGGCATGCAGATCGGAAAGGCGACACATACGAAGGCACCAACCATCAGGACTAAAGAAATGAGAGACTATCAGTTAGAGCTGCACATGTCGAGCAAAATGGGTTCATAGCCACCAACCATCCTCGAGACGAATAGAACGATCCAACCACACACGCACATGGATGCGAAAAAAAACGCACAGTGTGGCAATGATCGTGCAAACAGTGATGATGCCCCAAGCCATGTTGTTGTGGTTCGGAGGATTGTCAAAGTTAGGGATGACGCCTTCTGGGGCCGCAAGGGCCGGCTGGGCAAGCAGCGTGGCCAACTCGCTGGTAGACATTGTGAGGGGTGACCCTCCGTCCCTCACGGTGGGCTACATCGAATTATAAGTTGTTTGTCGAGTGTGACAGGTCGAAAGGGGGTTCAGTGATGAAGTACGATCGGGGCCAAACCACATGGCTCTGTGTCTCACACTGCCCGGTGATTGACATCTATCAAGTAGAATCAGAATTTCTGACGGATTGCATTTGCGTATCTGCGTTCGGCTTGCTCTCCACTCACGGCCCGTTCGCCAGATGACAGGAAGACATCCGCACCAACCGTCGTCGAAAGGTGGAGAATGGTGAAGGACCTCCTTATCAACGGCCCTCAATTCTTGACAGCCGTATTTTACGATGATTGAGCCCACCACGGTGCCACTGCGGTTCCACTACCACATTGGCTGTGCCGATCCCTGTCGCGGACGCACTTAGGGTTTACGCCCAACTGCAGGACGGGATACCTTTTCCAAGTGATGGGCATCGCACCCGCCCAAAACACGGGCAAATGGCCCAATCCAAGCGCATTGGGCTCGGGCAGTCGAACAAAGTCCATTGTGATGGTTCGGCTATCCATGATTCATTGGTGGGTTGGGCATTCATTGAATTCCGCTGGATGGATGGATGGGCTGTCGGCAGTAATGCAAGGGTGACCGATGATCACCAATCCTTATTCCTTTCCCCACCTCAACGCCAAGTGATTAGCAGCAACAGATCGTCTCGACGATTCCTTTGAAAACAGCTGCACTTCGAACAATCACATTCGAATCTCCAACCAGAGGCAACAATGGCCCCTTTCAGGACTGGTAGAGATAGTATTGTAAGCGGACGGTCTGTGCGTAGGAAGATGGAACCATTCCTCCCAGGCGGTTCGTCGCGGCGATCTCGGAGCTAGCCTACTTATAGGCGTCGCTATCCCACTGCTGAACCTCAATCGCGAGACCCTGGTTTTTCGAAGCTGGTTGCGACCGGTGAGTCTTCTTCGTGGCCGTTGAGCATTGTACTTGTAGCACGCGACTGAAATAGGAATTCCTAGTGTCTCAAATGAATCATGGGCCCGTAAGGGTGGAAGAGCACTCCTGCGCGGGCGGACCTGCGCAAGATGATGGCCGAACAACCGTTGCCTGCTCTGGAACCCGACCTCATCGACCCTGTGACAATGGCTGACGACGAACCCACGGTTCGGGTGCGCTCTGTGCTCGACCAGCTCAACAAGGCCCTGTCCAGCCAGAACATGGAGACACTCCAGACTGTTTCTATGCCAGCCAAGCGTACTGGAAGGACCAATTGGCGCTGACATACCACCTTCGCACCTTCAACACGCCGAGTGTGATTGCTGCTGCGCTCTTGGAGACTGCTCCCCCGCGCGGACTGGGAGAGGTGTCTGTAGACGGGGCTGCGGTCTTTATCCCTGCGACACCCACCCTGGTTAGTTGGTTCCTAGTTAATCCTGCGTCGAAATGCTTACCGACATCAACACCTAGCAACTCATCGACTGCGGAATCACTTCTCGCACGAGCTCCCCGGCGGCGACAGGCAAAGGCAAGGTAGTCCTCCTGCCAATGCAGACTACGGACAAGACAATCGTGTGAAAGATCTGGGTCCTGAGTACCATTTTAGAGGGCTTGGATCTTCACCCAGAAGATCAGGGACTGTTACAGGGAGCGAGCAAAGAATATCATGATTCGGCCAGGTTCGAAACCGATGTGTTCATCATCGGAGGTGGAAACGCGTGAGTGCAAAGAGAGAGAAAGAGAGAAAGAAAGAAAGAAAGAAAGTGACTGACAGAGCTTGTGGCTAATGGAAGGTGTGAATGGCAGAGCTACCGCGTTGGCGGCGCGGCTGAAGGCACTTGGGGTGGAGAGAGTGTCATGGCCGAGCGCAACCCCCGCGTGGGTGACAATTGGGCTCATCGCTACGACTGCATGCGCTTCCACGTTCCCACCTCCTTCTGTGACTTTCCATTTATGCGTGAGTCTCCTATCTTCAGAATCACACCAGCTCATCCGTCCTGACAAGACGTCTTCGACTTGACCTACTAGCATACGGCCCTGACCTCCGGTCCCCCCATCTGCTCTCGCGCGACGATTTGGCCGAGCAGGTCAAACGATATGTTGCGACTTTCCAGCTCAACATCATCACGTCGGCGCACATCCAGCCAACCCACTACGACCAGACGACCCAGCAATGGCAGATCAAGCTCCAAACTCCCAGCGGCCAAAAGCCAGCCGTCGCGAAGCACCTCGTCCTCGCTTCAGGCATCGCATCCCAACAGCGCTACGTACCGTCCCTCCCCAATCAAGAAACCTACCAAGGCATCAACATCCACTCAACTCAATACCAAAATGCCAGGAAGCTCGTCGATCAGGCCGCTAAGGTAAGCACGCAGCGAACCCAACCTCTACACCCCCCAAACAGGCTAACCCAAACCAACGCAGACCGTACTGATCATCGGCTCCGCAAACACAGCCTTCGATATCCTGGAGGACTGTCACGCCGCCGGCCTTCAAATCACGATGGTTGTGCGCTCACTCACCTACATCGTCCCGATCGAATACCTCCTCGACAAGCGCAGCCTGGGCGCCTACGACTTTGGCGTCGAAGCCGCCGACCGGCTCTTCCTCTCCCTGCCCAGCGTGATTGACAGCCAGCTGGGTGACGGCTTGATGAAACTCTTCTCATCGCAGGAGTCCTACCGCTACGATGCCCTCGCCGCGACCGGCTTCCCAGTCCGCGACAGCTCCCACCGCGAATCGGTCCTCATGCACAACCTCCTCGAGCGGGCGGGCGGCCACTACGTCGACATTGGTGGAACCAAGCTGCTCAGCAAGGGGAAAGCCGGCGTCAAGGCGAATGTTGAACCGACCGGCTACACGGCAACCGGCCTGCAATTCTCAGACGGCAGTACGTTGGACGCTGACGCGGTGGTTTGGTGTACTGGATTCGCAGATCGACATGTTCGTGATACCACGGCGTCTATCCTCGGTGGTGGTGCTGCTACTGCTCCATCGTCAAATTTGTCAGACGTAGATAAAAACAACACAGATGCTACAGCCGGTACTACTCCCATCCTCGGCCCCGACGAGATTGCTGCCCGCGTCGACGCAACCTGGGGCGTAGATGCAGAGGGAGAAATCCGCGGCATGTGGAAGCGCCATCGGCTGCTCGACAACTTCTGGATCATGGGTGGATTCACGCAGCAGCATCGCTGGCATTCGCGCACGCTGGCGGTGCAGATCAAGGCCGCCTTGGAGGGTGTTTTACCGCTTGCGTATCGAGATACTCCGCGTGTCTAGAGCGTTGCACTTGTGGGGGTTGGGGGGGGAAGGGGAGGTTGTGTTCGTGGAAGGGAAGCTTCTTGCACATATTTCTTCAAGTTGGGCTGGCTGTTTGATTGTGAACTGTACGGGGAGCGCGAAGGTATGGTATATCCTTGGCGCTTCTTAGCTTTGTTAATCTTGATGCCAACACGTGCGGATAAGTATATTCGTATCTGCTTTTTGGAAGATTGTTGGAGCTCGCGTGATGCTATTCAATTGCAGCTCATTTGTTTGCCAGAAATTAGTGCTGTGTCTGAACAATTTCCCCCGTGAGGTGCTTTGTCCGTTCACGAAAAAGCACAAATACTACCTCTTGGGGTGGAGCTCGTTATATTTGATGCGGCGGGCAATTTTGGGCGGCGCATCTGAGTTGACAAGTCTGTGTGCACTACAGAAGATCAATAACAAAATCTTACACTATAACGAGGCTGATTACATCACGGTTGAAGGTGGCTAGTATTGCAGATTGAATATTCGACGCGTGATTGAGGAAACGTGCTCTCCGCGACACCTGTACTCTATTGGTACAGAGGTCCTTCTATCAGTTCCAAATCATACTCCCGCCTAGCAAATTCCAAATCTCCCATGGTATATATGTTTAGATCGTATCCGGCGCCCAAACACGCCTGAGACTGTGGCTAGATAATTGTTATGAATGTCGTCCATCTAAGATCACCAGGACCTTATCAGACCTCGTCTAATCCAAATACTTCTTCATGAGGTTGTGGGCCAGTTCCACACCGGCACTATTTCCCGTCAGTATGGATCCACATAGCAGAGACAGGGGACATACAAAGTCGCAGCGTTGGCTGGAACTGCACGAGCCAGGGCCGGACCGAATCCGGGGAAGAATGCCTTGAAGCCGCCGTTGGCATAGACACTGCGGATAGTCCCGCTGATCGTAGGCCGACCGGGGGCGCTCTGCAGGCGGGATTTGACAGTGTCCACAGGGAAGACAGGAATCCACATGGCGATTCCAGCCGCTCCACCGGCTGCCAGCACAGCGGTCATCGACAACTCACCCGTGACGCGACCGTGCTCGTCCTTGGGCGTCAACGTCCGCTTGATGTACTCGTAAGCAGCGAAGTACGCGGCCGAGCCGGGTCCGTCACGAGCCAGCGTCATCGCGCTACCCCGGAAGACACTGCGAATGCCTCCTTCTTTGTATAATTGGCGCACCACGTCCAGACCGCCTGAGTACTTAGGCTTCTGACCGGGCGGGGGCGGGTTCTGGCCCTGAATCTGCAGGAGCACCTTGACGCGCTCGAAGGGTGCTGTGATGAGAGTCATTGGAATGGCTGAGAAAAAACCTGCAGCGGAGATGTGGCCGATGGTGTATTGTGGGGTGTTGTGCTTCACCTCGACGGTGGACATTTTGCTGACCAGCGTTTTTCCCACGTCGTAACCCTGCGATGGTCAGATGATGGCTTGAGGTGTCTTGTAGCAAAGAGGACATACCCAGAAACTGACGGCGACTGATCCAGGACCCATGTTTAGCGGGTGCACTCAACATTAAGGGTTTGGAGGACTTACACATTGGCGTTACTCCCACCAGAGGAGCTGAAACACCGGCATACAGGCCCTGAAGCAAAGTTAGCGTCAGCTCCCACCACTGAACGCAGACTTCCCACTTACGCGAGCCAAGCCTTCCCGTGCCACCGTCTTCCTGACCACATCTATCGCACCTGCATAGACGCCTCGTTCTGCTGTTTGCAAGCGCACCTTGACCAAGTCGAAGGGATGCCCGACAACGACGGCGCACACACCACCCACACCGCCCGCTACGAGGGAGCGAATCTGTGCGATGGTTTGGTTTACAGCCTTGGTTTCCGTGACGGTTGAAACCTGCTCTGGAAGCGGGGGAGAGGGCGACGTGGATGTGGTCGACATGGTTGCGGGGAATACGCTCCGAGGCGTAGATTTGAGTCTGCGGATGGGGAGAGGGTGGTAAGGGGAGCGAAAAGAAGAGGGAGATCGCTTGGTGAGCAGAAAGCAGACAGAGGGGTATCAGAAGAGGACGGGTGCAGTGATCTTGAGTAGAAAAAAGAGGAGAAGAAGACAGAGAGTCAATCTATAAGCGGATTTTCGGTTGATCGATCGGTCGGTACTCCGGAGTAACCAAGCTACCTACTCTCTACTCTGGGGATTGTGACCAGGCCGCGGGGAGCTGCGAACCTCGGCTCGGCTTGCGGATTAATGGTGGCTCCGATGACAGGCGGTCTGTCACGGCCTTCCTTTCCGAGGCTTGTGGATGGAGTGAGAGAAGGAGGACTCGGGCATCGTCATCCATGCCATTGCTCGTCATCGCTGCCCGATAAATATCAGAACATGTTCCCTTCCAACATCTTTCTTCTCCCCGTGGTCAATGGCATCGGGTGAGCGGAAGTCTGCTGTGGTCCTGACGATGATTATCTGTCCAAGGATCCAGCAACGGACGAGAGGAAGACTGGACTCCCTCACCTGACCACGCCAAGCCTTCACATGTTGCTTTGTGGCTAGTGTGGCTAGTGTAATAAATGTGGCTGGTATCTTTAGTCCCCCTGCACTGTAGTAGCCATTTAGTTACTTATAGATACGATTATGCCCAATCAGCAAGGCATCAATCTAAAGTACGCGCAATGAGATGCCATGCAGAGTCAAAGCTGCTACGGCGGACGATTGCGGCCATCGGGCAAATGAGTTTTCACTTGGTGTTCTGCCGGCAGAATCAATTCATCTCCTAGCTAGGCTATTTAAGCGAGTATTTTGTACATAAAGCTTTTAGACTTGCTTAGCTTTACCTTACAGCTACTAGTCCTAAGCACTATGGAGAGATGCAAGTCTTACCCAGAGTGCTATATGTTATGGGACCAAGGCCCTGATATAGAGCTCAGCTTCAGGCACCAGTTGGTACCTGAGGCCTTGTATATGTCACGGTGCAACCCCAGAAGACCTACCCGCCCTGTTCGACCTAACCGATCTGTTTGACCCTGCTTAACTCTTCCTACCCCTTGACTGCCCTGCACGTGATCCACAACCTCCTTAATCTTATTCCCACTCCTGATTCTGCTTGTAGCTCTTCGAGCTATGTCTTATCTATGAATCTGAGAATAGCTTGACTGAGTAGCTAGAAGATAGAATCTAGAAGACTTATATTAAGAGATCTCTAGCCAGAACTGCTAGTCCTACCATCTCGCCTGTGATTAAGCCAGCCAGCCAGCCTGTATCTTGATACTACGTAGCTTCTATCTATAGGACTAGTAGTCAGATAAGATATTAGCTATTCTATAGCTCTCTATAATACTTAATATCTCTAAAGAGTTTACTTAGTATATAAATAAATATTCTGAATAATAATATAACTATTATAACTAAATCTATATCTTTACTATAAAGATAGATTAAGACTACTTCTATCTCTAATAGATAGTACAGTGTTATGGGACCAAGGCCCTGATATAGAGCTCAGCTTCAGGCACCAGTTGGTACCTGAGGCCTCGAACACTATACACTAAACTAGCGCTAGCTTAGCACACACTCCCAAAAGAATTTCGCACGAACTGATGAAATAGCTCTTCAGCTATTTCTTCTTGTTCAAAGGCACGTTTTGATCAGCACGATCCATCCGTCCCGTAACACCTCCGAGCCTTGGTGTATCGCCCTAGGCGTAGCGGCCGTCTATAGCGACTTTCTGTATCCTCGTCTCCATTAATTGAACAACTATCTTCCACTAATCTAATCGTTCTTATCATAAGAGAATTTATAGGAATAATTAAGATAAACTATACTTTCTTACTGCAAGCTAATCTCTATATAATTCTTAGATCTAAATCATGCTGTTGCTCCACAACAACGATAGGCTGCTATATAGTAATACGACAAATGAGCTTATTTTTCTAAATTAGGAATTAGTATACTTGTGCTGTAGGTCTTGTCAATTACCGCAGGTAGAACCACTTATACCGCAGGTCTTATACACAACTCTCACGTTAAAGTCTTAGCGCCACAGTAATTGGCCGATAAGGTGTCCGCAGCAGAACTAGCAATCACCTAAGCTATGGCAGTCAGAGTGAATGTAGATTGGAGACATGAGTAAGAAAAAGAAATTTTATAGATTTATAGTATTTATATACTTGCAGTCCTAATCGAAATTATGTGACCTTGCTAAAACGAGGCGTTACACGCACAACGCCGATACCATCCCTCCCCGCCACCACATTCTCCCACCCCTTGTGTTACGAATTGACATATTCTTCATGTTAGTCTCGACTTGCCCGCCATTCTGCTGGCAGCCAATGCAGCCAATAATCCAAACTGGGACGAGACTCCGTTGATGCGGTGGGTCGAGTTAAGGTTTTTCACCACCACAAACTGGTAGCAAGTGGCACTACCCTGGCGAGAAGCAATGACCGACCAAGCAAGAAACAGTTCCCATATCTATAGTACGATTAGTTGTCATGCATGTCTTCTAGCAGTCTCAAAAACATACCCTAAACCATCGCTGACCATACGTGGCCTTGATTGTCTCGGCGTTCCCACTCCAGTTCCGATACCACCTCCACAGAGTTCCCGAGTAGTGCACCCCAACGGTATCGATACTGTTATTAAGACTGGTTAATCCCCATGCCACACCAATGGTTGAGTCAGGCACCGAGAGCACACTCACCTTTTGATCTCGAATCCGGCCCGCTCCATAGCCAGGACGTAATACCACAACGGGGTCGAGGCATCGGCGCCGCGGAAAATGTACTTGTTCAGATACAGGCCCCAAATGAGATCCTCATACTGCCACGCCTGCCGCAGACCCGAGAGCTGAACATACATGGCCCCATCATCCTTAAGCAGATCGTAACACTGACGGAAGAAGGTAGATAGCTTGCGAATACCGACGTGCTCGCCCATTTCGATCTGGGTGATTTTGTCGTACTGGGTCCGGGGAATATCGCGATAGTCCATGCAAAGAATCCGACTCTGTGCCTCGGGAACCCCGGCTGTCCGAAGTGCCTCATTCCCCCAAGCCGTCTGATGCTGCGCAATGGTGAGACCAGTAACTTTGGCTCCGTAGTTGAGACTCGCAAACTTGGCTAGGGTTCCCCAGCCACAACCGATATCGAGCATCGTCTCCCCCTCCTTGAGACAGAGCTTCTCACAGACAATCGCCATTTTATTATCCTGCATTTCCTCCAGGGTTTCCTCTCGGTCTGGATCGGAGATGATCCCCGAAGTGTAGACCATCCGGGGACCGAGGAACCAGGCGTAGTGATCATTCCCGCGGTCGTAGTTAGGCCGAATTTGTTCCTCATCCTGCGACTTGGTGTGGAAGAGGACGTCCCGGGCAAAGGTCAGGAGGATATACTTAAATAGCTCCCAGGTAAACCGAAAGTTGGCCCAGTCGTGGCGGTACTCCATGATATCTAGACAATCGCCGTTGAAATCGACCTCACCGTCGAGATACATCTCGCAGAAGGTTTGCAGGGGCACTTTGTTCCGACCGTGCCATTTGGCACGATCCGCTTCCTTCTTAAAGGTGACATATTGTTCGATGGGCCGACAGGGTAACTTGACTTTGGTGTTGGTAGGAGGGCTGCAGCTCGAGGTATAGGTCCAGAAGGCAATAAGAATCGGAAATAGAGTGACCAGACCAAGGCACACTCCGGTCTTCATACCTCCACCGATAGTCCATGTCAGGAGCGCGGGGATTCCCACTAGAGCACTGATCAACCAGAGATTGGAGAAGGATTCATTGCCAGGTCCGTCGACAGGTAGCGACGGGTTGTGAAGGGTTGGGGACTAATCATGCGTCTATTAGCATGCATCCTTATGGGTGGTGATTGAGAAGACTGACCGTGGTTAGGGCAACTCCACCGTCGTGGTCGTCGGCGGCGAAGGCCGATGGCTGGGGTGGTGGAGTGGGGATATACTCGATGTCGTTGGGAAGATTGACATTCTTTGGAGCAGGAGGAGACATCTTATCTAGGTATCCGAGAGATTGGGATTCGGACAGATTGAGACAGGGTGAATGGAGGAAGACATTTGTTATTTTGTTGTTTTGGTGCTTTCGTGTTTTGGTTTTTCCGCCTTCGTGGTCCGCGGGTCCCGAGCCAAGGGGGTTTCCTGGCTGGAGGCTGTAACGTTAAAATCAAGATATTAAATAAGCTGGCTGACCTTTGCTCCCCAACCAGCCCGGCTAGCTCAATTGGCAGAGTGTGAGACTCTTGATCAAACCTCTCACTAGAACCTTGGGCACCCATACTTTTCTGTCAGGAGCAGAAACATTCCCAATGACATCTAACTCATCGAACACGTTCAGGACAGCTAGGTCACATCTTACAGGACCCAGCCAGTAAGATACACTGGAGAATAGCTTCTCCTTCCTTCACCGCGACCGTCTCCCACCACGGCGGTAGACGAACATTAGAATAAGAGAGAGACGTTCAATCCTGGAGAAATCTACACCGGCAGATGCACTATCGCGATTGGGTGAAAGATAACAGATAATTTCTCAGATTCTTTGACTCAATAAACCAATATAATCTAAATTTAACTATCTATCTTTTCTTTACTATGAATAGCTCTTATATAATTCTCTAACTTTAGAATATTTTTTTAAAGTTTTAAAGAGAAATAATATATATTATCTTTCTTAAAACCCAGTATCTTAAAGACTGCTATACAGGCTATTATATGATTAGGAGATCTAAAGTTGATTATATGATTATAAAATAGAATAAGTTAATTCTATCTAGTTATTATATATAAATAGAAATTAAGAAGACTATATACTTATAATTTAGTATCTCTATGTGATAGGATCTACTTGTCAGGGTAGAAGGCCTGTCGACTAGGTAAGGAATCAACCACTAAAACACCATGGATTCGTCTAGTAATGACAAAGGTAGCCTATATCCACGAAATAGACTGATCCTTGAGGGATCAGTAGCCTCCTACAGAGGAATCAGCATCTTATAGGTGTCGGGAAGGTGCGGGTTCGCCATCAATGACCTCACGACCAGTACATGAGGGGTATGTGGCCAAACCACAGGCGATTCGCCACAGCTACGGGGATTACCCATGACATAGATCTATTTATTCTATTATTCTAGTAATTCTCTTCTTTGTTCTATTCTATTTATATATCTAGTTAGACTCTGTCTAGAGCTTTTATTAAGCTATTTCTAATATTATAGAATAGATAGATTATACTAATTAGAATATACCTTAGTGTTGGCCGTCCGTAGGAGGTCGCTATTCAACGAAGGCTATTCATGGGTCAAAGATGGTTGTTCATTAAGTCTATCTATCCGCGCTGAGATATAGGGACAAGCAAGGACGGGAAGTCGGCTAATGAGGAAATGGCGACACTTAGAATAAGAAGAAATAGCTGAAGAGCTATTTTATTAGTTTATATAGAATTCTTTTTAGTGTATATACTAAGCTAGCACTAGTTTAGTGTATAGTATACGAGGCCTCAGGTATCAACTGGTGCCTGAAGCTGAGCTCTATAGCAGGGCCTTGGTCCTATAACAATATATAATAGAAGAGAATAACTCTATATAATCTATTTATTCTCATTTTGGAAGCGGTAAGATAAGCGGTAACAGGACTTGGTAGAAAACTCCATTCGCCCGATGGCCGCAATCGTCCGCAGTAAAGCTGCCCATTCATGCGTATGCAGTGCCCCTTTTCTCTGTCCAACCACGCCGCAATCTAACCTCCTCATTGCAGGGGTTCATCGTCTTGTGCTTATGGGGCCCCAAATCATTTCTCCTTGGCGACGGAGATGAATTCTTCAGAGATCGGTATAATACAGATCAATTATGCGTCCGCTGCGAATCGTCTTGCAAGGTAGCCAGAGTTCAGGGGAGATGACTGCTCCGGCAGATCGACTCTGCAGATCCATGACAGGTTCTTTTCAGCCGTTCGAGACTCGCGGCTCGGCAGCATACAGATCGCACGAACCGGTTCGAACTCTTGCTTTTGTCTGCACCATTGCATCATAGATCCTCAATTGCCCCGATCGCGTGGTTGACAACTTGACTGTCGAAGGCCATCGGTCGATCACCCACTCTTCTGCGATGCTTCTGAGTTCTCTCGCTCTGCGATACATCCAGTGTTGGTTGCCTTCTGCTGCCTCGACCGGTTGGATGTTATATGTCAAAATGCATTTGAAAGCAGAGCATATAAAACCACGGGAAAGATTTCTCTCACGAGCCAAGGAGGCTGCCAGCCCCTTGCACCAGAGATGGACCGATACACTAGCTTTATGGACTCAGCGTCGCTGCGCTCCGAGCCGTCGACTGTTGCGCTTGACACCTACCCGGCCTCACCGTCAGTCTTCCTTGCGTGAGATTATTGTATGAAGCGCTTGTATGTTCACCAGTGTGCAGACCCCCGGAGGCGCTCATCGCTGGCTTTCCGCATCCCCCGAGTCGAGCCCGCAACCATGAAGACCAGCCTCCGAACCTGACACCCAAGCCGTCCCTCAAGACCCTCCGTCGCAATTACATGATCCACGAGCTGCCTCTCCTCCATGAACCCAATCCTTACTACAATAATGACATCGACCAGCAACAGTTCCATCCTATCGAAGAACCAGGTCTTTCGTATGACCTGATTGCTCCTGCGCCGGCCGACGATGCCGCTCCTCTGCACAGCCTTGAGCGTCTCGCCGACCTGATGTTCTCCTCTGAGCACATGCTCTCCATTCTCAGTAATCCAAGCTATTTGGCGCGGTTCCGCGAGTTCCTGCTCGAGGAACGTCCGCGCTCGCTCTCACTCCTGACATACTACCTCACAGCCCGCAAGGCCCTCCTCGCCATCGACTACGCTAATGCTCTCGTGCGATCTGTCATCGATGCCCCTCCAGCCACAATCGCCACACCCGACCCCGTAGTTGGCCAAGTCGCCCACCCAGTGCTGCATCGGCGTGTCACTGAGGCCCTGGAGGCTCTCACCGCCGAAGAGCTTCCTGCGTTCATCACGGCCCGTTGTATCAGCCTAACCAGCCGCGTGGTTGAGGAGCGTGTGCGCGGGACTCTCCCGCCGAAGTTTCAGGGCGCGTCCGACGCGTTGGCAGAGGTGTTTTGTTTGACGGATCCGTCGAGACGGGATAATCCCATTATTTTCGCGTCAGAGGGTAGGTTTCCCTCCAACCATAGCTCTATCAGTGTCGATCCCTCGTTAAGGCTCCCTCACCAGAATTCCATCGCACGACCCAATACGGCATGGATTACGTGCTGGGACGCAACTGTCGGTTCCTGCAGGGACCAAAAACCAACCCCAACAGCGTGAGACGCATCCGTGAAGGAATTGAGGCCGGGAGACACCATTCAGAGCTGTTCCTGAACTAGTGAGTCGCTCACCATCCGCTCCATAAATGTTCGAATCTTACAAGTGTGAGGCAAGAATCACTAATGCCCGCAAAACAGCCGCCGCGATGGCTCCCCTTTCATGAACCTCCTCCAGTGCGCCCCCCTCTGCGACAGCCGAGGCACAGTACGGTACTTCATCGGCGCCCAGATCGACGTCTCCGGCCTAGCAATGGACGGTGCGCAAATGGAATCGCTGCGCGCCTTGCAGGCGAAGCAGCGTCGAGCGGAGGCCAGGGCAGCGGAGGACGCACGCGACGAGGACTCGATGGAGATCATCCAGCCCGACGAAGGGGTCGAAGAGGAAGGCGGGGTGCAAGTCCGCTTCGACGACGAGGACAAAAGGAAACCTCCCCTCACTTACCCCCAGTCTCACGAAACATTCAACCAAGAATTGGAGCAGATGATGGGGAAGAACGGCCACGCAAACCATCGTCGATCCGGAGATGACTTTGGGACCTTGAACGGCGGGAAGGTTGGCAGCACCGAAGACAACGACGACGATGATGATGACAACGAGCGTCCCAAAGACGAATTCCGGCAGTTGATCGAGTTGTTTAGTCCGCGGGAGTTAAACGTCACGCACGAGGTCGGCGGGACGCTCTTCCACCCTAGCGCGGTGTCGAGCGCGGCGGGCATGCTGGACCGCGGGAGCTGGCAGGCAATGAGTCGGACGTGGTCGATGGTCGAGGACGAGGCGATTCGAGACCGCGAGGTGAAAGAGTCGATGTGGCGAGGCTCGTTGACTGGGGTCTATGAAAATGTAGGCCCTTGCCCCCCACCCCCCCTCTCTTTACATTTTGTTCTTCTGCATGATGGCTGTAGGAAGGAATTCTTGGAACTGACACACAGCGTTGCAGTACCTCCTGGTGCGTCCATACCCATCGCTGCGCATCCTCTTCACCTCCCCCGCCCTCCAAATCCCAGGCATGCTGCAATCCTCTTTCCTGTCGCGGATCGGGAGTTCGTCGACCGTGCGCGAGGAATTGCTCGAGGCCCTGAAGGGTGGGCGGAGTGTCACCGCCCGCATCAAATGGGTCACTAGGTACAATACTCAGGGCCGCGATCGGTGGGTACATTGCACGCCTTTGTTGGCGAGTAATGGAGAGGTAGGAGTCTGGATGGTAGTGGTGGTAGATGATGAATGAGCCGCGTCCCACATTTTCTTTTCCTAGGATAAAGGAGCGAGCGGAAGAGGGGTGGGGGGTGTTTGGAGTAAACTTGTTTCGTCATTCGTGTTGGGAATCATGTAAAACTAATCGCATCGACTGTCTATAATATATAACCTTCCTACATTCCTGAGAACATTCAGCTTCGTCTTGAGAGTAAGCCCTCCGCTTCCTCCCCATCGTCCCGATCCGCCAGATTTTCGGCGACCGCCAAGCCCTCGGCACGGCCTCGTTCGGCGTTAATGATCCAGATCAGGGGGATCGGCAGCAGAATGAGGACGGCTACAAAGAAGAACCCGCTGCGCACTTGGCCTGTCTTGTCAATCAACATGCCCACGATGGCCGGGCCGATGAACGAGCTGCCCTTGTCCGTGGCCGCGTACAGGGCGTAGAAGGCGGCCTCGCTGCCGGGCGGAATCAACAACCCGAAGAACGACCGGCAGTACGAAGCCAACCCGCCACCCACAACACCGTGCACGACCGCCAGTGGATAGATCTCCCAGGGCTGCTGCAGCCCGATCACGCCCCAGCGCTTGATAAAGGGGAGGTAGGCCAGGAGGCCGTACAAGGGGATGAGCTCAAACAGCGCGAGACACAGCATGATGGTCTGGTGCGATTGCAGGCCCAGCCGGCGCGACACAATCGGCCACAAGAACGCGCCCGCCATGCCAGAAACCGTCGCGGTGATCGACAGGAGCGCGATCATGGTGGTGCTGAGGTGCAGCTCGGTGCGCGCGAACAGGATCGCCGTGCTGGACACTGTTGCCAGCGCGTCCGACAGCAGGAACCAGGCCACCAGAAACACGCGCATCTCGCGCAGGCGCACCGCCACCCGCGCTGTCTTCCACAATGACTTCCAGGCGAATCCCACGAGGCTCAGCCAGAGCCGCCATCGCGTGCGCGGCGACGCGCCCCCGCCGGTGTTGTTGCTGCTGCTCCGTGCGGCTGCTACCGCGCCGCCGGCCTCCTCTAGCGGCGGGCCGGGGCGCGTGCGCAGCCACCGCCGGCTGACCAGTGTAAACGCGCACCACCACAGACCCACCAAGAGCAACACGCAGCGCAGGGGCAGCGTGCCGGAGGATTTACCAATGGGGGTCTTGGAGAGTGTGAACAGCAAAAGGATGCTGAGGATCTGGACCAGGACTGCCGCACAATACCCCAGCCCAACTCCTTTGGAGGAGATGCGCGTTGACAGCTGCAGCTCGGGAGACGCGGCCTTCGTTGCGTGGGATCCGCCGGACTCGCCCTGGTCGTGATGGCGCGAGCGAGCGGAATGCGTCCGGAAGGTATCTTCATCTTCCTCTCCGTCGGGGTAAAGCTCGTGCAGCTCTTCGGGTGTCTTCTTGCTTGGTGCGGCAATGGATGGATCGTGTGCGACGAGGACGGGCAGGAACGAGTTGAGCACGACGAACGAGGACCCCAGACACACCACGCCTACCACCACCAGGAGCGCGCCAAGGACATAGACCGGCGGGGAGATGAACATGAACAGCATGCTGGTGACGGAACCGACGAAGCCGAACGTCATGAGGAGCGTTTTGCGGTTGCTCTCTAGCAGAGATGAAGTCTCATGGTCAGTGCTGATACGTGGAGAGGAATGGTTTGTGTCATACCGTAATCCGCCAGCGCACTGAACGAGATCAGAGTCAAGGCCTGCACAAGCACCGCCAGAGAGAAGGTGTACATGGCGAAGCTGGCGGTCGTGATCTCCAACCCCATCAACTGAACGACGCATTGTTCATTGTTATCGCCCGACGGAGCGTTGGGTCCGACGCATGGCTGATGACTGGATTGAAGCTGTCCACGTTCGCGGGCCAATTGTTCAAGGGTCAGAGGCAGGAACGATCCTGACACGAAGTTAGTTCGCGCTGGAATTGAGCAGTGCAGATGGAAAAGCAGAGACATACCGACACCACAGACGGCGAAGACCTCGGCGGCGATGCCGTAAGCATACCAGCCCCAGATCTCCTGCCGGCTGGTCGGGGTGGTATCTTCTCCAGCATACCGCGGCGAGCGTGAGGGAAATCCCTCCTCAGCAAGAGGATCAGGGGACTGGATTGATGCCATAGAGATACTTTTTGTAAAGAAGGAAAATTGACACGATGGGGGACTCCAGCGGTACCTGGTGAGAAGTCCGGTACTTCCGGAAAAGACGGTATGGGGATGAGTAAGCAGGCTGCATAAACTGCGTCATTGGACCTCGCCCTTATCGGCTGCGTCCAGCCCGCGGCTGTTGCTCTTTCCTATTCGGGCAGATAGCGATGCCGGCATCGTCAACTGGACTCCAGGCTCTCTTGTGCTCTTTCTGCACATCACAAGAAGTCGGCGGCCGACTTAGCATTTGCATCATCCCATCTTGATGACTTTTGAGTCGAAGAATTGTTTATTCTGCTTCTCGACATTGTGTTCACTGCCTGCTGAACCACGGAGAGTCAACAAAAAATCAATGTCATAACATTGTCTTCGTCCGATGACCCAAGCAAGTCAGAGAGATCCCACACGTTTGACGACGTGAACCATACATTAGGGACACCCAAGCTGTCACTACTTTGATGTGTCTCCCTTGTCGCGATAGGCGTTACGCAACCAGACTCTTCACCATCCGCTAACACATGAAAATCATAAGATGAGCTTGAAGATGTGATACTCCAGCCCACCACAGACCCTTATGCAGGCTGACGATTAAGAGCGCCTTGCGAGGCGGCTCCTGGAGGGAGCGATAACCATGCAACCCGCGGCTGACCGCAGCATCGGAAATCGGGCGGTCGATCTCGGAACTCGATCAAGGGCCGCGCATAGTACTGCCCCATTGCCACACGTGGTGTCACGCAGATTCCGTATCTTTGACTCTTTCACAGGATGGCTCGGGGCGCCGGTGGCGGGTGATATAGGCTTTGCTGTGTATGACAGGCTCCGACGGAGGCCGCCGCGGGGAAACAGACTAGGGAAAAGCCCTGTGAGTGTGTGGTTCCGAAGGGGCTCTAACCCTGGGGGCTCGGGGCTAGAGACCTGGGGCTGACGAGACTGATTGGGCATGTAGCACGAATGACTCCTATAGCCTTGGACTGAGCGGGTCTGTCGACTGGCGCTGGACATGACGATCACGAGCGGATAGGGCTCGGGATTCCCCCCTTCTCGGATCCGAGCTGTTCTCTCGCGCTTGGCAGGGAGTAAACGGTGCTTGTAGGTGCTTCAAAAGCGACCTCGACATCTATTGAGTCAGGGTCATTCCATTCACGAACCCCAAGCCCTCGACTGGACCTTACTTGCAAGCTTACCGTGCGATTCGCCAGCCCGAACTCTACTTTATGAGGGACGTGATGATAAGCTGGCCGGTCAATGCTCCCGACTAGTCGTGAAACATGACTATGTAACCTGCAACACCATGGTTACCTTGGGTGTTCTGCCTCGGTATATGTGCTGTTAAACCTAGACAGTAGTATTGAGATAGCAAAGACGGATGTACCGTGTCATACTGTTATTTCCCTCTTTCTAGGGATCTAGAGCCCCTACCAATGCTCGTGTTGTTCAATACCGTGCTGTTCAATATCTGTATAACTTCTTCTGTTTCCTTGAGCGAAATTATCATCACCAGCGTTGTCTTCATCTGTGGGTTGCTTAAGATGAATCAAGACAAGTCATCCCAGGTCACCAATGGTACCCTTCCCAAGAGTGTGAAGGTCCGAACGACTTGCAATGCTTGCCAGCAGGCCAAGATCCGATGCAGTCATGAGAAACCGTCCTGTTTGAGATGTCAAAAGCATAACTACAGCTGTATCTACAGCATTTCCAGACGATTGGGAAGGCCTGCCAAGAAGAAAGATATGACAACAAATGACGGCTCGTTCGACATGAATCAAAAGCATCCACGAGGCGTTTTGGACAAGAGATTCCGTGGCTACCCCAAGAAAACCACAAAGAAAGTGGTAGCAGAGCCGGTGTATGAGCTCAGTCGGGGTTTGACAAACTATAAGGATGTCGATGAGGACACACCGCTTGAGAGCAATCTCAGCGACAACCTCAAGAGTGTGATTACTGAGGATGCAAGTCTACATCAAGACTGCTTCATGGATCCCAATAGTATGAAACCCCCGTTCCTTCCCTCCTATTATGCCTCTTGCTTATAGTTTGAAACAAGTTCCCGACGGCGGCGACCTATCTCCCGACAACTGGTTGCAGGAATTCATGTCTAATCCTGTCGCTGATTCAGTGCAGGAACGTGATCTGTTAGACTCCTTGAGCCTTGGTACCACGAAGGTCGAGAGTGTTGTCAATGACAGGAGCCCGTCTCGAAGTTTTCTTAGTGCTGAATCTCAGGATCAAGCCCCCGATTGCTACAATTTTGGCTCGAGCAATTTCCCCAGCCACAGCCAATGTCCTGTCGATGGCGGCAATGGGCTTTCGGAGGGTCGGACGCCTGATGAAGCCTTGAAGACGGATACTTTCGTTTGGCTACAGCCGGCCACGACTCCAATGGAAAACCTCCCTGCTCGAGCACCCAAACATAACAGCGCTCACAACTACGTGCCTGAACACTTCAAGCCAACCGCCACTATGGATACCTGCCAATACCAGTGTCAATGCCACGAGCCGATTATACGCGAGTTGATCCAGGTCAACAACTTCGCTTCCCGTGCAGGACCTGCAGCTACTATTGACTCGATCTTAAACTGCCAACGCGTGCTACAGCAACTTTCGCACACCATTCTTCAATGCAATATATGCACTCGTACTTGGATCAACCTTCTCATGATGGTTGTTGTCAGCATTGATAGTCTAGTCACCGCGCTTGACGCCATCCTATCGCTCGACAGCGGTCTGGCAGAGCAATTGTTCGCCGGGTATCCCGGACCACTCCCTGCAGGTACCAGACCCGACAACGTCGCCAGCGCCAACTTCGCCAACGCAAACTATAGACGCTGCCGGGCAAATAGTCTCTATCTGAAGACCCACGTGGATGCTTGCCCATTGGTGATCGGAGGGTTTTGTGTCCCATTCGAGGACAAATTCCTTTTCATCACACAAATGCTGTACATCCGACTATCGGAGTTGCAGATGACTGTGCGTCGTATTCGATTATGCACGCAGGAGTTTCTGGCTGTTCCTGCAGCTCGGGGCAGGCTGGGGATGATAATGGAGACCGATCAGAGGTTGGAGCTGGTGATGTTGAAGATCAAAATGCTGGCACGGTCATGATTTTTGGGCATATAAAGTGAGTATAGGGTTACTAGGAGGACAGTTCCTGGCCGTCAATTCAATACAGAAGTGATGCTGTTTCTGGTAAGCTTGTAAATCTGTACGGAAACACACTGAGGCTAAAGGTGGAATCCTGGAACATTCAAGTCAACTGGAGCAGGTAGAACTGACTTGGAAACTACTTCGCTAGAGAGGCCTAGAAGAGCGAAGCTGACGTTGCTCTAGACCAGAATAGTGGTGGCAGACGCAACATACTAAATCCAAAGCAGTAGGAGCCCCAGGATCAAGTTTCCAAGCTGTTGCCTGCGCAATATGGCATGTCCTTGAGTGAGCTGTGTAACAACGGCGGGGATCTCATAGCATACTACGTCGCACAATGAATTGGCTTGCCTCAGGGATACAAGTCAACAGAGCCTGTCTCCCGGGAGTGATATAAGGTGAGGCTGTTCGAGTACCTCACCGGTACAGTGCTTTGATTGGGCTGCCATCAGGGCTCCACCACCAAGCATGTGCATTCAGATGCAGGGTCCGCCACTTACTCGTGGTCTGTTGTTCACAAGCCCAACCCTGCGGCGACAGCGGAGGCGAATTGTGATCTCATTATGGCTCGAGCACCCACCAACGCTACGACTGGGACTCCATTCTATGGTTCTCAATGCAGCGATGACCCTAACCACCGAGACCACTGAACCTTAATGAGCCTGTTACTGCTCAATCTCCCCTTGCCGCAGTTTACTTGAGAAGCCATTTCCGGGATGGACAACAGCTGTTCATGTTCGATCCGCCTGCTGCAGATCATGACCGAATGTCAAGACCTGCAGCCGGTCATCGAGCTCGCCACTATCCTGGACCTCGTCCACCGGGTCGTCACCCACGGCAAAGCAATGGTGAAATGCAAAAGCTGCCGCAGCAACCCGCAGACGTCCTTTGCGATGCTGCCCGCACTGGCGAAACAGTGCTTGACGCTCCTCGAGGCTGGCGGCCTAGCCTACAGCATCACGAGTACCAACGCGCTCCTGAATTCCACAATGCTCGCGTTTGAGCAGCCGCTGTCGCAGTATATCTGTTTGCGCAGCCCATCCCAGCTGGGGCGCATGGAACTCGATGAGAAGGAGACCACGCTGCTGGTCCGCACGCTAATCGGTCACAACGCGAGGCAGTTTTTGGCCTTGTTGGAGAGTTTGCAGAAGCTACTCCAGTCCTCGCTGGGGAAGGATATCGAGCCGGCCGTGCCAGCGGGACACGCCGTACTGCACCCGTGTGAAGCGGGGGTGGAGAGCGCTCTGCGGCGCTTCGCTGTGTTTGTTGATCAAATCAAGTTTGAGGCAGGTAAGTCCTTGCGTTGGGGGTGGAAGGATCTCTAACCGGTCGGCTCTAGTGATTTGGAGCTTTATCTACGTTCAATTTATATTTTTACAGTTCAAGCGTCTGGGAGAGACCGAGGGAGCTCTGGACACAAGAGATTTTAGATAGCTGGGAAGATATATTGTGATCTTTTCTGTATGAAAGTTATAGTGGTATAAGCATTGTCCGTTGTATGAGTTTTGCTCATCTCTTTCCCAGCAGTTTGTAATCGGGAGGGGCCCGTGACGGATTCTGAAGGCGAACGGGAACGGGAACCGTTTGTGCCTCAGTTGCCGGGCATTCGTCTCCATTTTGCAGCGTTTACACCAATTGTTCCGTGTACTGCCGAAATCCTCCGGGCAGTGCGGCGTTTTAGCCCTGCGATGCCTGGCTACTCACTCACGCGCCTCTCATCCTTTCAACCGTTCTATTTTCTGTTGTTCACGATGTCTACGCGATCAGATACTCAGATACCCTCGAATTTCTGACTGTGCTGTTGTGTCATTGCAGTATGCTTGAAAAGGCGGCAATATGCCTCGGATGCCGAGGGGAGAATCGGGAACCGCCTGAACCAGAAGGTGTGGGCGCGGCCCAGATATTTGGGTTGCCCAGGGAGTCTTGCTAGTTGCTTGCATGAAAAGTGAGGTAGTCGTAGTATGATGCAGGTACTGTTGCTGCTGTACATTGACTGCGTCAAGCCCCACATATGTATTCAGGATGTAGTCTACCTGTCTATGTGATGTGAGTAAGTCACTTGTGAGTTGAAAGACCAACTTCTTGCCTGTTCAACTGCTGTCAGATCAATGACAGGCACATGAGGAATTAACGGTTGAGTTTGGATCAGATTAGACAAAAGCGGATCTGATAGCTGAAGTCCGGGTGGCTTGTTCCTTTTTTTTTTTTTTTTGGCGCCCTTGAGTCGGAGAATCTGATTAGATCCAGAGCGAGGGCCCGAGACCTGGAACCGCAGGAAGCGATTTACTTACCCTTACGTGGTAAAGATGTCGTATGGGACTAGTTTCAGATAGTTATGGGTACCTGATGCCGGTGGAATCGTGTATTTTTCTTTCCCTTCACCGGATCCCCATTCACTCACAGCCAGCGAAATGTGATGAAAAAATACAAGACTGATTATGGTCACTCACTTCCAGGCTTACCAAGGTTGTTTCAGCGTCCGGCATCACCCACATCCGTCGGACTTGGGTACCTTGGATTCAACGATGTGTACTGATTGATAAGCGATGGCATGGCGGGTCGGTCGGATCAGGTCGGGTTTACGTACCATCACTTCATGAAACAAACCACACAACAACTGCCGGTCTCAGAAATACTACGAGATCACATCGAAGCGAGGAAAAGCAGAACGTGGCCCATTGCGATTCTCCACAATTACGCGATAACGGAGGGGGTTAGGTTTGTTTTCTTAAAGGCCACCGCTGGCATCATCTACCCCAGTCAACCCAGCTGTGAGCGAGAGCGCTTCTGCAGGGATTCTGGAAAAAGTCAATCACCCTTCATCTGTCTACCACTCACCACACATCATTCATATCAAAGAGCTCAGCTCATCATGTACTCGAAATTCTGGCCCAAGGGTGGTATCCCCGGTATCCTCCACCACTTCGTAAGTTCGCGCCATCTCCCCCCCCCCTCCGCAGACACTTGACTTCCACGGCAAAACTGACAATCTCATCCTTTCAACTCTCACAGACCGAAACCCTTGTTACCTTCGAATACACAACGGGTCAAGTCCGCCAACCACACAGTCTCCTTTTCGTGGGCGGGTTAGGCGATGGCATTGGCACCACCTCCTACGTCGCCGACATGGCGAGCGCGATGGCGCAGAGCGAATTCTCCATCTTCATGCTCAACCTGACCTCCTCGTACAACTCGTGGGGGCTGGGCCACCTGGACCGCGACACGAACGAGATCACGCAGTGCCTGAACTACATCCGGGACTACAAAACCGACAAGTACGGCAGCCCAGGCAAGATTGTCTTGATGGGCCACTCGACCGGCAGCCAGTGCGTGCTGCACTACCTGCACCGGCCCAACCCATTCACGACCAACCACCGGTTCGACAGCGAGCTCGAGCATCTGGAGCGCATGCCGCTGGACGGCGCCATCATGCAAGCGCCCGTCTCCGACCGCGAGGCCATCCAGTGGGTCCTGCACTGGGGGTTCAACGGCAAGACGCCCAGCGAGGTGAAGGCGGTCTACGACCAGGCCGAAGCGATGGCGCGCGAAGCCCTGCGCGACAAGGACCCCAAGTTCGACACCATCCTGCCGCTCGAGGTCACCGCCAACATCTGCTACGGCGCCAACGTCCCCATCAGCGCCCGTCGCTTCCTGAGTCTCGTCAGCCCGGACAGCCCCGCCACCCCGCAGGAGGACGACCTGTTCAGCTCCGATCTGAGCGACGAGCACCTGAAGACGACCTTTGGGCGCATCCGCGACTCCGGTCTGCTGCGCCACCGGCTGATGGTGTTGTTCTCCGGCGCCGACCAGGCGGTGCCGGACTGGATCGACAAGGAGAAGCTCATGGCCCGCTGGCGCGACGCCACAAACCACAACGGCGAGGTGCAGATCTGGGATGATGAGCATAGCGGACTCATCCCGAATGCCTCGCACGCGCTCAGTAATGATGATCAGGCGGAGCCGCGGAAGTTCCTGTGTGAGCGGGTGATGAGTTACCTGCGTACGGTGGTGGAGAACTGATAGAGGATGTTTGCTGTTCTTGGTTTCTTTTAGCGTGCGTGTAATGTTAGTGCTTTGATACTTTTTTTTTTCTACACTCTGTAGACAATAGACATTTCAAAGTTGGAATATGTTGATGTATGTCTAAGATGTTGTATGTAGCGGCTGCGTGACCTTGAGGTTTCCTGCCGGGAAACCCGCATGTGCAGGGAACGTGGTGCTTAAGCTGGCCTTGCACACAACATACGTTGGAAGAATGCGCAATTGCACTGAAGTTTGCAAGCCCTTCGTGACCCTCACTAAATCCTCTGAGCAATCAAAACACAAGCTCATCACTTGTAATTTCTTCCCAAACAGAATCTACCCCTCCTTGCCAAGGCGCATATTCCGTACAGTAAGGACCGGTAACATTCCGCAGCCCCATCCACGCCATACCGTACCGTACCGGGAGAATAGCACAGCATCTTATCACTGATTGATAACTTCCCCCCCCCCACCCCGCAGTGATACAATAAAAATCTCTTCAAATCCAGTTTCGCTAGCCGAAGAGGGCCAAGTACTCAGTACCCAGCAAAGGACATTCAACGGCTGTTGGACTCAGGAGTACGTTCAACGCCGTCTACGCATTCTGGTCAGGCGACATCTTATCAATCTCCTCCGCCCCACTGAGTGTCGGATGGGCTGGCACCGGGTTGACTCCATCGCGTGTGCTATACGGAGTGTTTACATTCGGAGAGGGGGGTCGGGTAGATTAGGTACCTACCATGTATAGTATGTAGTAGTGGTAGTGATAGCATCAGCTGTAGGCGTCACCGATCCATAGCACCTTCTCCCAAGCAGCAACAAGTTGCATCCCAACTGTCCTGAGTGAGCACCTACTAGTCCCCTCCTCCCCTGATGAAAATAAAATAGTCTACAGATTAAGTATCTCTCCTCCGATCTCCGTCTCCGTCCGACAGGACAAGATGCGAGAAAAGATAATCTCCACCACCGACCCGGCACGCGGCTCGGACTGAAGAATGAAGTGGGGAAAAAATTCCACGCATCCATAATTCCTGTTTGGTGCAGCCGACTTCGCCCAAGCGGTGACTATTTTGGCGCTGCTACACCTTCAATAAATCCCACCTTTCTTTTCCCCCCTCCCACCTTCCCCCACCCATCACCACCTCCTTCCTTCCTTCCTTCCTTTATACACAAATTCCTCTCTCGCCTGAAGAATCGCATCCCACCACCAGCTGGACTGTCAGGCGACGACGGAGGAGATAATTTGCATGACCCCCCTTGTGTTGACTGTTTTCTTCAGCAAGGGATATTAAGCTAGAGTCATCATGTCGCAACAACAAGACTTGTCGCAAGTCGACAGCGACGGGTTCCACCTCTTCCAGATTGCCGGCCTGGAATCTTCTTCCACCACTACTACGACCACTCCGACAGGCACGAGAGAAGAGATTCTGTTAGAATCATGGATGATCCTGCTGCTACAATCCTGCGAAGACGGCCAGATCCGCTTCGATTGGGGGTATTCCGGCGGGGACAAGTCATCGCTATCATCGGCCCAAGTAATGCCGGGATTGCAGAGTACTGTCGCCCAGGTTTCTGCCGCAATCGCTGAACACATGGCTGCGGCTTCGCAGGCTCAATCGCCAGCGACACCGGCGTCGCTGTTACTAAGCACCGGTACACTGTCACAGGCTTCCGAGCAGGTATGGATGCATTGGTCTATTTTTTTTTTCACGGATGCGGATTGGCGCTAATCAACACGTTTACCAGGATCTTATACATATTGAGGTTGGCTTTGAGAATGGCATGCTCAAGATCCGGCCGGTATGGCACTCGCCAAGTGTGCTAGATTTCACGGTGAGGTTACATGTCACGAAACTAGCGGAGCTGGTCCAGCGATGCTTAAGCAACCCGGAGAGCTCTGTTGAGGAGTGCCTCCGGGTAACAAATTCCGACTTGAACGAAATCTGGCGCTGGAACCACGACCTGCCGCCCACATACAGCTTCTGCACCCACGAGATGGTGACGGAATGGGCGCAGAAAGCCCCGGAGAGCGAGGCCATTGCATCCTGGGACGGCAACCTGACGTACGCTCAGGTCGACCGGTACTCCACGCAGGTGGCGTGGAAGCTCAAGGAGATGGGACTCCAGCTGGACGACATCCTGCCCATTTGCTTTGAAAAGTCTCGGTGGACAATCGTGGCCGTTCTTGCAGCCATGAAGGCTGGTGCGACTTTCGCACTCATGGATCCCACACTTCCCCTGGCTCGGCTTCAGAACATGGCGCAACAGGTCGGCGGTAAGATGATGCTGGCATCCCGCAAGCAGCACGACCTGGCGACCTCCATTCTCCCTGGCGGACCGGTGCTGGTGGTGGAGGAAGACACTTTCCGGGATTTTGACATTAACCAGGAGCTTCCGGCGTTGCCCACCGTACCGCCGACCACTCTGATGTACATCATCTTCACCTCCGGCAGTACCGGAACACCCAAGGGTGTCACGATCTCCCATCAGACTTACACAAGCAGTGCAATCCCGCGTGCCAAAGCCGTTGGATACACACCGGAATCTCGAGTTCTGGACTTTGCTTCTTACGCCTTCGACGTCAGTATCGACAGCATGCTGCTGACCTTGAGCAATGGTGGCTGTTTATGCATTCCATCAGATGAAGACCGACTTAACGATATCAACGGAGCGTTCCGGCGCATGCGAATCAACTACGCTGGCTTGACCCCGTCGGTAGCGCGTATCCTGGATGCGGATGTGATCTCATCGCTGAGCGGCCTCGGCCTTGGTGGCGAGGCAGTCTCAGCGCGTGACGTGAAGCTGTGGGGACAAGTCACCCGCATCATCATCGGCTACGGTCCTTGCGAGTGCACAATTGGTTGCACGGTCAACAGCAGCGCGGCAACGGGCAGGGACTATATCTCCATCGGACCCGGTAACGGTGCAGCAATGTGGATCACTGATCCCAACGACCACGACACGCTCGTGCCTGTCGGCGCTGTCGGTGAGCTTCTGGTCGAGGGCCCAATCGTGGGTCAGGGCTACCTCAACGACCCCGAGAAGACGGCCACTGTCTTTATCGAGGACCCCAAGTGGCTGGTTGCGGGCCACAATGGCCATGAGGGTCGTCGGGGCCGTCTGTACAAGACGGGTGACCTGGGACGGTACGATCCCGATGGTTCGGGTGGTATTGTCTTCGTGGGGCGCAAGGATACGCAGGTCAAGCTGCGTGGACAGCGTGTGGAGCTCGGTGAGATCGAGAGTCAGCTCAAGGACAGGCTGCCCTCGGAAGCGAACGTTATCGCTGAAGTGATTGTGCCACAGGGGTCCGGCGGCCAGGCTACCTTGGTTGCGTTCGTGGCGTTCCAATCCTTTAAGGGAAAGGAGCAAGGTGACCTGAGCTTGGCTGAGCTGTCAGAGGAGCAGCAGAAGGCGCTTTCTGAAGCTAATGCAGATGTGGCCAAGGTCCTGCCGCGATACATGGTGCCCACTGTCTACATCCCAGTGAATTATATCCCAGTATTGATTTCCAGCAAGACAGACCGCAAGAGACTCCGCCAATTCGGTACCACAGTAGACATCCGGCAGTTAGATCAAGGCGCGGAGACGAATGGCACCAGCCGGGAGTTGACTGACCTCGAGCAGCGCCTGCGCCAGGCTTGGAGTCTCGTCTTGAAACAGGACGCTGAAGGCATCCGGCCTGAGGACAACTTCTTCGCACTCGGAGGCGACTCCGTCATGGCGATGAGACTGGTGTCAGTCTGCCGCGAACAAGGCCTTGACTTGACTGTCGCCAACACCTTTGGCCACCCTACTCTTGCAGCAATGGCCGGTGTTGTTCAGATCTGCGACTCTCAAGAGCGTGCCGAACTACCACCGTTTTCAATGATTTCGCAGGATGTCGAGAGTGCCTGTCGCGAAGCGGCTGCCGCGTGTGGAGTGGACGCGACCGCAGTCGAGGATATCTACCCCTGCACACCCACGCAGGAGTCGCTTTTCACATTTTCGCTAAAATCAGTCAAGTTGTACGTGGCACAGAGAGTCGCGCGCATTCCGGCCCACATCGACCTTGACGCATGGAAGAAGGCCTGGGAGGAAGCCGTGGCTGCCAAGCCAATTCTGCGCACTCGCTTGGTGCAGTTGCAGGACCCCGGTCTTCAGCAGGTGGTCCTCAAGGAGAACATTACCTGGAAACATACGACAGATTTGGCGCGATATCTCGAAAGCGATCGGGAGGAGAGAATGAATCTGGGAGAAAGCCTGGCTCGCTATGCGATTGTGGATGATGGCAAGGAGGGCAGACACATGGTTTGGACTATTCACCACGTTGTGTATGACGGATGGTCTGAGCCTTTGGTGCTTAAGGACGTCAGCGACGCGCTGAGCGCCAAGGAGATCGAGCCCCAGGCACAGATGCGCGATTTTGTCAAGTACGTGCACGATACCGATGCGGCTGCGATGCATGAGTTCTGGAGACGCGAGCTGCAGGGTGCCGTTGGTCCTCAATTCCCTCGTCTGCCCTCCAGAGACTTCATGCCTACTCCCGATGCCTTTATTGAACATATGATTCCGCTTAAGGCAGCCGACAAGTGGCCCTTCACCATGGCTACGCTGATCCGCGGTGCCTGGGCGCTTGTGGCCTCGCAGTACTCGGGCAGTGACGATGTTGTGTTCGGCGAGACGCTCACTGGTCGTGATATTGCTCTTCCAGGCGTTGAGAGCATTATCGGTCCATTGATTGCCACACTCCCTGTCCGCATCCATGTCAGCCGTACCAGTACGGTAGAAGCCTATCTGCAAGGCGTGCAACAGACTATTCTGGCCCGTGTCCCGTATCAGCACATGGGCATGCAGAACATCCGTAAAGTAAGCCACGACGCCCAGCACGCATGTGAAGCCGGCACCGGCTTGGTCGTCCAACTGGAACCGGAGTACGTGGGTAGTGACCTGGGCTTCGAAATTGGAGATGTCGTTCGGGAAGCCCTGCATTTCAACCCCTACCCGCTTATGTTGGGATGCGCCGTGCGCAAGGGTGGCTTCCGAATCTGTGCCAGTTTCGACGGCAGCTTGATCGAAGTTGCGCAGATGAAGCGCATGCTTGTGCAGCTGGAGGTGGCCTGCGTCGAGTTGACCAAGGGCCTGCAGCGGCGCATCGAGGAGATCTCGTGTCTCCCTGAGGCCGAGCTGAACCAGATCTGGCAATGGAACCGGATACCTCCGCTGTCCCGCGATGCGTCCTCGGGTCGCCTCCGTGCGGATGCTAGCATTAAGCAGGGATCAAGGTACCCGTCTGCAGTTGTTCCTTGGGTGGTTAACGCCCGCAATCCCGCTTTGTTGTCTCCAATCGGCTGTGTCGGAGAGCTCTGGCTCGAAGGCGCTTTTGTCTCTGGCGAAACGGTCGAATCTCCGGCCTGGCTGGTGGCAGGAAGCCCGACTTGTGATGGCCGTAGTGGTACCGTACAGTCAACTGGTGACATGGTTCAGCTATGCGAGGATGGTAGCCTGGTCTTCGTCGGTCGTAAGGAAAACGTCGTGTCCATTCAAGGACATGCCGTGGACATTGCTGACATTGAGTTGCACCTGAACCGACAGCTTCCGGCTGAAATCCGCGCTGCGGCTGCCGTCCGTCAGTCTCTGGATGAGGCTGGACCTGAGCTGGTTGTTCTGGTTGAGCGGCCGGTTTCCGATGAAGAGAGCATTTCAATCCTTCCGACGCCACAGGACATTTCCGGCGAGTCGGCCACCATTCTCAGTGCGACGATCCCTGTCAGCGTTGCTGTCGCGCTGAAGAAGCTCGACAAGTTCATTCGTGACTCACTCCCCTCCTACATGTCTCCCTCCGCATACATTGTGGTTGACAAGCTGCCTGCCCAAGGGGAACAGAGCGACCACACGCTTGTCAACGAGCTCGCCTCTGAGATCTCTCAGGAGGCTCTAATCCAGATCCGCAATGGTATAAAGGAGGCGTGGGCCACAACTGTCATCCACACCAATCTGACACCCTCCGAGAAGATTCTGCGATCCGCTTGGGCCAAGATCCTTCGATTGCGCGAAGAGGAGATCGACGTGGACGATAACTTTTTCCGTCTGGGTGGTGATTCGGTTCTTGCAATGAAGCTGGTTTCCAGCCTGCGGCGCCAAGGCCATAATCTGTCAGTGGCAGACATCTTCCAACACATGCGCCTAGGTGATGCGGCCCGGGTGTTGAGGGTCGATCAAGCCTCCAAGGCCAAGAAGGCTCAGCCTTACAAGCCCTTCTCCACGCTCGGCCGTGCAGACGTCGAGCAGTTCTTGTCGCAGATCATCCGTCCTCAGCTCGCCGATCCGACCTGGTCCATCAAGGATATTTTGCCTGTCACCGACTCGCAAGCGCTGGACATCCGTGCCACCGTGCACGCCCCGCGCACCTCAATCCAATACACCATGCTCGTCTTCGAGCAGGGGGCAGTTGATCGCGAGCGCCTGCTAGGCGCATGCAGTGATCTGGTCAAAACCCACGATATCCTCCGGACCGTCTTCGTCGAAGACAACTCCACCTTCTACCAGGTTGTGGTCAACGAGCTCCCCACCCCTCTGACGCGGCACACTGCCGACAAAGACGACCTGCAGACATACATCATCGAGCTGTGCAACACCCACATTGCCTCCGACTTCCCTCTCGGCTCGCCATTCCTTCAGATTTTCCATGTTGACGCCCTCGACGGCCGCGAGGCCCTGGTCCTCGGCCTGTCTCACGCGCAATACGACGGTGAATCCCTGCCGCACCTGCTCCGCGACCTCGAATCTCTCTACGCCGGCACCCAGCCGGCCGACCACCTGCCGTTCTCCGCATACATGGCGCACATCACCAAGGCGGAAACCCAAAGCCCGGCCTTGGCTTACTGGAAGAACCTCCTCCACGACTCGACGCTCAGCGTCCTCCCATCAACGGGCCCGAAGTCCCTCGCCGCCAAATCTATCTTCCACACTCAACCTCTGGACCTCGACCTCACCACCATCCAAGAGACAACAGCCACCACGACTGCTACCCTTTTGACGGCTTCATGGGCCCTCGCCCTTGCCCGCCTCCTGCAAACGTGCGATGTTGCGTTCGGTAACGTCACGACCGGCCGCACCCTCAACGACCTGATGGGCATCGAGAAGGTGGTCGGCCCATGCTACCAGCTCGCACCGGTGCGCGTCACCTTCCAGCGCGACTGGACCGCGGCGGACCTCCTGCGCGCCGTGCAGCGCCAGAGCGCCGAGTCCGCGGCGCACGACTTTGTGGGCTTCGAGAAGATCGCACGGGAGTGCGCACCACCCTCGTGGCCGGTGGCTGGTTCGTTCGACTCGATCGTGCACCACCAGGACTTCGAGGACTTCGACACCATGCCGTTCGCGGGAGGGGAGTGTGCGGTCGATATTGTGAATCCGCATGGCGATGCCGCGTATCCGGTCAAGGTGGTTTCGTTTATCAAGGAAGGGAAGCTGCAGTTGGGCGTCGTGGGCAGTGAGGAGGAAGATGTGAAGCGGTGGTTGGGGTTGGTGGTGGAGTCGGTCAAAGAGGTGGTAGGAAGTGTGCAAGAAGAGAAAGTGCTGTTGGAGGAGGAGAGCCTGTGGGTGGTGGTGTAGTAAGCTTGATGGAGAGTTGCTACTTGTTGACTTGTAACGGATTTTCAAGATGATACTGAAATGTTCTGCTCAAAGGAGCCCCTTCCCTTCTTCACTGACCACACCTCAGTAACACAAAAGTGAATAGACCCAGAGGCCACTTTTGCCTCAGTTGCGGCCCCTCTGTTTCCGTTTCCTGACAAGCACTTCTGACTCTCTGTCTCCTCAATCAAGCCATGATATGAAGCCATCAATGCCAGTTCCGGTCATACCATTTTTTCATTATGATAGACCTCGTACCAAGATGGTGTAGTTCCGATGATACTCCTCCTGTGAGATTGGGATCAAAGACTCCGTTTTATGCAGCGATATCCTGCGGTTATCTTGCAAGGAATCCTTCCAAACCCGTGTACAACATAACCCCCTAAACCCACAACCTGATTATGCTATACAAAGGAGATGAGACTGCTGGTCTCAGACGACAGCTTACAACTTACGTGGTTCCTACCTCTTCTCGGAAATGTGAGTCAATCCCGGGCGGGCTGAGAGCCACCCACACGAGTATAAGACACTCATCTTTCTATGCTACTGACGCGCCTGGAGGTGTTGTTCGCTGGGATCTGATCGAAAAGCTGAGATTCGCTCCGGTGCTCGGGAACACCAACAAGGAGGATAGCACACTCAATCTCTACCTCCTGGCATCACAAACTGGCGATATTGCGCCGGAGGTGAAGCTGTAGGAGCTCGATGCGCAGGGCAAACGCGCCGTCAGCGAGTCAGGCTACGAGGCAAAAGACCCTAGCCTCTGCTTCAAGGGCGCGGAGCTCGGTTCCTTCAGCCCAGATGGCACAGTACTCATACTCTTTGACCAGAACGAAACCACTCAGGAAGAACTACGCGAGCCGGAGTTCCTGCCCCGTGTCATTCTTTGGCACGTCCCGACGAGGTCCTTGCTTCATAACCTGCCGGGCCATGCGGACTGTATACTCTGGACAGCCATGACCCCGGATCATAAGCTGGTGGCATCCGCTGCATGGGATGGCACAGCACGAGTCTGGGATGCAGGCTCTGGTGCCTGTCTACATATCTTTGGACCGGTCGAAGGTCAGCTCTTCAGCGCAGCTTTCTCTCCGGATCAAAGGTACCCAGCCTTTCATCAAGAGGCCCCCAAGACCTTTATCTATGGTTTACGACCTCACCACTGGCCAGCCAGTCTCCTGCTCTGAAGACTTAGTTCTAGCAAGACGGTCTTTGTCGTGGAGGCAGGATGGAACGTCGCTGGCCACCGGAGCCGCTGACGGCACCCTGTGCATCTGGGATCCATACACTAAACAGGAGCAGATGCGTCGCTTTTATTTCGTTGGCGCAGTGCAGTTCATCGATGGGGGCCGGAAGCTGGCATTTCAGATCAGGGAGGGGACCGTGGAGGTGAATGATTTCGAACGCAATCGCAAGCAACAGTTCGGAAGAGAACCGGAACGTGACAAGATAAATGGTTGTCCTCGCGCGGAGAAGGTCTGCTCAGGAGATTCAAAAGTTGTTGTTGTCCCAGATATGGATGGATGTTTGAAAACATGGAATCTTCAAGCTTGTGACATTTTGCTCGGACTCACCAAGCCGATCTCACCATCTAGGCAAGCTGAAGAACAGATCCTGATATGCTCCAGTCGACTCGTGTCTCAGCTTGCTTGTCTCATACTACTCGTAATCGTGAGCTCAAGCGCTCTATATAAACAACTCTGGTTGATATCACTAGCTTTTCTAATAGCTTGATGTAATAATTGTATTTCTACTCCAGTGCCAGTACATTGTAATAAATAATAAAAAGCAGCCCCCAACCCTATGGAAGGGGTTAAATGATTCCCTTTTAAGTCCAGGCGATTAAAAATGGACCGATATGATTATCTAAGCTGGAGGGGGGGGGGTGGTTGTCGAGGTTTAGGACACGCACTTCTGCACTCAACCCACGCTCAGGGCCGCTCAATGAACAAAAAGCGGCATCGAGTCGGGCCCAAAGCGGAAAGGAAAATGACTCGATTCCGGCAGAAATACTGTGCGCTAGCACTCACTGGTGTTAGTGTCGGGGGGGAAATGTTCTGGGGAAATGATGGAGAACAGGCCAATTGAATGCCGGGGCAATCCGCCGAAGGCTGCTCACATGATCTGAATGCAAACACTGCAAACTCCCACTGGTTGAGCGTAGTGGCCGCCTCGGAGGGAATCCATCCATGTCTTGCCTTATCAGTGTCTCTCAATGGTCGATCGTCTGCCAACTAATCATATATCTCCATACCTGGAATAAATTCCTTCGCTCCAAACTACCCCTATACTATACTGCATCAGTGGACCCTTCCTCATACTCTCTAGGTACGTGTCGGTAATCCAACTTCTAAACCTGTGTAACGCCGCTCACCTTTGCTTTATCATCAGGGTCGCTCGCCGCCGACTATATACGCGACCCGATCCTTCCTCAAAAACCTCCCTCTCCGACCTTCAGATCATCGGTGTAACATGTAAGGATAAGATGTCGGCGACGCTATTCCTTGACAAGCCACTTCTCAAAGTCAGTCGACCGGTAGCTGCGTGCTCGCGATGTCGAACAGCCAAGATCAAATGCGACGGGAAGCTTCCTGCCTGCTCCGCATGTGAAAGAGTGGGCAAATCCGACACCTGCTCCGGCGCAAGCGACGAGTTCGCCCGGGGCAAAGAACGAAGTTATGTTGCTTCATTGGAGGGGTACTGTGAGAGGCTGGAGAAAAAGATCGCCGAGCTCCGCCAACTCAAGACGTCGCTGTCCGTCGACGACAGGGGCATCGCACACCAGAACTCGATCACCTCAATAACCTCGGCAGAATCAGCGGTCCACGGTCCGAACAAAGAAGTCTCGGATATCGATGATCTGGTTGGAGATTTTGGCTTCCTGTAAGTGGTTCCTCCAGCGGCGAACCTATTCACCCAGCGACTGACAGCTTTGTGATCCCCAGTTCGGTGAACGCGACCTCCCGCGACTTTCACGGCATCACGTCAAGTACCTCCTTTGCCAATCTCCTCCTTTCACTCTCCCTCGCCGACCCCTTACCGAAACGATCTTTACGACCGCTACCCCCACGCCACGAGATAACCCACCTCCTTCAACATTACTTCGATACCATCTACATCCAACTGCCATTCTTTGCAGAAACAAACTTTTGGACCTCGGTTGATGCGGTATATCAGTCCGGCGGTCGGTTCGCCAAGCCGTTCGACCATTGGATAGTACATACAGTCCTGGCCACCTCCTCTGCATCATTATCATACGAGTGGGGTGATGAAAGCCAGCAAGACGCTCTATCCTATATCACCCAGGCACTGCAAAGAGCCGAAGATGTTCTACGACCAGGATCCATCCAAGGGATCCAGGCGATCATGCTTCTCGCGCAGTATTCATTATTTGACCCCAAACACTTCCGCAGTTGGTTCCTGGTCGGGATGGCTGTGCGAGTCATGGTCGACCTTGGTCTACATCAGGACCCTCCGGTAGAGGTCCAATCCTCGACTAAACACCTCGACCTGCGTCGACGCATACTCCATTGTCTTTACTCCTTGGACAGGTACGTACCGCACCCCCCCGGGTGCTTTGTAATGAGGTTCGGTTGATATTCACATCGCCAACAGAGGCGCCAGCACTGTCTTTGAACGACCATTCTCCTTCTCCGACGAATCCGTCAATGTCGCCCTCCCCTCCAGCACCACGCCCAGCGAGCAAAACCACCTCTTCCTGCGCAGCTCCGAACCCGCCTGGCACCTGGTCAAGATCCGACAGATCCTCTCCGGAGCCTACTCGCGGAACTACTTCCACGATCACGACAGCTGCCCCGGACCCAGGAAATCGACCTGGTCTCTGGGCGCGGAGGCGTACCAGTGGTTCGACGCCGCCCCCAGCACCACTCCAAGCCACTTCCCCGTCCTCTACAAACTGGAACTTCTCTACACCGTCGTCATGATCCTCTCGTCCAGCGACGAAGCCGCCGCCGGCGAGTACCGCAACGTGGTCCTCTTCGAGCGCTGCATGCAGTACCTCGGCCAGATCCAAGAGGCGCTGCGCAATCCCGCCTGGTCCCCCTTTCTCACCTTCTGGGACATGCACCGCGCCCTGCAGGCCATCCGCCGCTTGACCCGCGAACTCGCCGACAATCACGACCTGGCGCTCAGCCCCTCCGTGCCGGTCTTGCCCCCCGTGCCGCCTGAGACGCCGTCCGCGCTGGTCCTCGACAGCGAAGACTGCCTCAATTTCTACGCGCGCGCCACCGCCTGCCTGTCAGACATCCAGTGCATCCTGCGCTTCGGGCTGCGCAAATGGGGCACCGACCCCGTCTTTGAGGAGATGCAGCAGCTGGCGGACTCGATCCAGGCGCGTCTGATCTCCTCGCCGGCGCCCTATTTGTCGGGCTCCGGGGCGTATGCGCCGGGCTACTCGCCGATGGTGCCAGCCGGTGCGGGATACCCCGCGTATGATATCGGGTGATTTTGCTCTTGGGGGCTGTCTTATGATGTATCAATGACTTGACGTGAATGAGGGACAGTAATCTATCAGTCTATGGATGTTCTAATGCACTTATCTACCTCTCTCTACCGGTGCCATTTATTCTAGAAGACGCAGTAAATGCACGGTGGTCTTCCGTAGTGTTACGGCAGCCGCAGCACTGACCGAATGATCTTCCCACCGCAAAACAAGAACGGTAGACATCAGTAGCACAGCAAAACAAGCGCCCAGCGCTTGGAAATAACCATGTTCTCGGAAACAGCCAAAAAATCAACAATCACTGACAAAACCCCCCGCTAATGCCCGAACAAAATTCCCTATAATCAAATGTGGTAACCTCATCTAACATCCTCTATAGATAAAAACTAATCAACAGCTTGATACACCCGAAAGCTCGCAAACTCCCAATACGCCTGTGTGAAATTCTCCGGATTGCTGCGCACGAAATCTGCGCACGTGCCGGGACAGCCATACAGGTCGGTGTAGAACTGCTTCTGGGCGCCCAGCTCGCCGCACAGGTCGATATTGGCGATGATGCTCTGGTTCCGGAAGTGGGAGGCGATGTCGCAGTGGGTGCTGGGGAAGTCGGCGAGGGGGGTGCCCCAGGAGGAAGGGTCGGGCATACTGTTGGTGGTGTTTGTGGCCGAGTTGGCGATGTCGGTGGGAATGGAGTCGCGGGGGAAGAACCATGTGCGGATGCCAGCGTCGCGGAGTTCGAGGGCGTAGAGCTGAGGGCGGGTGGTTGAGTTAGCCTGGACTTTGTGGTGTTGTGATGCATGGGGGGAATTCTGCAAGGGGGGCTGCTTACCCCACCGCCATTCTCATTCAACTCCTGCCCATACGTGCTAGGCGGGCCCTGGACGCCGCAACCGGCGTTACTGTGGGTGGAGTTGTCGCAGGTCAGGTAGTTGGGGGAGCCGGTCTGCCGGCGCTGCACGCCCTTCATGGAGCAGCCGGCGGAGGTGTGCAGGGTGACGGCGTTGCCCTCTGTGGCGCGGTTGTTGGTCTCGACCACGTCGATCTCACCGTTGACGGGCCAGTTGAAGGTGTCCGTCAGCCAGAGGGCAGGCCACAGGCCGCAGCCGTAGGGCGAATGGCGGATGTCGAAGAGGAAGAGGCCGGCGTCGTAGCTGGTGGTCGACTCGAGGCGCACGGAGCGGCGGCCGTGGCTAGCGTTGCGGTCGGCCATGTCGACGCGCAGCACCACCGCCGACGCATCGGCCGTCGTGTAGGTCAAGTTGAGCGCCTGCGCCGTCGACCGGTTCACGTACTGTACGAAACCGTTCGTGGGATCCGCGCCCGAGTAGTAGTCGAAGCGGTCGAAGAACGAGGCCCCCGCGTAGGTGTCAATCAGCTCGTAGTTCAGGCGTGAGTAGTCGGGATAGCTGGGTTTCTTGGTGCCTTCCACGGCGCCGACGACCACGGCGATGATCACGATTATGAGGACGCCTCCTCCTACTAGCAATCGCGTGCGTCTGGACCAGCCCCGGGGATTGTACCAGGCGCGATTCATGGGCGCATCCCTCGCTCGAAGCCCGGCTTCTGCGCCGGGAGGTGGTGATGGTGGTCCGGCATGGTGAAGCCCGTCGTCGAGGTCGATTTTGGGAAGCTGCGAAGTGGTGGGCGCGGAGTAGTGGCTCAGATGATCGGCGGGGAATGGATAGTCATTACTGGTCATTTTAAGAGATGTGAGTTTGGAATTGACTGAGTTAAAAGATAAAAGATGCAGTACGATAAAACGAGCGACAGATGGTTGAATGTAGAGAGTAAGGAAGCCGAAGAGATTTGACTTACACACTGCAGTATCCGGTCAAGGAAGGCGCAAGATGAAAGCGGAAAATTGTCGTCATGCAGAGGAGCTCAAGTGAGACAGAAACTGAGCATCGCCTGATAAGGCAGTCACTTATCGGGTCACTCCGTTGCCCCGATCGGGACTACAGATTATTCCATATGGTGGCTCAATAGCATTGCATTGTTATCAATGACAATTAAGTTAAATCAAGTCAAGCATCAGGAGCAACCAGCTTATATGCAGCGAGAATCGATTCCTGTATCAGGTGACCTTCCTCCCCAAACAACAATTGACCAGCAATCTCTTCACTTCTGCATCTGTCGAAGTCGTAGAATATCCTTTGAAGCCGCTCCTCGGACATGCTCCTGCAACCAGGTCGGGAATGCCCTCAACATACTAGCGACCGAGTAAGCCTCAGGGAGAATGACCTGCCCACTCTTGCCCGACACCACCTGGCGGGTAATCGCCGTGGCCACGCGCTCCACCGTCAAAACCGGTGGCTTGAACAGATCTCCCGCCTCCGTCAACTGCTGAATCATGGGCGTGCGGACCCAATACGGATGAATCACACTACAGGCAGGCGTCAGTAGCCATAGCCAACAGAAGCCGCGGGAGCACAAGTGAGCAAGCAAGCAAGCAACAATCCACATACCTCGTCTTCACCCCAGGCTTCTGATACCAGTACCGGATCTCCTGCCCCAATCCCTCATGGAACGCCAGAGCACTGGCCTTGGAGCAGCAGTAGTCGACCATCTCACCCAACGTGACAAAGCTCGCCATGCTCGCCACCGTGATCACATGCCCGTGGTTACGCTCCAGCATGGCCGGCAGGAACTCGCGCACCGTCAGGAAATGCGACAGCGTGTTGACCTCGAAGGTCTGACGGATCTTGCTCTCGGGTTCATTGAGAATGGTGCCGTCGTGGCCCACGCCGGCGTTGTTGACGAGAACCGTCGGGTGGCCGTGGTCGGCGCGGACCCGCTCGGCCGTGGCATGGAGCGCCTCGGTGGAGGTGATATCCGTCTTGTAGAAGTGGGCGGATTTGGCTGCAGTGGCGTTAGCTGGGGAAGCCAGAATTGGACAAAGGGCAAAAGAGCATGTACGCAGTGTATATGTCGGCGCTTGGATGTCCAGAACGATACACCTCACGCCTCGCTCGGCTAGTTGGAGGACGACGTGCTGGCCGATGCCACTGCTACCACCGGTGATGAGGACAAGCTCGCGGTCTTTGTTCCATTTCTTCGCGGAGCAGTTCCCCAGTGACCAATATGTGAGGGCGCGGTTGAGATACCGCAAGACAAAGATCGCGAGCAACGAGTTGAGGGCCAGAGGAATGATCGGATATGCATTTATGGCAGCTCGCACGGGCTCAGGGAGCTGAGCCCAAAGTGACTGCGTCCAGGATTGGAGGAGCGAGATTGAGTGCTGGAGGGTCATGGTTATGGTGCAGCGTTGTTGGATGGACCGAGACCAAAACAGGGCTACCTGAGCCCATTTAAAGACAACGTCACGAGTTCACGTGTCCTTAATTTCACCCAAAAAGGCAACCGTTGCGATTTGCCAGCAGTGGAGATCAGCAAGCACCCTCGGTTGTTTGAAATCGATAATGAGGGGACCAAATCGAGGGACGCTTGACGATCCCGAGGGAGGGCAAAGCTTTGCTCAAGCTTAATCCTATTCTCGGGTTATAAGTCAATAAGACGGGCTCAAGGAGGATTGCGCATGTGGACATGTCACATTGCTGATGCGGCCATGGCACTGTTCCGGCACTGAGTGTATCTTGTGTTGAGAGAAGAGGAACAGTCCGACAGTGCCTGACAAATATCCCGGCTGAGCATAGTTCTGCAAGGTGAAACAAAGAGGAGAAGTCTGTGGATTAAGCTCGATTTTGGGTCTCCTCAAAAAGATGCGTATTATTGGGTCGACTGGAGCAGCTTGTCTTCTGCCGAGGCCCAGAGGCCCGAATATGAAAGTTTATCACATGAGGCTGCTCGTAACTTCATCCAGCCACAATTGCCTTTTCGTCACACGCTTGAAGCTGCAACGGTTACCATTGCGGGGTTTGCCGCCAGCGCTCGCCAAGCGGGATCCGGTTATAGTCAAATTGAACAACATAGGGTGGACAAGATAATGCTACTATTTATAGTATGATAATACAAATACTGTGGTATTGTAACCAGACAAGACAGTATGGCCGAGCGGTCTAAGGCGATAGACTAGAAATCTATTCTCTTCGGAGGCGTCGGTTCAAATCCGACTGCTGTCGTTTTTTGCGTTTTTCGCCCGTTCCCTGTTATATACAGCCTCCCACCTCTGGAGCATCTCGGACTTACTAGGCTTAAGCTTTCCCGAACAAATCCGGGACTCGTTCGAAGAAGCTCACCAGCTACGGAGTAAATCATGGTTCACCTGCGAAGCCTGTTTTCTATGTCAGCCACCCCACATACAGCCAACAGCTCGCCCAGTTCCCGCAAAGACAGAGCTTAGCCAGAGTCCACCTACCGGCCACTTATACGGCCCATAGGTATGGTCCTTCAGAAACGCCGTAAACACCAGCACACTCGTCACCTAGACTCCGGCGAAGACATTTTCGCTGTAGGTTTACCCCGGCCTGACGGTGCAGATATTGCCGCCTTTTCTGGACCTCACGGAGGATCTCTCGCTTCCGATGGTATCAAAGGCGTACTGCAGCAAGGGACCCGCCGCCTGGATCTTGTCGGCGACACCGGCGTCATTGTAGTCGAAGACGTGCATGGCACCGTACGAGCGGACCAGGTCGGCGTGGCTGCAGGTGGTGATCACTTCGAGGCCGTACAGCGCGGCCAGTTGGATGGTGTATAGGCTAACGCTGGCCGCAAGTTCTCCTTATCATTAGCGAAATCTTTGCTCGTTCGAATGTACAGGGTCGAAGTGTCTCGGGATGTAAACTGGAAAGAAGACACGCACAGCTTCCACCCCAAACCTGCCACAATATCACCTTTCGCAGACCGAGTCACGGCACTGCCCAGCTCGACGACCTCGCCGACAAAATCACAGTGAGCACGGCGCCCTCGGCAAAGGCTCTGCCATCGAGGCTTGGACTAGTCTTGGTCTCAGCGGAGGGTGGACTCCAGGAAAAAAGCTGGGAGGGTCTCATGAGAAGGACTAGTATACTCACTATCTGTCGGATTTTGAGCGACGTGGGAGATCCGCACGAGGACTTGGTGCGGGGCAGGTGAGGGGATCGCGATCGACTCTTCGCGGAGCTCGGATCCATATACCACGAGGGCGATGTTGGACATGTTGGGGTTGAAGTGAGCTTGGAAATTTTGAGGTCAAGATGATGATAATGATGATCGGTCTCTCGGGCTTTCCGGTTGAATTAATTTTCAGACATGTAAGTCGATTGCAGGATGAACATCCATACTTAAAGCCAGCAGGTCGTTATACCTGACGATTCTATCGCCCCCTAAAAGCCATTCACATTACCCCTTGTCGTGGCATCTTTGATAGACAAGGTGTGGATTCACCATCAAACATGATGGACAAACGGACAAGATGCCTGTGGGGGCGGAAATGCGCTCCCCAGGCTCCTCAGTGCAAGTATAAAAAGTTTCGACGAAGGAATCACTACCTAGCTGAACTTTTTAGATTGCCGCTTCGCTCAGAATGTGGCCAAAACAGCGAATTGTAAGGGTCATGACTCTCCTGGTTGGTTGTTCGCTCATTCCGGCCACGCTTGTAGATGGCTCTGAGCTCCCTCGATAGCCTCCGAATCACTGTCACCACACATCCATCAAGCGCTTTTAGTTCGTTTTCCGACGAGACAAGAATCACACAAGAATTCTGGAACTCCAGGATTACTGAGATAGGGCGAGAAGTGAGACTTGCGGTGACAGTCTTAGGAGACGACAGAGCAGCGACAAGGAATCCACGCACCAGTGCTCGAACTACCTCGTGTTATCTGGATGCTTTCAGATGAAGCTCATCAGGTAGACTTCCCGGAGGCTAGCTTTCCAGAGATATAGAATATCCCGGGTTTGGTCTCTAAGCACGACCATAATCGCTAGCCTTACTGGGAAGAATTCTGTTGCTGCTGCTCATAACTCAAGCTACCCTCAGAGCACAAAATAGAGCCCCATAATCGGTTTATCGGTGCTCAAAAGCCAGGGAAAGAATGTGTACTTGCGCGGACTGTAACGAGTTTTACCTCTCTTCCTTTTCTGCAAATCGTAAGGCCGTAAGAGGAGGTGGGTCGAGAGGGCGCGAGACCGTCTCTTCCACCCTACCCCAAAGCTCTAAGACAGTCTCTTCCATTCTATCCCGATGCTCTCAGAGAATCTCTTCCATTACCTCCCAAAGCCCTGAGACTAGGTTGTGGAGAGGGCTATTGTCCGGTATCGTACTTAATATAACGCACAGTACATTGATCTGCTCGGCCAACACCCTCATTGTTGATCTGTTTTCTACTCCGTCTGTATCAAGCTGCTCGAATTGCGCGCGGAGTCCAGTAATGTCGTTCCCAGTCTCCGGGAAGCGTCGGCAATTTTCCATGCCGTTAACCATTAACCAGCACGATAGTTTGACGGCTACTCACATATTGCTCACACCCAGGCATGCGCACAGACTCTGGCAATACTCTAAGTATTGGAGGTCGAGTCTTTTTCTACGCAATTGGGCTCTTGAAAGACTTTTCCGGCGGTACGCCAGGCTGTCCATGCACCATCCCCGGGTCTCACTCGTTTCAAAGCCTCCGGATCTTATTCTCGTTATCACGGCATTTTATGAAAACGCCTTTCAGATGAAGGTTGGTAATATTTTCTTGTTCGAGTCTGTCGTATGCTTTCGTTCAGCAAAAGCAATCTTTCATCATTAAGCTGCCAAAGTCGATTGAGATCATTCTTCCTCAGCCAGATCCGGAAGCCCATGCCAACTATTTTTGATTGAGAAACGACAAGTTCGACGACAGACCCTATCAGGGCGAGTTCGATCATGATTTCCGAATCTACTACTGTAGGTCTGGGTTTTGTGCTTTGAAAACGCAAATGGCCCCCAGGACTGTGATGGAATACCTGGCTCTGGCTGGAGCTTGGAGCAGTGGAAAGACAAGACAGTGAGAGATTAGCAAATGAGATTCTTTGACAGAAAGAGAGATGGAAAATGGGGTTGAAAGTGTGAATGATGATGATGATGAAGATGATGAGAGGAAAGGGAAGAGAGAGGGGCGGTAGTAGTAGCAAGAACAAAACATCCGTTTGCATTCGATGCCCACACCTGACACCTGGACAATGGAAATGGAGCAAACAGGTCTGACTCCTCCCTTCATGAGGGTCCCATCTCCATCAAACAAGGATGAAGACTTTGAAGTCTCCCCCTGCAGTCACTCGCTGTGTTAGCTTATCAAATATTCCTAGAAATCGGCATTCCACACTGGAATTTCTGACTTACTTTCGCTGCATACACCAATGAAGAATGAATACCAATCATGAACATGAGATTGTACAAACCATTCATGAGACATTTGGCTGACTAACCAGAGGTAGCATCGTTTACTTTTCCCTCGAGAGAGCTATGTAGCTCACTTTATTACTCCAGGGCAACCGACAACTACTTCAAAAGAGCGTGATGGCCTTTTGACTCTTGACTTTACAACAAGTAATCCGTTGAGTACCGATAGTGAAGCACGTAGTGCTGGGCCTTGAGTTACGGTTTCTGGCCTTTGTGGGATGAGGAATCTCGTTGAATTCTCAGGAAAGCCATGCCACAGACAAGCTAATATCACGATATGTATTCTGTCCTTTTTTTTCTGCTGTTCTATTAATGTTTGTGTGTGCCAGCAGCGTGATCCGTTCAAAAATTCATCGTGGTCTATAGTTCTGCCACTTTTCGCAGGGTCTTCTGGGAACCACGTCGGGGCGTATGCTAAGCCAGAGCTTAGTATGCTGGATTAACCAAAGTAGATCAACTATGTTGACCTTTGCGGAGTAGCCATTCTCCAAAGGTCTTTGGCTAGCTTCTCACCTGGAAGATCTTTGTCTGACTACTCTTCCCACTTTCCCCATGAAAGGGCTTTGGCTGGTATACCCCCCGAGGGCCTTTAGCTAACCATGTCTAACGGAAAGTCCTTTGGTAGGGCTTAGCTCTAAAACTACGTTTAATATAGTTAATTTCAACTCCTTACTAGTCCTCAAAGGTTGCTAAAAAGAAAACCGGACGACTTATATAGACCATGTCGGTAAATTTGCCAACCTTCGAAAGCATAGTGCGGGCTTGCAGCAACTTATCCGTGGACAATATTACACTTTTACACAGTCATCAAATCAAGACTTAGACGTTCTGTAAGATCTAATGCAGAAATAATATCATCCAGCTATCAAGACCTGCAAGGTCTGCTTACCTCTATAGTAACTTCCTTCAGCTGGTTAGGAGTCAACCGAAGACAAGGGTCTCATGAGGTACGTAGTCATAGCAAGTCGCTTATGATCGCTTCTATCTTTCTTTCTTTCTTCTCAATCCAGTTTAACCTAAACCTTCCAAGAGAAGAACCAAGCGTTGTCTCTGAGCGTGGCAATCGAGGGGAGTCATGTACTTGCGTAATTGACTATAGGGCTCATACTCGATATTGAAGAAGAGTCGCAGTCTGCAGCGACAAAGATGAATAGTGAGTCCTACTCCCGCCGGGGCTGGACCAAGGCTTTGCACAGCGAAGGACAAAGCAGAGACTCACAAATAGGCAAAGTCCATCGGCTCTTTACTGGTCCCCGGAGTTCTTCGTTAGCTATATAATTCTCCACATTCTACCTGTTTAAAGCAATAGAAGCCCGTTCATCCTTCACAGTCGATCTTACTCCTCTCAAAACAGTTTGACACTCAAAGTACCAGCAGTAGCTCACCCAAAAGCATAGAAGTGTGTCTTCTTCTGTTGAAGAAACGGCTGACTTGTGCCTGATAGAAAAGATAACTCCAATGGAGAGCACTGGGCGATTATCGACTGTTCGTGGAGGGTATTCTTCATGGGCTGAAGTCGCGGAATGGCACGATCCCCCGGGATATGATTGCGACGATTCGAGTTTCTTCGCGCCCTGGCCTACTTAGTAGAGTCGACTATTTATCTCAAATTGGGATAAGCGGCTGCTGTCATGCGTTCTGGATGTCAAGGATGCAGAGACAACGCCTGATGACCAACTCAGTGTTGTGGAGTCGACTCGGCAGGCGTCAGCGACCTGGCTCAGGCACTCGGACACTGCACCGTTCCACATCTTCAGCCTCCCGGCCTCCGGAAAAATAAATATGATTGATCATATCGCTACAGAGATTGCCCACGATTATCTTCAGATGTGGTCCAAAGCCTAAGCGCCTGGTGCCAGTTTACACATCTTCTTCTGGCCGCCAGCCAAGTTAAAGCAGCAGGAGAGACAACTCGAACAGAATCTTTACGGTATGCTGCGTGCCATCCTCTGGCAATTGATCATCGCACTTGCTGAGCTGCATCCAGAGCTCTCCCTGGATCTTTTACCAAGGCAGTATGATGATTCCAAGAGGCGCGATTTCAGAAAGATGCCTTGTATTATTGACAATGACGAGGTGCTTGCCGCCTGGAATAGATTGGCTGGGTCTGACAGCATCGACGCCGATTGCACCTGGCAATATTTCTCGATGGCTTGAATCATTTCGAGAAAGACTTTTCCGAGATGATGGAATACATTGAGCCGTGGGTGTCCGCCAGGCCATTGGATGTCAAGATCCGCACGTCGCACAGAACAATATCTCAAATTCACTACCACCGAGGCGAAGAAATCAAATGAACCAAATCTTTTTGAACAAGGCTAAGGGTTCGTTTTCCGAGCTCCGTAAGTGGGTCGACCGTATCTCGATGAGCTCGAAAGATCCAGGGATGATACGCCCCTCTTACAAGATAGAGTTCGAAAAATCGCTGGAGGAAACATTGGTAAATACACCCGAAGGTATAATGGACGTGCAACAGTGATGATCACAGGCCTGACAAATAACCATGGCTTTCGCGGCTTATCAATAGTTTCTGCCTAGGTAGTTCAAGTCTATTATTCACCAATCTGACATCTGTAACGACTGAGGAGTCCTTGAATCTTTATGGTATATTCATGTCAAATAATCAACGAAAGAACCTCACTTGGCGATGACAAAACCAACGTCTCTCTTAAGAGCAGCCTGACTTGACTCGACACAAGTTGTCGAACAGGCAGCGAACTCGATCCAGGCGCTGTGAACTCCTTCTGATCACTGATCGACTGATCGGATTTGATTCAAGCCATCGATGCAGAATTCAAAGGCTATGAATCGTAGCTAGCAATCAACACATCTATGAAAATAATGATCGTAGGCAGATCGTCTGGAGCGCGAACCCGCAAGTGCCCACGCATCGTGGATGGCGACGGAACAGGAAGGAAAAATGCTCATCATGGTATAAATGTTTCCCCTTCTCCGCTTCGTGCCTGAATTCGTGGTCGGAGTCGAACCCATCATTTGCTGATCTCGATAAAGCTGACTCGTCCCGGCCGTGGTTCCGTGGATCTGCATCCTGACTTAGGGAATCCGCTTGGGATCTTGATGGGGCTGAGGGAGCATGGGTGGTGGTCCATGTGAACGATCGGTGAGCCATCGTGGAGAATGATTCCCTGCATCAACTCTCGAGAGTAATTGTTTAGATCGCGAGCGATGACTCCACTGCTGCAATACTGAGTACTTGCTCAGTACTATAGTACTATAAACTGGGATCCGATGACATCGAAGTTGTTTTCGGAGAGTTTGGTGTCGGTAATGAGACCGACAAGCAGTTCTTTTCTCGATTTTCCACAGTTCACTAGTAAAAAAGTAGGTAGAATAATTTCTCGAGGCAGACAAGCAGCATTGGCCCTTGTCATCTCGTGACGAGGTATCCTTCCCCTTTTCCTCAGCTCTGCTGCGTGCAGGATGAGAAAGCTCTAACGCGAGATCATGACCAGAGTTCATGGTCGAGACTAGACAGGGTCGAAGTTGCCCATGACTCGGATACGTATCATAGAGCTTGTTTTTTTTTCTATTTCTTAACGAACAGGAATAATAGGTAAATTGCCGACCAACATCTAAAGCATTCAGGTACCAGAGAAGTTCCGCATAACAGGCACCCAGGCAGTAATCTGGGGCGGTAAGCTAGGGGCAGAATCCGCGGGAGCTGACAGCATCAGTCAGGCTCAACCTCATCCATCAGCCTCATCTTCCTTTCCTCACTGACCTCACAGCTCACTTTCAATTGCCCTACCACGACTTGTGTAAGGCTCCGGTATCGAGAGTCAATCAGTAGTAACAAGAACGACTGATAATCCGATAAGCATTCTAATTAGCTCCTTCCCAATGCAAATACTCCCGCCTGCTTACAATTTCCGGATTAGCGCCCCGCAATGTGGAGTTTACTGGTCATTCTGGAAAGGAGTGAAAATTTGCTGTGGCTAAACAGTGTAGCAGCCTAGCCAGTAGCTATGGAGCACTGCTACGCTACGAACCACGAGGCGTCACTCCCCTGTCCTCACGCTCGCAGCAAATGATAGACACACAAACACACGAGTACGCCGCAAATCCTCCAATCAGGCTGGGCACGTTACCCCTGACTGAGTCATGTTTATTAAACACGGGAGCTCCACCGACTTGATCGTCGCCACCAGTAAGCGCTAGCCTCCAGCTAGACCCTGGGGCCGAGGATCAACATGGGCTTGTCAAGCTTTTCAAAGCATGCCGCGTGGAGTGGGCTAACGTATACTAGTGAAAGGGGAAGGGCTGTACCCTGTGTGCCTGCACACCGTTTACCGTTTCTGTTGGCCATGGCAAGAGTAGGCTAGGTCCCAGGGGTTTGGAAAGCCCAAATTGGCAAGTTCAAAGCTTACTTTGACTGTCTGCGCTCGCCATTCGCCTGAGGCTGCTAAGCTAAGTCCGCCGTATGGGCCATGGTATGTAACATGAAGGCGGACGGGGTGGAGATTCCACCCTCACCGCGCCGCGGATGATAACTTTTTTCGGCTCACGCCCGAGCCTGTACCGGCTATTGCACACCTTGACACGTGGTTGGATAAGCCTACTAGGGAGCATTATGCCTCCGATCATTGCTCTATGTGATCTTTCTCCTCTCCACCATGAGGCGCCATGACCAAGGCCAGCTACCAAGGGGCAAATCCTGGATTAAATAGCTCAAACACCGCCCCGGGATTGATGGCGGAAAACTCGACCCTTTCAACGTCTTCTACCATGCTGACCCTTGCACTTGAGTCGTTTCTGGCGGCTGGCCCGACCAGGGACGGCCAGTCTCTGCATTCACGCGGAGAAGAGGGCTCCCCCGTGATTAGTCCTCTGTCCGACCTGCAGCGAAAAGGTCTGATCGTGATTTCTGCGCTCGCCCTGCTTTCTATGTTAACAACCTTCTTGCTTCTGAGCTTCATCACGTACCGATTCATCTTTTGGCGCCAGTACTATGGACGTTACATAGGTTACAACCAATATGTGGTGCTAATGTTCAATCTGATTCTGGCCGACTTTCTGCAAAGTTTCGGTTTCATCATATCCCTCCGCTGGATTGCGATCGATGCGGTGCGAGCAACGGATGTCGCCTGCTTCCTGCAGGGGGTGGGGCTTCAGATTGGCGACCCAATGAGTGGTCTTTTTGTCCTTGCTATCGCAGTTCACACCTTCCTGCATGTCTTCCTCAACTATCAAATGGAGCACCGAGTCTTTGTCAGCATGATCATCGGTCTCTGGGTTTTCGGAGTGGTCATGACCATTATTCCGATCGCTGCGCACGGAAGATATGTGTGGTTTCCAGCAGTGGCCTGGGTTAGTTCATGCATCTTTGTCTGTATAGTCCTTGGCGGATGTTGGCTAACTTGGTTCTTCAAAAGTGCTGGATGACTCCTGACTACGAGAACATGCGATTGTGGACGCACTACGTCTGGATCTTCGCCTCCGAGTTCTTTACCGTCTCGCTCTACGCGATAATGTTCATACAACTACGCCAGAAAATGTCCGAAGCGGCCGTCCTTGGCGAGCACAACTCCGAGAGTCTGCACCGGTTGAAAAAGGTCATTTTCCACATGGCAGTCTATCCCGTCGTCTATATTTGCCTGACCTTGCCGTTGGCGGCCGGTCGCATGGCGTCCGCTGGAGGGCACTCGCCTAGTGTTCTTTACTTCTGTTTTGCGGGCTCCTTAATGGCATGTTCCGGGTTCTGTGACTCGTTTCTGTACGTCGTGACCCGCAGGAGTGTGGTTGTGGAATCCGAGGCGCGGGGAAGCAGCAACAAGCTCTCCAGCCGACGGAATAAATCTTCGGCTGTGCAGCAATATGCCATGAGTGCAGATCCGAAGGGACCTACGTCAACGACAATAACCCGGGGCCGTAGTGATTCCACCGAAGAGATGATTGGCAAGGGCGGCCTCGAGCTGACGCCCATGGGCGTGGTGTTGCAGCATACGACGATCGAGGTCACAACCGAGAGTGCATACGAGCCGTCGTCTAGTGATACCGGTGCCTCCAAGCGACACGACACCGAGATAGCACTATCTATTCCTGAGGCCCACCAGCATGGCACATGATGCCCGCTACTCGGCAGGCGATGGACCCCTGCTGTTGCGACCGTGCTTTGAGCCACCCAATCGCTATCCTTGCACTCTTACCCTCCAGACCTCGGACTACCCCTGGTTCGCACGGTCGCAGCCGGTCGGCTATAGGCTGCTGCATCTGTCGAAGCCAAGGTCTCGATCTGATTTTTTTAGGCAGAGTTTCTGCGAGGCAGGCATTACGGTACACGACGCTATATGCCCTATGATGGTACTTGGCCAACCCCTGCATGTGTTCAAGAGGCGGTACCCAGTCAGCACGGCTTATCCGACGTCGTTTAACGTCGATAAGACAATCCGAACGAGCGTGCAGCGACCACTACCATGACACATGATAGAAAGCTCGCGATGACATGCACGACATGGGCCCGCCACGTGGCAACCTGTCTCAGAAGAGTATCCCTATCCCACACGGCTTCCCGTTCTTTGACTACAGGATCTTGAGCTGTCTTTTGTCTCTGACAAGCAAGGACCCCCGTATAGCCCAGACACCGCTGCATACTCACCAGGTTGTGGTTCTCGATGCAGACCCAATAACGACAGAGATGGCTTTACTTCTGCCAGACCCAATAACGACAGAGATGGCTTTACTTCTGCTCATGTTTGTACTTCTATCATGTATATGTACATCTCGCAGTCTAAGGACGCGGTCCTTCCATACATACATCTCATAATACTTAATATGCACATGCGAACATGATCATGACCGTCCGATACTTAAACCACATTATGTGCAGCCTGATGGACTCAATCCCCTTCAAACCAGCAAGGATTGATATGAAAACACCGATCTAACTTCATCTCGCGACTCAAAAAATAGCCACGGAATTAGGTGGACTCGCCACCCCTCCGACAACCTAGACACGTCAAACTGGCATTAGCAAAGACCATCCTCCCTCTGACTGAACAAACACCCCCCTCTCCCTCCCCGCCTCCCCAAAAGAAAATGAACAGAAGAAGTAAGAAAACACATACCTTCAAGGGCACACTCGCCACAAAGAACTCATACCGCCCCACCGCACGACAATGCTCCGCCAACCGCTCCAGATCGAACAGCTCCCCAATGGGACACCCCCACCCGGCCAGCACCCACTCATGGAGATTGAAGCGGCGGTCAGCGTGGGCGCCGCGGATCGGGGCGCGCTCGAAGCTGGGCGCGTCGCCCGCGACGGCCGCGAACTGATGCTCCCAGAGCCAGCGCACGGCCGCCTCGGAGGCCTCGAGGCCGATGAAGTCCGGGGACGGGCGGCGGGCGAGCGCGTGGCGGTCTGCGTCTGTGAGGGCCGTGTAGGCCTGCGTGAACCCGCTGCGGATGAAGAGGATGTCGGCCGGGCGCGCGCGGATCGCGTAGTCGGTCATGAGTTGCGTCAGGTGGGCGATGGGGATGGCGCACGAGGTCAGCGGCGAGAGAGCGATGCCGTGCTCGCCGGCCCAGCGCGCGTAGTCGAGGAGGATGCCGCGGCCGGTGATGCCGCCGGCTTCGCTAACTACTTTGGGTGCGTTAGCATGACTGGATTCGCTGGGTGCAGGTGCAATGCCCTGGGAAGGTGGTGGGTTCCCCGGGACAGGTAAGAACGTACAATGAAGCCCAATAACATCCGATGTTTCAATCTCCTCCTGTGTGTGTCCGTTATAGAACCTTTTACTCTGCTGGTGAGCTATTCAAAACGCCATTTAGCCTATTAATCAATCCAATTCAAACAACCCCTTCCCGACCGATTCTCCCTTTCTAACACAAGGAGAAAAAGAAATAAAACAGAAATGCACACCATAATGCCTGAACCCATCCCACTGCGTCGACCCCTGCGTATTAAACGTCAACACATCATCATTAATACAGTTCGGCCGCCGATGCACAATCTCCTGCCGGAACGGGTCGCGCTCGAAGCTCGGGTACGTCGGCATGCTGAGCGGCCAGTCCAGCGATATGCGCACCCCCGTCCGGATCTCTTTGGCGGCTTCGACTATCACTTCGTCCGTTAAAAGGTTGAGCGTCCCCAGTTGATCGTGAGCTCCGAAGCGGCCCCAGGCGTTGCCGGGGGGCCCGGTGGGATCGAGGGGGAGGGCGGAGAAGGGGATTTCCATTCTTTCTTGGGGGGGCATGGGAGACAAAAGAGGAGGGGGAGGTGGTGTAGGGGTTGTATTGCGCTTTTGTTTTTGTTTTTGTTTTTTGTACAGTACTAATTCTAAGTCGAGTAGATTGGATTCAATTGGGGCTACTAAGTTCTTATGTACGGGCCGGAGATTGCGGGGTAATGGGGCCCGAATGAGGGCTTTTCCGTTTCTTCGTCCGCTTTTCCGATGCGGAGATGTCGGGATGGGCTGGGGATTCATGGAGGCGGTTGTGGGGGGGCAGAGGCTGTTTTTGAGTTTTAGTAGACTTAAAGTGTTAAACTCAATGCAATACATATGCCGTTTTAAGTCTACTAGATAATCAGTTAGTTGGTTGTTGCGTGAACCCTTGCTGACTGTCAAATATATGCTACAGTACAATGTGTTGTGGTCAACCGGACAAATTTGTATCAATACAATTTCACTTCTAAATGACGCTATCTGACATTTGAGGTCCATCACTTATGTCAACCTCCTGAGATCATTCACTATCTTGAATATTTGCATCCACAGCTTCGTTAGGCGGCCACCAGAAATCGTCCTCTAGCGCCTCGCTGAGTTCTTCGTCCACTGGACTCCAGAAACGAGTGGGAACTGAAGTAGGCATGACCGGAACTTCAGCAGTCTGTATAGTATCTGCCGTCAGATCAATCACCTCTACAGCTACAACCTTGACCTTGGCCTTTGCCGACCGTCGCTTAGGCTGAAAAGGTGGCTCTGAGACTTCCGAGTCTTCATCGCTGCACAGGTTGATGATGTCCTTGGCCTCTTCAAGACCCCGTTTTTTCTGACCAGCCCGCTGGTTGCGCATCTGTGCTATCCTCCGTTGAGTTTCGACTTGTTCACGTTCTTTCTCCTCCAGCCCGATGCGATACCTGGGATCGAGTCCGTCGAGCTGCAGAACCTGCCAGTTCTCCGCCAGCATGGTGTAGGCTACTTCCTCCAATGGCGTATTTTCTGGCCGGGCCCACGCGGCGAACGGCCCATCGTAATACGGACCTTTGCCCACGCCATAGATGGGGTGCCGCTCTAGCTGGCCGGAGCGCAGTAACTCGGCACCGATGGCGACTCCCGACTCAGGAGTTTCTGTTTGCATGGCATTTTGCGGTTCGGATGCAGGCTTGTAGTCCATCGTAACACGGTCCGTGCGCGAGAAGGGCGCCGAAGAGAGAATTTGAATGCCGCCAGCTGCATCTCCTACTAGGAGATTGGTCTTATCAGGCGAGAAAGAGAGGCTCATGATCTCCTCTTTCAGATCTGCCATGTCCTTGTCCAAAACATCCTCTGGGGCCCGGAGAATATCCCATTTCTTAAGCACACCGTCGGAACCTCCACTGTAGAAATCTCGGACCGTCTCGCCCCAGAGAGCCGTTCTAACACCAACATCGGTTTGTTCGCGGGGTAAATTATCATTCGTCGGACTGAGCGGTTCACCATGCTGTAGCTTGTGCAATATGTCTGCCGGGTTTCGAAAATCCCAGATATACGTAGCACCATCGGTGCAGCTCGCGGTGATGTAGTTCGTGTTCATCGGGCAAAAGGTCACATCATTAATATCCAGCGCAGGACATTCAAACTCCATGACAGTCACTTTCGACGTCAGCGGCTCGTATATGCGAACAGAAGTTTTGCTCCCCTTAGATGCCTTGTTCAATGTGTGGCCAATGTAATTAGCCACAGCAGCCACCGGCAAAGTAGGGTGCCATTTAATGTCGAACACGTTTTGCGAGTTGGGTAGAAAGTTCAGAGTCGTGATGGAAGACTCGGCCACTTGCCAGCCTGCCAACTGGCCATCAGGAGTTAGACCCTCGTATCCCTTCTCAGACAAGCCTGCGAGGAGGATATTCCCAGTCGCTGGAATCGTGCCCCAGGCCAGCGACGAAGGCACCAACTCAAGGGCCTTGTTCGAACGGGGTTTGCGGGTTTCGAGGGCTGCATATTCCATTTCACCCAATTTCCAGAGGCCGATCGAGCGGGTCCCTGTTGCTAGTAGATCAGGCATGTATTTCGAGCGAGCCATGACTTCCACCTGGCTATCATGCCGTAATGTTCTATAGCACATTGCCCCTCGACTTGAGCATTGCCACAGCTTGACAGTGCGGTCATAACTCGCCGTAAACAGAGCGTCTTCCCACCACTCGATAGCTGTAACACTCATGAACAGACGAGGGTCTTGCAAGTCAGGACTTTCGGCTGTCCCGCCCCGCGGTCGACGCACCCAATGCTCTGGTAACTCCTCCAATGAGTTCCGGGCCAAGTCTCCAAGAAGCAGATTATTGTTACGATTATACGACATGTTGTGTACATCAGCCTGCGCCGCTGCCCCGGCTGCGAACCTGGTGCCATCGGGCGACCAGCCCAGAACAATCACATCACCGGAAGCGCCTCTGTATTTATTGGATAATTCGAGGTTGTCAGAAGCCTTCATACGGAGTTTTTGTGCATTCGAGAGTCCCAGCTGACGCTGATGTAGTAGTGCCGTCACTGTGTTCGAGGGATCTCTTGACGGACCTCGCGGCGGACTGGGCTGTTTGGCGCGCGGTGTAGGAGGGGTCGCTAGACATGACTGTGGCGGGGGTCGCTCGGGCTCGTGCTGGAGACTAGAACAAGGCGACGAAGCATGGCTGCGAGCCCTGCTGCGTCGAGGGGATCTGATCGCCAGGCCATCGCTGCGATCCCTTCCTTGCCGCGATGCTCGTGGCACATGCTCTGTAATCGGGCTAGCAGCACCGTCAAATCCGAAGCCCGCATAGTTCGATCCATCGTAGTAGTTGGTAGGACCCTTTCTTGGACGGCCGGAGCGTCGCGCCCGAACTGCGCGGGTCGTGTCCGATACTTGTGCATGATCCGTGGAAGGAAGCTTGTCCTGCGATTTGGGTTTCAAGGACTCTGGCGTGTCCGGAAGAATCAGCGACAGAGTGCTTCCACCAGTCGAAGTATCATCTATTGGTGTGTCATTGCGATAGACGGATGGTTGTGAGTCGGTGTTAGAACGGGCTGAGGATCCCAAGAACTGCGCGAGCAGGTTCTCAGCCTCTACGACCACACTGTCGTCGTCATCAGGCTCCTGGGGCGTGAACCAATATGACATCATGCGATATTGCCGGGGATGCAACTTCGGCGTGTCATATCGCCCGGCTTTTCGAGGACTTGAGACTGGCGCAGTGGGATCCAATGGGGATGGAAAGGCGAGGTCAAGTCATTTTCGTGTTGCGGACGCGGAGACGGAACACGAGGCGGGTGGGAGTGAAGGTAAACGCGGAGGCGCGTTAATGGGTGGACAAAGCATGCAAACACGTTGCAAATAGTGCAAACATCAATGTCATGGTCGGTCCCGGGTTAATGGCCAAGGGACAACAACCTTGGAGTGAATCACCCTCGCTTCTTGTAAAGCTATAACTAATGAATTGCTGCTCATTGAAACACACAAGTCCATTCCACGCAAGTAAAGGGTATACGCTGCACTATAAAAATGCTAATGTACAAAAGGTTTCCAGCCAGGCCCGGCGCCATTGTCCATCATTTCTGATGCTTAAGGATTATTTTCATGTACCTAGTAAAAGACATTAGCACCCTGATCCGAAAACCAACAGGCGGACTTACAAGCTCATTCCGGTCAAAGCCATCAAAATCCCTGCTATGCTCTGATGCGAGACCACATGATCAGACAAGACCCAGCCCAGGCCTACGATGATGCAAGTCTTCAGCTGCCCGATTACGGTGCTCGTAACGGGCCCTGCCGCATCGATGATATAGAACTGGGAGAGATTGACTAGACACGCCATGATGCCACTCTGATGACAAATTTTAGCTGAAAAGGTAAGGGTAAAGGTGGCTTGAGATACTCACAGCCAGAATAGACAGCCACAAAGACTCTGGCACAGTAGAAACCGTCGGGAAGGTCTCCACCCAGGGTGCGACACAGAGTAGGACCGCCGCGCTGACAGGCGCCTGGTTGAGCAGAAGCTGCATGCTGCTCATCTGCAATTTCTTGTGGTAGCGGCCTACTAGTACGGTGTACATCGCACTAGCGCATACACCAGAGAAGGCGAAGAAGATGCCCTGCGCTGAGGTCGACTCAGTACTTCTGGAAGAAGGAAGGGAGTCGTAGTAGGAGACGACCCCTACACCCGTGCAGAGTACAATGAGGGGGAGGAAGGCGGCGCGAGGGATGCTGGATTGATACAGGATGTAATTGAGCAGCGCAGTTGCAGGGGTTAAAAGCAGCCGCGCCAATTGGTGAAAGATTACCGAGGAGTGGGCGAGGGCGAGATTCTGGAAGATCACTTGTATACACATGGCCGCAACAAGATGAAGGATGCGATATGCAGAGACGGGTTTGGGCTCGAACCAGCCACACCAAGGACGAGAAGTGACCCAGAGGGTCAAGCCAGTGATAGTGAAGTGATAAGCCGCAAATGATATTTGAGAGTTTCGAAGCATCGCATGCGAAAGAACAGACTTGTTGGTGAAGACCTGCGATATAGAAGTAAGCCTCATGTGGATCCAACCGAGGAGGAGTAATGTCTTACGATAGCTACCGTGGACAAAATGTTAACTGTCATCCATATTAGAAGACGAATGCTTGACCCCGATTGTTCATCTGAAGGTATCCCGTCCTGTGTCTTCTCCTCGTCGATTGTGTAAACGACCTCCGAGTCTGGGTTGTCAAGAGATGGGGTAGTCATAGAGGGACAGGATAATTCATGAACAGAGTTCTCCTCATGGTTCTTCTCCCCATCCTTCCGCTCATCTAGAGAGGGCGCTGCAGTGGCCATGGTGAGAGAATGAGGCGCTATTGCTGTGTAGCTGAAGCTGTCCTGGTGTTTAGAACATCACTGAGCGTCAGGCAAGCGGACACCGACAAGTAGAGATTTTCAATGCGACACGATCACGCCTGCCAGGTCGGTTCACCCGCATGTAGAATCTCGTTTGCGGGGAGCATGACGCCGGCGACCGGGTCGATACGACCGCAGAGACTAGCTGGGGTCTGACAGACGAAAGCATGTAGGCCCTACGATACCCTCGCCGCGACAGGACCCAGACGCTCGAACCAAGGAACATTCTTCCTGGTTGCACTTCGATGTTGCTTCAGCCCCCCAGGGGCGCGTGTGAGGAGTTCCGTTTTCGGCTCACAAGAAGGGATGGGGCCGAGAACAGGAATGCCCCCCTCCGCGGGATCGGTCGATCGCAATGCAGGTACAAGTCTGGATCGGGGCGCAGTCTGCTAGGAGCCATTATCCCTGAAGAGATTGCCACGAGTAAAAGAGAAGAGGAGACCCTCAATGCTGGACGCATCCAGGTGCAGTCAGCATGACATGCATAGTTGCATAGTTGCATACGGGTAGATCAAGCGGCCTCTGTGGGGGAAGCGGGGAAGCATAATCCCAAGCTGGCAAACACTGCAAAACGCCTTCTCCAGGTCACGTGGGGGTTGCCGGCACATCGAAAGTCATCCGGTAAATGGCTTTACCCTCCGTCCATCGGCTGTGTGTTCGGCAGTCGATGTCGGTGGCGGCAAGTGACAATAAAATCATGTCCGCGCTACACCCCGCCATTAGGATGGTTGCCCCTCCTGTACTTATACTTTTCTATTGCAGGGTCCCCTTTCATTCACTGTTTCCTTCATTGACCTCATAGCTGCACTCCACACTCCTCCCCTTCAAGATGGCGACTCCCGGCTTGCTTTACGTGACGATGCACCCGCGTCCCTCGCTCCCCGCCGCACAGTTCCACGACTGGTACAACACGGAACACGGCCCATTGCGCCTGCGTCTGCCCTTCGTCACCAACGGTTTCCGCTATCGGGCGGTTGACGGCGAGGAGCCGGAGTGGGTTGCTTGGTATGATATCACGGAAATGGAGGAGTTGACCCGCGAGACCTACCTGGCTCTGCGCGGCGATGGAATCAAGACTCCGCGAGAGAAAGCGACTATGGCGCAAATTGCCGTCGATCGCCGCCTCTACGACTTCCTGGGTGAACAAAAAGCCGCCGATTACACTCCGCTCGAGGATCAACCTGATACTACTGTGGCCGGTTCTGTGCTTGTCGCCGTCTCCACTACTCTTGTCGATGACGCCGCCAAAGAAGCCGACTACAACCGTTGGTATACCGAAGAACACATCCCCATGCTCTCCCGAGTGCCTGGCTGGCGCTGCTCCCGTCGCTTCGTGACGGCTGCCATCGACCCCAATGCCCCTCGCGAATATTTGACTCTCCACGAGTATAAGGCTACCAATGGCTTGGGAGGTCCGGAACACAAGGCTGCTATGGATACCCCTTGGCGCACTCGGATCGTGAACGAGACCATCACCAGCCAGCGTCGTCGCGTCTTCGAGTGGGCCTACACCTTCGGACCTGCTCCCCGCGAGCTTTCCTCCCTTGCCTCTAAGGATGTTGCTGGACCCTGGTCGTCCAACGACGGTCGCACCCGCACTTTCCCCTCGCCCACTCGCCCCGCTGTCGAGTCGTTCGTCACCACTCCGGACGGTGTCGACCTTCCCTACCGGTTGGAGGGCAGCACTGATCCTCACAGCCCTGTCATTGTGTTAAGTAACTCGATTCTGGTTGATTATGCCATCTGGGATGACTTTGTCAACGCTTTCCTTGCCGATCCCCGCAACCAGGGCTTCCGTATCTTGCGCTACTCCACCCGTGGTCGTCTGCAGGCATGCGGCGAGCAGCCGATTAACATCAACGTGCTCGCCTCCGACATTATTGCCCTGCTGGATGCCCTGCGCATTCCCCAGGCTACCCTCATCGGTGTCAGCTTGGGAGGCGTCACAGTGCTCAACACCGCGCTCCGCTACCCTGCCCGCGTGACGCGCTTCATTGCCTGCGATACCAACAGCTCCAGCCCGGAGTCGAACCGCAAGGCGTGGAACGATCGTGTGGCGATGGCCGAGCGTGAGGGTGCTGTTTCTGCCACTACCCAGGAGAAGATTGTCGGTGAGGAGCTTGCCGAAGTTACTGTTCGTCGGTGGTTCGTGCCGGAGTCGTATGAGACCCAGCCTCACCTTCCCTCGCAGGTGAAGGAATTGGTGCGCACCAACAGCCTCGAGGGCTTCCGCCAGAGCGTGCAGGCTCTCTGCGCATACGATGTCCGGGAACAGATGGCGCAGGCGCAGGTTCCTGGTCTTTTCGTCGCTGGCGAGGGCGATGGTGTGCTACCTAAGACCATGCAGCAGATGGCAGCTGACCTGAAGGGTGATGCAGAGCTGAAGCTGATTCCTAAGGCCGGACATCTGCCCATGGTTGAGAACGCTCCTGCTTTTACGCAAGTAGTTAACGAATTCCTTCACCAGTAGATTTACGAAAATCAATGAATAATTATGTTCGACTCATCTAGTCACTAAGATATATCCGTAATTGCCAATGTTTGGGATGAAACATACGGTCCTAATCAGAGATCACTTCCGACATCCGACAGGGCGAGGTACCTGCAGGATGCTCGCGCCGGTATAAGTTGTAATTCCGGGGAAATGCGGCCACAGCCGGGTTGTTTGTTTGGCATAGTTCATTTGACTGTTGTTTTGGCCGCCTATTTGGATATATTTCCCCAGTTAGCGAGAAGCATATTCAATATTTTCCGGGCGTTTTCTCTGCACTGGTAAAGACTCCATTGAGCACGAACCTATTCACCCCCATAATATGAAGTAGTTCAACGGAATATGCATCCGCATCCTCGGTAAATGCTGTGGGCCTGTGGCTACACTCTGTATCCCCATCGCCGGATATCCCTGGTCCCCCGCAGTCGGGATTTCCGAACTTGCCCGCAACCCAGATTTATCTGGGATCTAGAAGCCAATTCCATGCAATTATTTAATCCCAACCAGTATTGTCTACATCTACTTCTACCACGCGGAAATTGAATCAGACAAATCAAAACTGTCAACCGGTCATCCAAACTATCTGTCATCTTTAATCGGCAAACCCAATTTCCACGAAAGCCGTAAAGACCACCAAGCAGACAGCATGCCCCCGACACCCCTCACAGTCCGATACAAAGAGATCGACGGTAGCAAGATCGATACGGATATCTACCTCCCACCGATCGCTGAAGCCAGCAATGGACAGCCGAGACAATATCCAGTCTGTATGTGCAATCACTTCAGAGACATGCATCGCACCAATCATACACGCCTTGGCGACCGTTATCGCTAACTCATGCCCGCGGGCCACAGTAATCGACATTCATGGCGGCTCGTTCATGCTCGGTCACTCCAAAATGGTCTGCATGCCGCAGGTGGATGATTGTCTAGCCCGCGGTTGGATCGTGATCAGTCCCAACCATCGTCTGTGCCCGCAGGTGAACATCCTCGAGGGACCGATGGCGGATTGCCGCGACCTCCTTGCCTGGATCTACGACAGCCACCTTGATGCGTTCCTTGCCGGGGACTCGGCTGCGCATTTGCGTGGATCGCAGTACCAAGTCGATATGGACCGCGTCATGGCGTTTGGGACATCGTCTGGAGGCACGTTGGCCTTGTCATTGGTAGATACCCACCATCCCCGTTTCCCCAGCGAATACACAAGACAAACTAACGGCCTGTGCTTCCTACTCCAGGGCTGGGACGTCCCCCGCAGAGTCGCCGCGATCCTCGACTTCTACGCGCCCGCCTACTTTGCCCATCCGTTCTGGACCCAGCCACTCCCCGAGATGGCCAGCAGGCTGCCGCCGCTCGACCCGGCTTTCCTCAACAAGATCTACGATGAAAAGCCCGTGCCGACGAATAGCTCGATCTCCCTGGAAGGGCAGACCGAGGTCGGGGTCGTGCCGGGCCCGGACTTTAGCCGTCCGCGCGACGGCTTTGCGCTCACGCAGGTCGCGAATGGTACGGTCATTCGGGCGTGTTATCCCGATCGCGACGTGCGCGAGATCGATCCCGTCCATCACGTTGACGCGGAATTTCCGCCCACGTGTATTGTGCATGGTGGCGCAGATACCAAGGTCATCATTGATGTTAGTCGGGAGTTATATCGCGTGATGCAGGAGAAGGGGGTTCTGTGTGAGATGATTGAGGTGCCGGGTGAGGATCATACGTTTGCGATGAGTATGAAGGTGGGATCGCCGACGTGGGAGTTGCAGCGACGGGGGTTTGATTTCTTAGAGAGAGTCATCGCGAGGTGATCCTGAGTTAAAGTGATGTGATTAAGCAAGATGTAATGTTGTCTATGTTCTGGTCAATCGTAACGGTACCACTGTTGACATCCTCGAGCGTACTCGGAGAAAACCAGGCTGTGAGGGCCTGGTTGCTGCCTGAGGCTTCCGCAACAGGAAACAAGCTCCTAACTCCACCAACTGGCAGGCTGGTGGCATCCTCCGGGGTACATATCGGTGGTCTCCGATAGAGCATCCCATGCGGGATCGGAGATATGATTTAAGCTCCCCCTCACCTGCAACTCAATCAACTCACACAACACTCAATCACACAACATCTCTCAATCCTCCTCTCGAACCTCCGTTAGTACTCCTGTTTGTACATGGACAGCACCCAAACCACCCCATTGCCGCCAGCTGGCCCAACCCAATCACCACGAGACCAACCCACCGAGCGTCTTAACCTCTACCGCAACCAAATCATCCCAGCTCAAGCTCAATCCTCCTCCACCACCACCACCACCTCCTTCTCCTCCTCCCCTCGCAACCCAACCTCACCAACTACCCAGTCCAAAAATCCATCAGCAACCATGTCCCGCGACCCCATCACCTGCCACGTCCTCAACACCCTCACCGGCACCCCCGCCGCCAACCTCCCCGTCACATTAACGCTCCTCTCCCCCAGCACAAACACCGAACCCACCGCCACCACCACTACGTTCCACGCAACCACCAACGCAGACGGCCGCGTCGCGAACTGGACGCCAGCGAACGCCTCCTCGCAATCACAATCCGTCTCGAGCGTGCTGGCCGCGCTCCCCGCGCCCGACAGCAAGACCAACTGGGCGCTGCGCTTCGAGGTCGGCCCCTGGTTCGAGGCCCAGGGGGTGGAGAGCTTCTGGCCCGAGGTGGAGGTCAAGTTCACGGTTAAGGGGAGGGGGAAGGAGGGGGAGGAGGGATGGAGACATTACCATGTGCCCGTGCTGTTGGGGCCGTGGAATTATTCGACTTATCGGGGTTCATGAGGGGTAGTAAGTTGTGAATAAATTGTGGGTTGAAGAGGGCTGTGTGGTTCTGGAGGATTGCGTATGAGTTATTGGGTATTTGAGCTTAATTCATGATTGAGAATTGAGGTTTCGTTGAATGATTGCCAATAGCTGGCTGTGTAGACTGTAGCTGTATTTCAGTTTGTAGCTGGGTCGAGTGCATGCGGGGAACCGATGAGATAAGCTCGGGATGCAATGCGACCGATTTAATCGATACTGGTGATTTGCACGACTCCACGGTTCAAGCATCAGTCGAAGTCCTTGCTATGGTGAGAATGGATAGCGCAACCAGAAGCAGACGTCAGTTCTCTGGACCGCACTTTGAATTCATCGCGGTCGCAGGGGACAATGTAGCTGGAGACGCCGCCACGCGGCGACGCGTCCGCAGCCATGCGATGGTGGATTATCGACGGCGGACTGCTAAACCCAAGCGGAAGGAAAAGGCATCTCCGTTGAATGAAATCGATACGACATCACCGTCTCCTGCGCGGGCAATCCAGGGGAAGCAGGAGTCTCGTACAGATGTCGATTCACTGGTCATTCCTTATGGGAGGTTCTCACTGCTGGATGCCAGCCGATCGGACCCGTTCGGGACGTTTCCGATCGATTGCGATCGTCGGACTCGACGACTTTGGGACCACAGTAAGGTTACCTTCCCCGTGGGGTAGTTGTATGAGACATTATAAGTCTGGAACGGGGGTTGACAGGATGCAGTGTACGATGGGACTTGTTCCATGTTTCGCACGATGCTCGACATCGGCTTTCTTGACGTCGTCCGTGAAACCATCGCTCTATCACAGCTGCTATCGGCTTCGTCCCAACACTTGGGTCATCTTTATAAGGGGAGTAGCACAGACCACTTTAGGTATAGCATCCGAGCGACAACACTCCTCCAGCAGCGCTTGCAAGATCCCTCGACTTGTGTAACAGACGAGGTGGTCATCGCTGTGCTGGCCTTTTGTTGCTATGCTGTGGGTATCGTCTTTCGTTAAAATGCTTGATTCAAGGCTGATCTTGCTCAGAATCTGACGCGCGATCCAGAGCTCCTGAATGTGCACATGAATGGTCTGTCTCGTATCCTAGGAAGTCGAGGAGGTGTACAGTCTCTAGACTCTAAGCCGCTGCTGAGGACTATGCTGTACTGGTGAGCACATACTCCTCGTTACTCTACCTAACTCACGTATGCGTAGGGTGGATGTCAATGGCGCGTATCTTCAGGATAGTGCTCCGCGATATCAACAGCCCTTCGAAATTCTTGTCGACCGCAGCATGCTCACCACCAGCTCATATCAATTCAGCCAGTCACTGGACGACAACACTGATGGAGACGCCTTCGTCTCATACATCCGCCAGAGCCTCACTGAGTTACACATGATCATGCTGTCGGAATTAACGAAGCGAGATCTTTGGTACGATATCCTCTTCCCGGGATTCCACATCTCCCCGATTTTGCATGTTCTGTTGTCACAAAACCGTGCCACGGTGTACGTTAGTATGAACGAGCGCGTGGTAGAATGCTTTCGCCTGGCTACAGTCATATATCTGACTGAGCTCCGTGGGAAATTCGGTCTGGATACCATTCCAGGGCTGCTGTACGGGTCTAAGCTGCTCCTGCTCCTGCGTAATATGGATTTATCTCTCCTCTCGACGAGTCAACAGATCTACCTTGTGTGGGCACTGACAATAGGGGCTTGTGTTTCATGCGTGGATGAAGGAATGCGAAGGCTTTTTGCAGATACGCTGTTGAAGGTCACGCTGCGGATGGGAATTACTCGCTTTGCTGATTATAAAGATCTCATTACACAATTTCTTCGGATTCCTGACGCTTTTGCCTGTTTCCTGGATAACTTGGAAGAAAGCCTATTTCACATTCAAGATAACGGTGTTCTTATTGATCAACAACCACAACCATTTTCCCATTAGCTTCGTTGGCTTCCATCACTCGGTGGGCTTCCCGAATCTCCTCGAACTGAAACACTCGCGACGGCTCCGCTTTGAACTTCCCATCGGCAACCATCTTGACAATCTTTTGCAAAGGGACATCCGCCAGGGGAAACTCGGGAGTTCCGAAGACAAAGCTCCCAAAGAAACTGAAGTGTACTCCACTGGCCATCTGAAGCAGCGGGTTGAAATCCTGAATCGGTGCTAGACCCCCTAGGAACCCAGCCAGACAGACCCTCCCATTCCGTCGTACCATCTGCAGGGAATCCACGATCGTGGTATTGCCTACCAAATCCAAGACAGCGTCGAATCTCTCCGTTAATCGTTCCGAAAGATGCGGTTCTTCGATCACTGCACGCTCAGCGCCCCGTTCCTTCAACAACTCAAATCGACTCTCATTGCGACTCGTCGCCACAACATGCGTTCCTCCCTCCACCGCCAAATTCAGCGCCGCCTGCCCCAACGCCGACGTCGCCCCGCGAATCAACAACCTCTGCCCGCGCTGCAGCTCGAGGTTCCGGAACAGACACGTCCAAGCCGTGGCGTACGACTCGGGTATGGCAGCGAGTTGATGCCACCCCAGCCTCGACGCGTCTGGGCCGAGCTCGACGACATTGGCCGCCCGCACGCTGGTGTACGAGGCGTAACTGCCGTTGACGGTGCGTCCGAGGCCGCCCATCAAGCTGGCTACGGGGGTGCCCTCGGCGAACTCGCCTCCGGGGCAGTCCGCGACTATGCCGACGCATTCGATGCCGCTGACGGGCATCCACTCGGCCCATTCGCCTCTGCGCATGTGCATCTCTGCGTGGTTGACGCCGAAGGCTTTGACTTTGATGACGACTTGTCCGGGTTCTGGGGTTGGTTTGGGGATGTCTTTGATGACTAGGGAGTCGGGGCCCCCGAATTCTCCGATGAGGATGGCTTTCATTGTGTTGTTGTGAGCAGGGTGCTTGACAGGTAGGACAGGTAGGACAGGTAAGAGCTTGTACAAGGGACTTGAGCCTGCTGCTGTATGTTGAGTGAGAAGGACTTTTCCCGGTCAGTCAAGAGGAATCAGTGTAGATGCTGATTGAACTGTTAAAAGTGAATGGCAGACGGCATTCAAGCGACTCTTATATTTTCGAGCATTTCTAGACAGCTCCATCTTCTCCCTCCTGCATTTGTAATCACTCGTCATGTCTACATATTCTAGGGTGTCTTTGTCGTCATTGTCCTAGCTATCGACTCGTACACTCAACTCTACATCCTGGCCCAAGCACCAGGTAGTCGGGTCCACGGTTTCTGCAGCGCATTCCAAATCGGGTTAGTGTAGTTGTGACTCCGCTTTCCCCACGGCCCGCGCGAGTCCACTAGACCCGAACAAGCAAACGCTGGCGTAGCGACAGCCCGACAGCCCGACAGCCAGAGAGTTGATGCGCCCATGGCTCGATGCTTGGACTTTAATTGGGTATTCTGGCATGGCTCACATCGTTCACTGTCTTTGATACTTCTTGCCACCGGTTTATGCGATATGTGGTCTGGATCAGCTGAACACCGTCATTCACCCCTTGAGATATATTTGAGGCCACTGCAGTCCATGCTGCGGTATTGCAAGAACTCAGAAGCTTAGTACTTTGCATAAACCCACCCAGACCGCATCATTTTATATCTTCAAGTTCTGCAACTTGAAGCTTATTACAACAATAATAACAATAGATACCTAGGAGCCTTACCCAGATTCTGTTGCAATGGAGAATCCCATCAGGAACGGGTTTGTTGGGGGACCAAGAGGGGCTTGAACGAGGGGGGGTGGGGGGGCTTCACACGCCGGAGAGGTATTGTACAGTAGACCATGGGCTACTAGGTAGCAAGCTCATATATCCTCGAGGTGTCAGGTCATTTCAGGTTGACATCGTTCTTTGTCCTAAAGATAGAGGGACGAGCCCCTGATTCTGCAAGGAGTCTCTAGTAACTCGCATTGGATGCACCAGACCTGATCATCACTCAATAGTACTAACTGAATATTCTGCCGACCACATACATCAGCAACCGCACACCCGTTTGGATCTTGTGTAGTGTCTAGAGCAAACATATGGTCCATCCCCAACACGTGCGACTTGGTGTTCGTGCGGGCAATCCCTTTGCTCAACCTTGGTTGGCATGTATGTGCCTTGCGGAATGCGGCCGCAAAAGACGTCAGAACCACTTGGCAGCCGATGGGGACGGCAAAAACAAACGCCATCTACGACACCAAGAGCCTGTCACCGGGCTGGGAGTTGAATGGAAGCCTGATGCCTGCGGTCTTTGGCTTGTGGCTGTTTATCACGGGGTGTTGGAGGAGGGGGAGGAAACTTGGTTTTGCGCATGGTTTGGCAGGGTGGCGGCAGGGGAAGGATGCATGCGTCCCTAAAGTATAAGTTTTGAGTCTGGACTGGGGAAATACTCAGGTAGTAGGTGAGAGACTGGGGCTTCCAACTTACATCCCGAGTAGTTAGTAACTTGTAATAAGAATAATGATTACATCACTGCATATACTCTGCGGAAAACAAAAGATCCGGTTTGTTGTCAAACCCCTGATCGACCCGCCCTGGGCCGGAAGATCAACAATCAGTTACATACTAGTGGCCTGAGGCCCTAACCTTAAGTGAGTGTTTCTGCAGTGGTATGCAAGTATGCAGGTCTCCGCCGCCAGGTATGCACAACACTTTTCCCACTTGTTGTCCACATAAAAGGGGAGGCTGCCCCCCAAATATGATCGTTCAGCTAATGACATTATCTCCGACCGTGTCTGTTGCTAACGCCATACCTGGGCTCACTCCCAATGTCCGACTAGCCCTTCACCACAGGTATCGAGGTTCGTAATAAATTCTTCCGACTCCAGGGGAAGTTTCACTCTTTTCTTCCCAGGTCGGCCATTCGTTTTGCTTTTCTTTTCTTTTTCCTTTCCCGTTAAAGGTTGAAAATCGGATCGACTCACGCGTTTGCTGAGATGGCCCACGCGGCATTCGCTTTCCTATGTATATCGTGGCTGTCGCTGTTTTCGCTGGTGAATGCCAGGCCGCAGGGAGGATGGTGGAATACCTCGATGCCGCGCGTGGAAAACACCAGTCCAAGCCTGCCATCCACCCAGCCCAGCCCGAGTTCGGGATCTTTCCCGTTGAGGAGTTATATCCCTGAGCCGATGTGAGGGTTCCCGAACACTCCCCCGCCTGAGTACACCCGACCCATTTCGCTGACGCGCACAGTGGAATACCCTTTGCGATCCAGAACCGCACCGCGCAGCCATGGGTGAGCCTCAATGAGCCCGTCGTCCACCAGCCCAACGCCGCAGCGCCCACTGCTCTCTGCGCCAGCTCCGGTGACTCCGGCGGAGGATACTGGTACGCGGACATCGAGCACAACGGCCAATCCTCCTTCCTCGATTCCAGCCACAAGGAGGCGTACACGGTGTTTCGCAACGTGGTCGACGATTTCGGGGCGGACAACACGGGCAGCAGGGACGCGGCGCAGGCGATCCAGGCCGCGATCCAGGGTAAGCATCCCCGAAACGTGATAGAGCGTTGCCCCCTCTGACTTGGCTGTACGCAGCCGGACCATCCAACGGACCGGATCGCGCCTCCCACTCCATGGGCACCACCGGACAGCCCGCCATCGTCTATCTCCCCGCAGGAACCTACCTGCTCGCGAGCTCGCTGCAGCTGTTCGTGGGGACGGTCATCATCGGCGACCCGACGAACCCGCCCATCATCAAAGCCGCGGCCAATTTCCCGGACGACCATCTCATCTATGCCAAAGACCCCAACTTCGGCGGCACGATCAACTTCTACATCGGGATGAAGAATGTGGTGCTCGACTCGACGGGGGTCGCGTACGACAAGAACATCGCCCTGCTGGATTGGACTGTCAGTCAGGCGACGCAGTTGACCAATGTCGGGTTCAACATGCCGGTTGGGACGGCGACTCACATCGGTCTGACGACCCAGTATGACTACAACAGCAACCTCATCATGGTGAGTTGAGATGTACCAGTACCAGGGGGGGAGCTGCAGACGGGAGGACTGACTCTTTAGAACGATCTGTGGTTCAAAGGCGGCGCGGTCGGCATGAAGCTCAGCGGCCAGCAGTGGGTATTCAAGAACCTGAGTTTTCTGGGAACAACAACGGCGGTCGTGGCCGGGGGCACCGACATCACCTTCCTGGGCTGTCGTTTCGAGCAGTGCAAGACGGGGATTGACGCGCACGGCACCTCGGGCTCGCTGACCGTCATTGACACCTCGGTGACGAGCGTCGGCACGTTTATCACCACCGGCACCTCCGACACAGCCGGCAACTCCATAGTGCTCGAGAACATCAGCAACTACGGCAACACGGTCAAGGTCGGTGACGCGATCGTGCTGAGCGGGGGGGTCTCAGACACCTGGGTCCACGGCCACCTGGTAAGATTGATCGCACTTTCCCCCTCGAATTCCCCCTCGAATCCCGCACTAATGGGTGGACAGTACACCTCCGGCTCGAACCAAATGCAAGCCACAAACGGCCAGCTCGTCAGCACCTCCCGCGTATCGGCGCTGTTGTCCGGCAACAAGTACTTCACCAAGGCGCCCCCCACGTACCAGGAGTATACCGCCAGTCAGGTCCTCAACATCAAGAACGTGCCGGGCAAGCCGGTGTACGGCGACGGCGAGACGGACGATACCCGCAACATCAACGCGATCCTGTCCAGCAACAAGGACTGTAAGCTCATCTATTTCCCCGCGGGGACGTACGTGGTCACCGACACGATCCAGATTCCCAGCGGCAGCCGGATTATCGGGGATGCGTTCGCCGCGACCATCAGCGCGGTGGGCAGCAATTTCGAGGACGAGGCCGCGCCGCGCGCGATGATCCGCGTCGGCAACCCCGGGGACGTAGGCGTGGCGCAGATCAGCGATATGGTGTTCACGGTGGCGGATATTCTCCCGGGATGTCAATTGGTGAGTGGCCCCCCTCTCCTGGCTTTTAGATATTTCTTGATCATGGTCTCACGCATCACAGGTGGAAGTCAACATCGCCGGCACGAAACCCGGGGACGTGGGGTTCTGGAACGCGCACTTCCGGATTGGCGGGGCGGTGGGCAGTCTCGTCGAGTCGCAGTGCACGGGCAGCCCGGACAACTGCAAGGCGGCGTACGGGCTGCTGCACCTGACGAGCACCTCGTCGGTGTACGTCGAGAACATGTGGGGGTGGACGGCGGACCACGATCTGGACGGGGACAGCGCGCAGACGATCTCGACGGGGCGCGGGATGCTGGTGGAGGCGACGGCGGCGACCTGGCTGGTCGGCACGGGGATGGAGCACAACACGCTCTATCAGTACAATTTCCACAAGGCGCGCAACGTCTTCTCGGCGCTGCAGCAGAGCGAGTCGCCCTACTGGCAGGGGGTGGGCAGCACGCTGGCCCCGGCGCCGTGGGACGGGGCCTTGCGGGACAGTGACCCGGATTTCGCGGGGTGTGGCGGGGATGACGCGCTGTGTCGCATGGCGCTGTTTGAGCGGATATATGAGTCCTCGGACTTGTTCCTGTACGGGGGCTGTAATTGGGTGTTCTTCAATGATAACGGGAACTGTCCGAAGGGGGATTGCCAGCGGAATGCGGTGTTGGTGGAGGACTCGTCGCAGGTGTATCTGTATGGGACCAACACGAAGAGCACGACGAATATGGTGGTGGATGGGGAGGGGACGCCGATTGCACGGCAGGCGGATAATGCCGGGGGTTGGGGGGGTGTGATTGCTGCGTATTTGTATAATTCGTAGGTCACGGTCAGCGGGAGAATTGCAAGAGGTATATATACGTTCACTTCTGGGTTTGAGACTCTTGTGAATAGATACTTAGTAGTTGATAACTGGAGGGTTGGTTAATCATCGCCTTGCTCGATCATCACCTTGAGTCCTACTAGGGCTGACTCAGCTACGGGGTGGTTTTCATCATACCGGATGAGCATTATATATATGCACAATATTAGAACAATCTAATTTATCTATCATACAACTTACCTCTGATAGGTATCACAAACCATATCAAACCGGCTCATACTTGACATAACCCTCCCGGCCCCTGAGTCGAGTGGCCACCATCTCCCAGCAGGACACCACTCCCTTCCACCCGAGGGAATAGTACAACAAGCCCAGCAGGGCCATCCCATACCCGAGGACCTGCAACGGACTCACCGGGGAGCCCCAGATGACGATCGAGCAGATGATCAAGAGGATGTTCTTGGGCACGCTGACCAGCGTCATCGTCAAGCCGGATGTTTTTCCGATCTATGCTTGTGTGAGCCCAATCCCAATCCCATCATTCCTCTCCGACGAGGAGGGGAGGAGGAGGAGGAGGAGGAGGAGGAGGAGGAGGAGGAGGAGAAAGAAGGTCGGTGAAAATATACATACCAAGACGAAGATCGAAACATTCAACATAAATCCGACCATGGCATTTGCCAGCAGGATCCCCGCACCTGTGCGTCCCACGACTCCCCAGTCAAACCCTTCTGCCCCGGCCCCGGTGTTGAGCTCCGTAAAGCAAGCAATCACCGCGTTGGTGGCCGCACAGACGGGCGCCGAATAGTACAGCGTGACCAACGGATCCATCTTGCCAGCCCCCGGCCGGCTGCCCGTCCCTTCCACTGTGCCCGTCCTATCCTCCACCCCATGCTGCCCGCTACCATCCCTATCCCGATCCTCCGCACGCACCCCCTCCCCAGAGCGACTCCCCTTGGACAGCAGGACTTGGATCATCACCAACCGATTCGCATCGAAGACCAAACTCACCACCTGAAACACCACCCCCGTCCACACAAACTGCACCTCCCCGGCGACCGCCAACCCCACACTACAAGCAATCACCAGGATGTTCACAAATGAATCCATACTGGGGGTGGCGACGCGCCAGCCCCAGCTCACCAGCAGGGTGACGATCGGGCCCGCGGCTTTCAGCATCTGGATGAAGCTGACGTTCAAATAGAGGTAGGTCATGTTGGAGGTGACGAGGCTGCCGCTGTAGAGGAGGCCGATGGGGACGATTTGGCGCAGGTAGAGGGCGGGGGTCATGCGGTGGGTGTGGCGGGTGTTGAGGTAGGGGGTGCAGTGGGCGAGGAACTGGGTTGCGAGGGTGGCGAAGACAAGGTGCCATGTTGTTAGGAGGATTGCTTCACAGGATTTTTTAGTATGCATAATAAGTTTTACTCGAGGAAGAGGGGCGCGCACGGTAATCTGGTTGGGTTCGTTAGTGAGTTGAAGGTGAAGGGGGTCAATTAGTAGGTAGGAGTAGTAGTAGATAGAGGGTCAGACATACGGAACTCAGTCGACTCTATCAACCATTTATTGAAGAGAATGGTCAGGTTGGACCAGAATACCCAGGACCTACATACAGTCAATCAATCGAAAATTAATGGTTGGAGAACATTGCGATGGTGGAACTACATACAACACCCCCACGACCACCGGCCATATCGGCTTCTGCTTCTCGCTCGGTGGACTGGGCAGCAGCGCCCCCGAGTAAGTCATCTTCTCGGGAAAGAAATCAACGGTGGGAGGAAAGGTGGGAGACGAAAAGGAAAGCGAGGACAATGACTCTCGCAGCGTATCCTCAGACCCGAGATACTCCCTCCCATCGAGCAGTCCTGTCATACTACGCCGCCGCGACGGGGGCATATATAGCCAACCCTGATTTTCTGTTTCTGTTTCTGTTTCGGTTTCGCCGGCGGCTGCCGCTGCATCTACACTCCAGGAAACGTCCCCGGTCGGGCTGCAGCCATGGTTCGGGGGGAGGGAGGGCATTCTCAATGCGACTGCAACACTGCATAGCTGCAAACGGTGCGAGCAGGGAGGGAGTCTGGGCAATGGTTGAATTTATAAAGTGTTTAAACGGTCTGTAATAAAAAAAAGTCAGCCTGAAAGGGAAGTGGGGTCCAGAAGCAGGCACCAGCGTTTTTCACCCTATTTTCAGGGCCCAAAGCTTGTTTGCGGCTTCCCCCCCCCGGCCAGCAAACCTGCCAAGCAGGGTTGTTACGATCATCCCGGGTGCCGCGGATCTGAGCCTCGGTTCCGTTTGCATCTCCCGTAGTTACAGTATTACAGTACAGTAAACTCAGTCCTAGTCTTTGAGCAAAACACAATCTATGAACACTAGTTATAGTTACGATCTTAATTTTACATAATATCTTCCCCCCTTTCCCAAAAACCAATCACCACGAATGCGTACAGTACGTAATAAAGTAACTCGGCCACGCTTCCACGTCAATCGCCCGCTTACACGCCTCCGCATCGAACTGCGGGTTCTCAAACGCCGCCAAGCACACCGGGAGTTTCCTGTCATCTTCCCAGCTGTACGGATAGATCTGTTGCCGCGGTAGAATCACCATCTTATCCTGCACGGCCCCGAGTCTTCCCCGCTCAAGCACCTCATCCTCCGCACCCTCTGGCCCACAGTACAGCTCGAACTCGGGCGCCCAGCGCCGCACCTTCTGGCACACGTGCCGCCGCACCGTGGTCTGTCCCTCCTCGCCCCCAAAGTCCTCGTAGTAGCGGTGCAGCAGGAAGCTGAGCGCCGTCGGCCCCGTCAGACTCTCCACCGACCCGTCGCCGTTCCCCTCGGGGTTCTCGATGACGTGGATCACGGGCAGCAGCCAGAAGGGGTGGCCCGGCGGCGACGCCATCCATCCGTTGGGCACGGCCGCAGGCCCGTCCAACCCGGCGCGGTGCGCCATGTGTCCGAGAAACGCCCGCTGCGGATGCATCCCTGACCCCTGCAATTTGGTCTGGCCGGTCCAGGAGCCGAGAATGCTGCTGTGCGCCGCCCGCAGCGGGGTGTCGTGGCCGGCGAAGAGCGCGTCGACGGGTCGGAGGGCTTCGGTGTCGACGTCGGCGTACATCCTTTACCTCACCGTTAGTTTTTGGTCTGGAGAAAAAATTGTTGCAGAGGGAACTAAATAGACGCGTCTGTAGGGTAAAACTCACCCGCCAAAGAGAAACATATACAAATTCCTCACCACATCCGCCCGATGGATCTCCTTGGGCAGCCGGTCGTAATCCTTCAGAAACCAGGGGAAATGCGTCTCCACCAGCAGCCGGTTCGTCTTGTCGTCCCACAGCACATACTCCCACTCCGGGTTTTGGGCTCGCATGGTCTGCACCCACATCTGCGCGTTCTCGCTCATGTTGCTCCCCGCTGGGAACCAGGTCTGGTGGATCAGCTTGGGGATGGAGACGAGGTCCGTCGAGCGGGGGCGTGAGAGGAGTTCCCGCGGGGACAGGGAGCGGGCGTAGGAAGGTGAGGAGGTAAAGGGGAATTTGTGCTGCGCGGGCTCAGGATTGGCGGTGGCATGGTCTTCCCGGGGTCTGGAGCTGGAGCTGGAAACCGGGAGAAGGGTGTAGATGCAGGCCAGGACCACGGCGCAGGCGAGCGAGAGTTGGAGACGTCGCCGGGTGAACCATTGACAGCCGGTGCCTGAGCGGATCATAGCGGTAGGTGTTCGCTACTGTGAATGATGTTGGGGTATCTCGTGCTAGTACTTAGATGTAGAGCTGGGATGATGCAGTGTGTCGATGAAGGTTGGGGGGGAAGTGATCGGTTTTGTTGAAGGGGTGCAAACCTGATGTGATGCACACGTCTTCTCTTCTCCGTCCGGCTAAAATATGTTCATGATCCAAACTGTCGTTGTCCGGTTCATTACCGCCACCCGTCATTGCTGTCTGGATCAGGGCTCCGCGGTAGTATCGACCCGTTGGCCGGATGCGGCTATATTACGAACAGCTGCACATTCCACTCGGCAGCACCGACACCACCGTTGTCTGGGTGCGTGCTTTCTTGGTTATGACTTTGTGCATTTCGTTTGCCTGGGTTTGGCAAGGAGTCTCGCCGTCATTTTGTGTCATGTTTTGAGGTGCATATGTCGACTGACACCTTTTGCCTCTTTCGGTCGTCCATTGTTATCGCTCGGGAAGGTAAGCCGGACAGGTCATGTGACTCAGATGCTGTAAAGAGACAGTAGTCTCGGTACAGTGAGTACAATGCAAGTGGGATACTAGCGTCGCAGACATGAAGTAGTGTCTGGTCTTCAAGAGTTAGTACAGTGGAAGCTATGAGGGAAAATTTGAGCGATCCCCGCATTGTGGCTCAAGGCAGAACCATCGATTCAGGAAAATGTGACAGGACGTCTCCACACGAACTGCGGGATACCTTCTCACCGCAACATGGCCGGTTTGTCAAAGTCACAGCCGCCACTGAGACACTTCAAAATGACTCCATGATCCTCTCATCTGCAGCACATTCCAGCGATCCCAGAGACGATCTTCCCAGGTTGTTCGTCCATCTGATAAACGCCAGCACTCCCAATCTATTAGATGACTAATACATAGAGTCAGAAAAATGAGACCAAGTAACGTTCTCGTCAATAATCTAACCCACCACTTTTGGTCTTCTTTGTCCCAAAGAATGTTACCGATGGATTCATCCACATGGGTTACATTGACGATCCCACAACGAACCGTCTCTCTACCGAGAGTCAGTCTCTGGAATTCAAGAAGCACCGCATAATGAGCCAAAACCTACAGCCAGGCTGCCTTGAAAGCCTTTCTCAGGAGTTCACGCTCCTCACGAGACATCTGCACGAGATAGACGGGGTGTCCAGGATCAAGATCAATGCCTGGCACCCTCTGCATCAGGATACTCAGCTTGTAGCCTCCTGGGACCCCCTCGTTGATTGACTGTCTTTCCTTCTTCCAGGACAGCAGGGAAGGGATACTCGAGCAGCCTCTGCTCGTCAGGGTAGCCAGGGCTTCAATCTCCGAGTCGAAGACGCTCGGAGTCTCCGAGATGGCCTGCTTCGCTCGAGCGTCAGGCAGTTCGCCCGCCGTTTTGTACCACGGAATCCTGGCCCCGGGGTTAACATGTCTCTGCTGTCTCCTGGCTGGTTCGGATGGTGATAATTACTGTAGACGAATCTTGATCATAGCGGCTGGTGGCCCAGTCCCAGACACCTTGCAGCACAAAAACACCGCGCGAGCCTCGGATCGAGCGCCCGAGCCTTCACATTCTGCCTGACACACTTCATGGCTGATGTGTCGGAGCTTGGATTGTAGTTTCCATGTTGAGCCATCAGGGAAAGAGACCTTCATGCCGATGTAAGTGGCATTATCGAAGACATCAATGTCATCCTCTTCTGGGTCAATGAGTCCATTCGAATCGACAGACATGCTGAGATCTGCCGAAGGCGACGAAGAGGGTTACTGGCGGTGAAAGCTGTTCTTCAACAACACGAAGGAAGTGGTGGACGGCTCGTCAATCTACCACATGGCTACCTACTAACCGTCTATAAGGTGCGGTCAAACGCGATCTGCGAAGCTTCTTGAGCCAATTGATTTGCTTTTCCAATCAGAATCTTGTAAGGGTCAGAGCTCGGATCTCTGATGATTAGGCAGCCATTGGCGCCTGGAGGGGGTAGACGCAGGGTCGTACCTTATCATGGCCACCAATTCACTGAAGGTGACAAATATGCAATCCCTGAGACTGAGGACCCGGGAGCCTCTATTTCCTATCAATGATTCTAATTGGTGGTGACAGGGTCCATTTCAGCCTTGCCATTTGGAGAAGTCCATGGCGACGCCAGCTGACTGGTGAGAATCAGCAAAGGCTGGAATTGATTCCTCCTCTGCGCGGAATCTTTCCCTCTTTGCAAGCTTGGACCATGCTTCAAATGGCTGACAGGTTCAACCTCTGCCTGACCGCTGAGGCATTCCATCCATTCGTCTTTGAGAATGGCAACGGGTTTCGGAGTCGCGGACTTTGAGACCAGCCTGTCTCGGAGTTTTGAGCTGAGGTTCTGTCTCCGAGGCGGAATTGATGCGACCGCTTACGTATAACAGATAGGCTACTATCCACCACACTTCATGGCATGGTCGATTGTCTCCATTAAGAAGTTGTTGGGAGTAGAATTGCTGTCAGCTCAGGCTATCATTGCGCCTATATTAATATGAGGCTACGACGACCAATGCTCAGAAATCACATCAACCATCCGATGGAACAATCAGCCTGCTAACTGCGTGTCATTTTTTGTCGATTTGCTGTTGCTCATAGATACCCAATCTTGTTTTTTTTTTTTTTCAACTGAACCAACCTCGCCTTGAACTATTGTATACCCATCATGTTCGATCTCTCCAAGTTCCAAGACCACATCGGCCAGCTCCCCAGCCTCAAAACCTACACCCACCTATTGCTTTCCTTCCCCATGTCCGACGGCTACTTCCAACGCGCAGCCGCCATCCACGCCCTATATGCCGCCACCGAAGCCCTAATCACCGACTTCCCCTGGCTAGCAGCAGAGGTCAAACACGAGGGTCGAGCACCAGGCAACTCCGGTACCTTTCGCCTGCAGTCGTGCCCCAGCAGCCGACCCGAGGACCTGGTCATCGTGCGCGATGCCTCCGACCTCTGCCCCTCCTACAAAGAACTCCACGCCGCCCGCGGCCCATGCTCAATGCTCCCGGTGCGCACCCTCGGCCCGGTTGTCTGCTTCCCCGAGCAATACGAAGACTCCAGCCTCCAGCCCGCGCGCGTGTTCGTCATGCAAGCGAATTTCATCCGGGGAGGGTTGTTACTCGACCTTGCCGCGCAGCACAACTCCATCGACGACATGGGTCTGCACCAATGCGCGCGTCTCCTGGCCAAGGCCCTTCGCCACGAGCCCTTTTCCCCTCTGGAGCTGGATCAGGGGAATCGAGACCGTCGACAACTCATCCCGCTGCTGCACGACCAAGACGATGGACCGGAACCGGTCCTCGACCCCTCGCATCTCCGCCACAACAACAAGTCCGCCCCGTTCTCCTTATCTCCAAACCCTCAAGCCCTCCGTCCACCGGCACAATGGCACCACTTCCACATCCCCGCCCACCACCTCGCCAAGATCCACGACCGCGCCACCAAAGACCTGACCACCCATGCCCCCAAGCTCCAGCGCCACCAGAGACCTCTCGCCGGTCCTACTGCACCAGCATCATACATATCCACCACAGACACCCTCTGCGCCTTCCTCTGGCACCACCTCTCCGCCGCCCGCCACCTCTCCCCCTCCCAGCGCACGCAATTTTCCCGCAGTATTGACGCGCGTCGCGTGCTGGGTATCCCGGCAGCATACATGGGCCAGATGACCCACACCGCCACCGTCAGCCTCACCTACCGGGACCTCCGTGCGATGAACCTCGGCGAGACGGCCGCGGGGCTGCGGGATAGGCGTGTGGAGGTGGATACCGAGTATGCGGTGCGGAGCTGGGCGACGGTCCTCGCGCAGACGAGGGACAAATCGAGGATTATGTTGGAGGGTGAGAGCGAGTACGATCGTTTGGCTGATGTTCGGGTGTGCTCGTTGGAGCATGCAGGGTTGGATTCTTGTGTGTTTGGGGCGTTGGGGAGGCCGGGGCTGGTGAGGAGGCCGGGTTCGGAGCCGTTGGAAGGGGGGGTGCATTTCTGGGAGGGGAGTGAGGATGGGGGGGTGGAGATGATGGTTTGTTTGGGGAAGGGAGAGGTGGAGGCGTTGAGGGGGGATGAGGGGTGGAGCGAGGTGGTGGAGTTTGTGGGTTAATTAGATGGTCTGGTGGGAGATGATCAATGGTGATGGTTGGTTAATGGTGATCTAGTTGTTTCGGAGGTGGTTTTGCATGTGGATTGCTAGTAGTGAGGTATAGTCCTGTGTGTAGTGGTGGGGTTGAATGGGATTATTCTCATTATCACCTTCTTTTGGGGGGTTGGCCACACCGGATGCTGAGATCATACCTCGAATTTAGTTAAACCGAGCAAAAAGGGATCTGTGACTACCGAAGTGGCGAGAGAGAGAGAGAGAAAGTGTGTGTGTGTGTGACACTGACTCTCTCCTGCTCGGCAGAGCCACCATGCCACCAAGCGACTCATTTCTCTTCTCGCCGAACCCACCCCAGACTCCTGCACAGCCAACCAAACCGAGCGCCCTCTATCTTTCAGTGCTAACTTCTCCTTGAGAACAGTAGCTACCTACCTCAACGCCGGCTCCATCCGAAAAGCCCGCTCCCAAACCCCCGCCGAAGCAGCCTTCCACTCCTCCTCGCGAAACGCATACGGCCAACCATACTGCTCCTGCAACGTCCTCTTGATCCTCGGATACTGCCCCCCATCACATCAGCACAGCTCACCCCAAACTCACACAATCACACCAAGAAAAGACAACCTACCAACTCAGCCCACTCCTCACCCCAGAACCCGCGCTGCACCGCATGTGCACTGGGAATCACCTCCAACGCCCTCAACTTCTTCAAATATCTCGCCAAATACGTCGGCGCATGATGCGCAGAATACGCGCGGTAATCCTCCACATTGCCCCCAGCCGGCGCCTTATTCCGATCCCAGACGCGGAGTGTATCTGGCGTGGCTTGTCAGTCCAAGTCCAATCCAATTGAAGATGCGGTGCTGGGTAAGGAAAGGGGAAGGGTTGGGAAACGTACTCTCTCTAGTATCCAGAATCCAATGCACCCCCTCATCTGTCGCAAAAGTGAGCGCGAGCTCCCACGGAAGCAAGAACCCCGGGTCGGGGGCTCTTGTGCCGTACCATTCGGGGTCCCGGCCGCCGCGGATCTCCTCGTCCTCCAGGTAGACGAAGGCCTGGGAGCGCGGGGTGAAGGGGATGTCGTGGGCGAGACTGGAGGTTTGGAAGTAGGGGAGTCGTTTCATGAGGGAGATGACGGCGGGGGCGAGACCGAGGGCTGCGCAGAGGGCCTCGTTGATGGCGTGGCCGGTTTCGGGGGGCGGATAGATGAGTTCGTGGGGCTGGATGTAGTCTAGTTGGAGGTAGAGGTGGTAGATTTGGGTGATGAGGGTGGTGATGGTTGGTTCGTGGTAGGGGAGGCGCTGGATTGGGAAAGCGGCGATGGGGCTAGTTTCTGAGTCTGAAGGGGATTCTGAGTCGGTGTCAGAGGGGGCTGGTGGTGGTGATTCTTCTGGTTCTTCTGGTCCTGGTGGGTGGGGGGTTTGGCGTGGAGGACCCCTGCGCCAGTGGAAGAGGATGATGAAGGTAGCGTAGAGGAGCATGAGGAGTTGCAGCCATTCTCTTAGAGATTGCGGGAGAACTAAACATGGACACATCTTTGCCAGTGTTCGGTTGGTGACGTTGCCGTGTACAGTATAGGGTGGATGTCAATTTTATCGGTATCATGCGAGAGGATGCAGGGATTATTAAGTTGGGTGCAGAATATTTGACAGTCGCACCCTCAATGTCTTGCTGTACAGGGTCAGAAGCCTGACTGACAAGCCAAGCTTATGTCGAACTAGGAAACGTTGAATTATTAGTGGTTTACCTACTATCGATTTTATGCTTCAAGATGGCGTAAGTCATGCTGCCGGTAACTTATAGGCGGGACAGTACAGGGTGGGAAAGACTGGCTACGTACTAGGCTCCAACGCTTGCTGCCTGGGAAACGGGGCGACAACCTGCCAGCTGCCTTGATTGGTTCAGCAAGAACATCTACTACAGATCACGTGCATTGGTACATACCCAACGCATCTGGTCCTGACTGGAATCGATTCCATGTCGATAACAAGGTGATTTTATTTCTCTTGGGCTGCATAAGACCACAGAAAATACAAGTTCAACTCAGGCCTAGGTACTGGTTCTGTACACTGCAGCATTAGTGTCACCCACAGAGTAACAAGAACCCCTATTCACCATCCCTGCAACGCGCACTACCACAAACCCTTGACGAATCCACACGAAACCCCATCGAGTCTAGCCAGCATCCACCTTATCCCACCTCCTGCGGATGTGAATGCTGAACATCCACCGCCTCCTGACCCGGGCCGTAGTGTACTCGCTGGGCATCAAAGCATCAGAAACCACCTTGTCCCCCTGCGTCGAGGACCCATTTTCTTGCGAAGAATTATACTAGGAAGTTAGGTGCGTGGAGTGGTGATGAGTTAGGGCTGCTAGGGGTGTACCCTAGTAGTTTTGTCACTCATGTAAAGATATAGTTCGAAAGCTCTTTCGGCTATTTCGTCTTATGCAACTGCACGTTCAGGAGAACTTCAATCCATTTATCCACTAACAACACTTTTCATGGAGCTCCTTTGAGTAAGTCGAACTCTATGTAGAGAAATACAAGGAACTCTATAAATACTATGGAATGATGTATCTTCCGTAGATTCAAGAAGAGATAGTATGATAAACAAAGCATGTCATCTCTCTGATCCATAGCCATTGTCTGAATAATAAATTTCTTGAAAGTATAAGACTCGAATGCTATAAGTATTAAGATGCTAAAGTTACTTTGACACCAGCCAAAGATGCAGACTGTGATGACGTTGTTCTCCATTGACAACCATCACCTCACGGTCCCACCAACAAGGGTTCAGTTGTCTCTAATTTACCAATAGGTTAGATTTCTCCACAAATGCCTTTTGCCTCAGAGCATATCCCAGGAATTTATGAAGTGAAAGTGGATCAGTTTCTGACTATAGTGATCGGCTGACATGATCAATTGCAATAACTAGAAGATATCCGCTCATATGAAATGACAAGACTTGATGTGTGCATCATTCTCTAATGTGATGGAGGCCTCATGGCTGCTGGTGGTCAGTTTGACGCTTTTGAAATGTTGTCGAAGACGAGCGCCACATCCGCTTGCGCATCTAGACCCTGGCTGTTCTCGAGTGCTTCTACTAAGACCGGCAGATCCTCGTCGACAAAAAGCCTGCACCTCGCGCATGCCTTCATCCACGACATCCTCGGAGGTGAGTAGGCGGGAAAGTGTTTGCTCTGCACAGTACGGAACCTGACGCCAGCGGAAATAGCAACACAATTTTGATCCGGAAGAGTCATCCTTTGAACGTGTCTGATTTTGTCCTCATTTTAGAGTTGCTGATGGATTTGATATAGTTATTTGATTGGCTTTGTATGATTGATCTTGCAGTGTCATGTTCCGTTGTGCCAATGATTACCGTAGACATAATTTTAGAATAAGCAACGCTTTCAATGTCTTGCAATTTGATAATACTTAATACCCCTGGAGGGTGGTCACATGACCCAGATACAATTCGGGCGCAACCGGAGTGGCGGGAGTTGTTGGTGCGTGTTGAATGAGCCAGCAGTGGGTGTGCGGGGAGGACAGAAGGGGGACTCACGTGCTGCCTTCGTAAAAGCGGCAACACCCGCAGCGAATCGTCTCTATTACCCCATGCTTTGCGCTGCTTTTTCATCTTTAAGTTTATTCGCCATTACTGGTCTTGCCCAAAAAAACATGCAAACTTTTCCTGAATCCACACCGGACACTGGGTGATTCGGTACCTCACTCCCCGGCGTGATCTCCTCTTGATTCGCTTGCGCCCTCGGGTTAAAGCCGAAAAGACCCTGCTGTGCCTCCCCGCACTACCGTCGCGCAAACCCGACCGCTTAATTCAAGCCAAAATGCAGCCTCACCAGCTCGAGAAGCCGAAGCGGGCACCTCGAAAGCATGTAACCACCGCTTGTGTCGCTTGTCGTGAGAGCAAAATCAGAGTTCGTAGTCTCACTTTCCTCTCAGATCTCAGTCTACGCAGGACGCTTGCGCTAACATCTGCCGCTCAGTGTGATGGCTCGACTCCCCACTGCCAGAATTGTCAAAGGAAAGGAAAGGAATGCAAATATCAACACGGGGACGATAAACGCAAGTATGTCCCACTCTAGCGCTCACTGGCATTTCGTATCTCTCGAAGTTCTGGCACTTTTCATGCATTTGGCAACTTCGCGCACGAAGCACAAGGATGGGTGGAGCACTTGTCAGCACTCAAGGACAAATACCTGCTGGCACCGTTCCTCCGTCACCACAGCCTCATCGGGCTGACCATTTTCTCTCAGAGTATCTTTACGTGCCGCAACAGAGCTGTTCTCCGCTAGAATTGATCAACTATGCCAATTCATCTACGATCACGGCCTCGAGCCGCCTCCAATGAAGGAGGAGGATGAATCAGGCATGAATAGAGTTTTGGACACATTGCAGATCCCTCGTGCGTCAACGAAGGTTGGTAATTCTACCACCGCCAATGCGCACAGCGCGACCTCTTTGCCGCATGTGCGGTCCCCTGCTAACTCTCCGACCTCTCCCAATTCAACGTCGAATCGACAGCTGGAGGGGGACAGTGCATCTGAAGTATCTCCACCCTCACCAACCACAGGCCCCCCTCAGTCGTCTCTTCCGATTTCAGAGCTGAATCAATCGGCTATCCCTCCGTACAATGTGAACATGGGCTTGCCCAGCAACATCAAAACACCTTCAGACTGGGGATTCACCCTGCCGACGGCGGAAAGCTTGGATGCTCTGTACGCCAACATTGACGGTCGGTCTAATGGGTCACAGGACACCAGTCTGAGTCCTGATAGCTTGCAATTGTCGCAAGACATAGCTCAGCAGCCTGGTGTGCTCCTCAACCAGGCTTGGAATGAAAGAGATGCCGATTCGAACAGTGGCGAAGAAGATGAAGCCGAGAATGATGTCATCGAGCAAATTTCGCATCGCATTGGGACGCTGAAGCTTTCCGGTGATGGTCATCTACGGTTCTTCGGAGCAACTTCGAACCTCAACTTGGTGGACGTTTCGGCCTCGCAACAGCATCAACGTCCGGACGCTCGAACTGTTCGTCATGACGGTCAAGATATCTTGAACCACTTGCGCGTGGGGCAGCCCGTCAGTCAATCTCTGGAGGACCATCTCGTGGAACTATATTTCACCTGGCAGAATCCCAGCACCTATGTGGTTGATAAGGAGATGTATTGGAAAGCTCGAGCAGAGTGGAGAAACGACTTGATAGATACGCCTTTTTACTCGGAGGTCCTTACCAATGCGATGTATGCTATTCTCCAGGCCGCTGTCGTTATGTGCGGCTGACAATCTCAGGTGTGCCATTGGAAGTGCCTTCGAAGCCCGGTACCATCCCACCTTCATCACATTTCCGAAGTCGCTCTCGGAATTCTTCGCCGATCGAGCGAAGGCTCTTCTAGAAATTGAACTGGATTCCCCTTGTGTCGCTACGGTTCAGGCCCTTGTTATATTGAGCTCCCATGAGGGTTCTTCGAACCGTGATGCGAGAGGATGGCTCTACAGTGGTACGTACGTTGACTCGGATGGAGAGGAGATCACGGATCTGACCTTGTCAGGAATGTCTATGAGGCTCGCATTTGATCTGGGACTGCATCTTGATATGACGCCCTATGTCGAGAAAGGTGAGATCAGTGTCTTTGAGGCTGATGTCCGTAAGGTAGCTTTTTGGGGCAGCTACACCGCAGACCAGTAAGTAGTATCAGCCCAGGAGTCAGGCCGACATCTAATGGAGAGGACAGTTTCTGGGGCTTTTATCTTGGGAGGCCTTTTCGGATGAGTACCGGGGACATCACGGTCCCGAAACCTGCTTCCGACCTGGGTGCTGAGAAGGAAGCCATGTGGCACCCGTACGGTCTTTCCGCTAGGTCAGAAGCACTTGAGAAGGGACTGAGAAACCCCAACGAGTTGATCAGTCGTCAGTTTGCTGTACTCTGGGAGATTATCTCTCCAGTTGGCCATATTCTGTAAGCCTCTCATCACTCTGTAGCTGTGCAGCCGCTGACGCTTCTTAGTTATGGGTGCTCCGATATTTCTCCGCATGACCTTCAGAGGCTTTGCCACCAGGTAACAGATGATCTATTTGCATGGAAGGCCAACCTACCTTCCAATCTAGACATCGACATCTTGAACGACACCGTGCCCAAACTGCCCCATCTCCTCGTATTGCAGTAAGACTTTCTGCGTGCTCGTTTGTATCGAATCATTACTGATGATTATCCCGCAGCATGCAATACCATCAAATAGTGATCTTCACTCACCGTCCGTGGGTGTCTAAGAGCTATATTCAGCCGCGTAGCCCACGCCAGGGACCTGGCTACCACCATGCGCGAAGGATGTGCATCGAATCTTCCACCGCGATCGCACAACTCCTCCACATCTATGAAAAATACTACACTTTTCGTCGCATGAATAGTCAGGTCGTAGCCATGATATTCAGCGCCGCGCTGATTCTCCTCTACGTCACAATCTCCAACTCCCGACAAGGCAGCGAGAACGGCAGGAACGCTGAAATGGTAGCCTACCTGAATCTCTGCTTCCGTGCCTTGGATGAGATTGGTCAGTCATTTGAGAACGCAAAGCGAACGCGGGATTTTCTCGTTAGCCTGCAGCGGCGGTGGCAAGCGCACATGCGTCGCTCCGGGTCGGCTATTAAGCGTCAGATGAGCCAACAAGCGCTGTCACAGAAGCCCGCAAGCAGCCGGACATCGGACGCACACCTGTCAAGGAAGAAGTCGCGGACCACAGCGCCTCGGAACCGGGCCGCTATGCCTCTTTCAATACCGACGGCGCACTCACTTGCCGCTGCCGGCATGCCATTGGCACCGCAGGTCGGAGGCCAATCAGTTCAGCCACCGCTAGTGGATCCCGCGCCGCCATTGACTGCATGTCAGCCCGGGGACTTCGACTGGATCCGCGATTCCGAGCTGCAGCTGCTGGGCGATACTCTTGGCGAAGAAGGCTTTCCGCCGCTGGGGAACACCAACTTGTATGCCGAGAATGGCACCCTGCCTTCGCTTAATGATATTGAATCCTGGTGGGATTCACCCGAGGGGAACGCGTTTGGAGGGAGTTCGCTTTGATAGACTGGACCCGACACGAAGAGTTTTGTCTGGAATGTTTCTGTGCTTAGATTTTAAATAAGATAGATTATGACGTAAGTCATGAGGCATTTAGTGGCGGATAGTTGAATTTAGTATGAGCCGCACATGTACCGGCCGCGATTACGAAAGGAGTTCAAGTAGGCCAGAAAGGAGGTTGAGTATTGTACGATGGGGCCGGACTGGACGAGGGGTAGGACAAAGACATGCTCGGAGCTATACGAGCTCACTCCGTCGAATGGATGGCATTGACCCGCATGGAAAGGGGCGGAAATCGGCGGGCGGGGGAGGGGCGTGCGGAAATCATTCCGTTGAGTCCGTGCTGTGCTTGACTCGACTCGTGAATGCATTCATGACCTATACTGCGTGATTGAGATAGAGGAGAGTTTTGAACTGTGCGATGGCTCAATCGATAAGGAATTGACTAAGTATAGTAGAATTTCTCTTATACGTATAGAAGAGAAAGCAATACGGCACCAGAACAAAATTCAACTACCTGGCGAGGATACTTGCAGTATAGTATATGAACAAGCATAAAAGGAACCATGGGAGTTTTCAGCATATGTGTGAGGAAAGCATTCGTTCCTTCTTGTCGTGTGACATGAAATAAAGCCATCCCGCATCTCCGCGGTTATCCTTGCATTACTTACAGTGTACATAATATGAATGTAGCGCTGCACTTGTCCATATATACCAACGGTCTACTACAATATACTAAATCCTGACCCATCATCCATAACTTGTATCATACAACCACCCCCATCCAACCAACATATATCCCATCCAGCCTAGTCCTGTGAGTCAACACATTCAGTGAGAGACATCATGCCCGAAATCATCCTCTACACCTACTTCCGCTCCTCCTGCTCCGCCCGCCTGCGCATCGCCCTAAACCTCAAATCTCTAAAATACACACCCGTCTACATCAACCTCCTCAAGAACGAACAACACTCCCCGGAGAACCTGGCCCGCAACCCTTCGGGCACGGTGCCTACCCTGCTCCTTCTCAACTCCCCGGACTCCGCCAGTCCAGAAGAGGAGGGAGGAAGGTCCGCCGGCACTGTCAAAATCACCCAGTCCCTGCCCGCCCTCGAATACCTTGACGAAGCCTTCCCGGACACACTCCCCCTCCTCCCCGCCAACCCAGAGACCAAAGCCCTCGTGCGCAGCCTCGCGGCTATCATCGCCTGCGACGTGCAGCCTGTCACGAACCTCCGGATCCTGAAGCGCGTGGAGGCGGTTGGCGGGGACCGCGCGGCGTGGTCGAGGGAGTTGATCGAGGAGGGGTTGGCGGCGTATGAGGCGGTTATTGCTGTGCCGGGGGTGAGTGGGTTGTATAGTGTGGGGGATGAGGTGACGGTGGCGGATGTTTGTTTGGTGCCGGCGGTTTGGGGGGCGGAGAGGGTTGGGGTGGATGTGAAGGGGAGGTTTCCGGTGGTGGCCGGGGTGGTGGGGAGGTTGGAGGGGCTGGAGGGGGTCAGGAGAGCGCATTGGGGGAGGCAGGGAGATACCCCGGTCGAACTTAGGGTTGAGTAAGTAGTAGTGGTGGCAGGTACGAGTGTTTCTTTGGGGTTTGTTTATGTTTCGAAGTGGTGGTTTTGTGCAGCGTAGGCATTATTTGTATTCATTGGAACAATATACAACAGCCAGCGAGGTACTAGTACTAGTACTACTACTAAGTATTCAGTCCAAATTCAACTGTACAGCCGGCAAAATCTTGGCCGTACAGTCCCCGAATCCCACATAACTCCCCTCCGTCCCCGCCTTCCCCCGCAAGACTACCGTATCGCCATCCTCCAGGAAAATCCGGTCCGAGCCGTCAGCCAACTGGATCGGCGTCTTGCCCTTCGTCTGCTCGATCAAACTGCCCTCCTGGCCCTTCTCCTTGCCTGAAATCGTGCCGCTGCCCAGCAGGTCGCCCGTGCGCAAGTTGCAGCCCGTGATCGTGTGGTGCGCCAGCATCTGCGGAAACGAGAAGATCAGGTTTCGGGCATTACTGCGCGAGATCATCGTGGGCTGGCCGCCCTCATTGGTGATCTCGAACTCGAGCGGGATGTCGAAGACGCTGTCGGTGCGCTTCTCGCGCAGATAGGGCAGCAGCTTGTCGTTGTTCTCCGGCTCCAGCACTGCCGTGCGGAACGGCTCCAGCGCGTCCAGCAGCACCACCCACGGCGAGATCGTCGTCGCCCAGTTCTTCGCGTTGAACGGGCCCAGCGGCACGTACTCCCACGCCTGGATGTCCCGCGCCGACCAGTCGTTCATCAGCACCAGCCCGAAGATGTGGTCCTCGGCCTCCTTGATCGAGACGGGCTGGCCCATCTCGTTCGGCGTGCTGACGAACGCCGCGATCTCGAGCTCAATGTCCAGCCGCTTGCAGGTCGTGAAGGTTGGCACCTTGGGCACCGCGGTCGGATCGCTGAGGATCTGGCCGTGCGGGCGGTGGATCGGCGTGCCGGATGGCACGATCGAGGATGCGCGCCCGTGGTAGGCGACGGGCAGGTGCTTGTAGTTGGGCTGCAGCGCGTTGTCGGCGCCCCGCAGGAGGACGCCCATGGTGTGGGCGTGGTTCAGACCCGCGTAGAAGTCCGTGTAGTCGCCGATTTGCATGGGGACATGGTTGGTCACTTCGGACAGAGGCAGGAGGGCCTCTTCCTGCAGGGAGACGTTCTCTTTGAGGATCTGCGGGTAGGGCGTATCGGCGCGGAAGACAGCCTGAATGTACTCGCGCACTTGGCGGTGCACTGGCCGTCCCAATGCTGCGAAGGCGTTGAGAGTGGGCTGGCTGAAGACATTGAGGTACTGTTCGAAAGAGGGGAGCTGAGCGAAGCCGCCGGACGAGGCAAAGGCATTCAGGTTCAAGGCATAGTCGCCGATGGCAATGGCCGGGACGCGCGAGGCCGCTTTGGCAGTGGAGATAATTCCGAACGGGATGTTGGCCAACGAAAAGGGCGAGTTTTTGGGGATCTGTAGCCAGGAAGCCATAGTGGGTGTGATGGAGGAGGACGATGCGAAAATAGAAAATGGAGGAAGAAAAGAAAAAGGACAATGTGGAGAGAAGTTGAAGTATGTGTGAATTCTTAATGAGATGGAGAAATCGCGGGGTTGCGCGCCTCTCCGCGGAACCAAATCCGTCTCCGCTTAGCCCCGGCAATCCCCATTCCGCGTCTTTCCCCCGCAGCCCGGGCTGCTGCTGCTGTTCCGCTGCGGCTGCTTCCTACACTTCCCCCCTTCCGATCTCATCGATCTCCATTTTGTCTCGGGTACTCGCTATGAAGCAGTACATCATTTCCTCAATTGCTCAAGTTCAATCCATGGCCAGCAGAAAGCCCTGACAACATCTTCTTCCCGGTCGCTGGCCGCTTCGTGCCGAGCTTCAAGAATCGAGCAACATCGCATACTGTACCTCGACTCCTCGTGTCCCAACCGGTTGTGTTTCAAGCAGAAGATCAAACCGCATCTGATGCTCTCTGCTACACACTCTCGAGTCCGTTAGCCAGCGGATGTCGAGCAAGTTTCCGAGCGAACGCGAAACATGGCATGGCAGGCAATGCCCATTCAGCTGCCTGGGCGAATTTGGACAATCAACGCAGAGCCAATCAGACATCGACATTCTGCCAGAGCTCTAGATGAAGCCCTAAGATATGACGAGGACATCAAATCTCCAACCTTCGAGTGGGCATTGGATGCAATTTGAAGGCCATCATCACCCCTGTCAATTTAGTGCCATGTGACTAAACTTGGTCTAGCGGAATGCACCTTTAGTGCCATCGGAAATGCCTCGCTAGCTGCTTAGTGATTCATTCAAACTTCGGTGTCTTCTATTTACCGTGCTAACGACCCCTGTCTGGACCCGTAAATATCATATCATGTCTCAAGAAGCCATTCGACCACCAAAGAGCCGGGTGTTCCGGACAAGATCTAAAACAGGCTGCCGCACCTGCCGGTAGGTATAAAGGAGCCACACCCAAAGTCATCATTAACCATCACCAGTACACGACGTATCCGATGCGACGAGTTCCCTGTGGCTTGTAAAAACTGTACCTCCACGGGCCGGAAATGCGATTATGACTTGCATCGGCTGCCCGTGAAGCGCAATCTGAGTCTGCTGCCACGCAGCTTGTTAGGCCGCCTACATGCGTGGACTTTGACCTCAGACGAACGAAACTGTTTCGCATTCTTTCAACTCCAAACCGTTCCAGGGCTGGCTGAGGTGTTTGATTCACCGCTGTGGGAACGCTTTATTTTGCAGCAGAGCTCTGCCGATCCCGCGGTATCCCACGCAGTGATCATGCTTGGCGCAATCCATCAAGGCGCAGTGATGAACCGTATGAGGCTGTCTGGTAGCCGCCCGCATAATTCCCACTTGAACTTTTCTCTTGAACAGTCAGCACGAGCATTCGCTCTACTGAACAGACGCCACGCCTTCAATGACCCCCAGTTCTATCAGACTGTTCTCACATGCTGCCTTCTGTTCGTTATGGGAGATATACTGCAGGGAAACTATGAGAAAGCGGCCATGCACGTTTATCATGGAGTGAAACTTCTGAACGAGGGACTCGCACAGGGACGGGTACTCGACCAGTTCCTTGTCGACGTATTCAAGTTCCTCCAGATCGCTTCCGCACTGTATGCCCCCAGCGGGTCAGCCGAACCCTTTGTGACAGCAGGGAATCCTGAGTGGGGAACCCAAACAAGTCCTATCATCATACATAGTATTGACTCTGTCCGCCAAGCTCTATCGGAAACGCTCAACTACGGAATCGCCCTGATAGGATATACCATGCGGTCCCCGGCGGCGGAGGTTCGTGCGAGGTACGAAGATCTGTGGCTTGCCAAACAAAGAATCACTTCCCGGTACGAGCAGCTTGTCTTAGCCTTCGATCAGCACTGTCGAGAGCGTATCTCCCCGTTAAGTCCCAAAGAAAACCGTGCAGCGGAGGTGTTCCGTCACGTTGTCCTGACCCAAATAGTGGGGCTGCGGCTGGTATTTTCCGATGGTCTCAGCACTAACCATTTAACTGCCGACTGTGCGACGCTGCTTTCCAGCAGTCTAGATATCATGGCTAAGATGCCTAAACGCACAACATTCGTGATGGAGCCTGTGGTCACTGTCGGCTTGCACATGGTGGCCACTCAGAGCCCAGACATTCATATGCGTGTACAGGCCATTGAAGCCTTGCGTGCCTGGCCACACACGGAAGGAATGCACAACTCGGAGATTTGTGCCGGGATCGCGATGGAGGCTCTAAAGGCAGAGTTGCGGCGGATGGCAGAGAACGGTGAAGGCTCGATTGTTGCTGATTTTCCTGAAGGGAGAGACCAGTTTCTGGTTGACGTCCTTGAATCAGACCAGAATGCTGCTAGTTGGGCCACTGTCCGTTGCTCTCAGTTCAAAATCGAAGATGTGTTACATCAACCCGATTCCGACGATGATTCACCGTCTATGTAAACCTCATAGAGGCTAGGTCTGAGATCCTGAAGTATTCATGTGAATAGATTCGATTCTTTGTGAATACAATGAACCCACAATACATCTCTTCTTAATAGTCACTCTGACTGAAATGTAATTTCTCCGATTGATTCATGCCTGACTTCATTAAGTGTCATACCACCGAGTTCAACCGAAGACTATTACGAAACAACCACGGTTGTAGTTATTCCGCCAGTATGATGCCTAGGACGCGTGAGTCACCTCGATGATGGGCCAGTTGAAATTACGGGCTCCCACATTTCCAAATATGAACTGGTCATTAGCGTTGTGGGCCATGGTTGAAATTATTCTGCTCTTCTATCACTGTCACGCGTCTAGCATCCTAGTGAGCAAATCTAGGAAACTTTCTAGAACTGTTCCATCTGTACCATGTTACTCAAATCAGCCCTACCCTAGAGGATCATGGTTGCATGATTCAGACGGTTAATGGCCGGAAGGACGGGAGGATGCCAGTGAGCCAGTCTGAGAAGTCTGCCAGTACATCGCTCTCGGGGTCTTAATACTCGACTGGAACTTTTTGGAAGAGATTTCATTGAAGCTGTCTAGTAGCGCGTTGGAAAGATCTTTCTCCAAAAGACCACAATAACTATTTTGAGCAGGTCTTAAAGGTTTCCTCGAGGCCTCCTGGGTGTCGAATGAGTCGTTTGCAAGCCACCATGGTCGAAGCTGTTCTGTTCAGTGTTCGCTACGATGCTCAGCTGGGCATCATTAGAGATACCATGGTAAAGCATCGCAAGAATTTTCAGTCTCTTGAGTCACTGACTGTTGGAATTATGCGTCAATTGTTTAAAAGCCGCATTGTCTGCCCTGTTCTTTCCCTATTATCCTTCTTTCCTTCCTTCCTTCTTCACCCACAACAAGCTGATCGTCAGATTTTCAGACAACCACATCAAGCAATTATCTTGACATCAAACCAACTGCCTCTCCAAATCAAGCAACTTTCTCTTTCCTCCTTGGCCCCTCATCTTTATCATTATCATCACCACCACCTTGTATTGTGTTGTAGATTTACTACACAGTACAAAGATTACCATGCACCACAAAAGTGGAACGGCTCCCTCTCCTGCAACCACCTCCAAGTCCTCCACAGGGAAGTGGAGATGGTTGCGTTGGGCCATCCCTGTGGGGGTGGTGGTTTTGGCCCTGATCATCTTGGACACCTGTCTTGGGATTCTGCTTCCCAGGCACTCGAAGTCAACGGCCATCGTGAAGATGCCAGATGGGGGACGTAGTGGAAATAGTGAGTCTCCCACAGGTCATCCTGGGGTCCCTGATCCTGGCACTACCATCCCCGGCCCATCTCCTGCCCAGCATATTAAGGCTGTCATGCCTATTGAGCCTTTCGTGCCTGTGAGACCTGTTGAGCCTCTTGAGCCTGTCACTTCTGTCGTCCTTGCTCCCCCTGTCACAACCACCCCTCCACTTCCCACTACAAGCACAAAGGAAAAAGCCAACCAACCACCAACAGCTACTACGCCCCACCACTCGACCGTCGCTGACTGCAACGTCGTCTATGCCGTGACATACACATTCTACGGCTACCCGGACAACGATCCCCCCGGTGCGGACATCGCCTACAACTGTGGGCGGGGGACCAGTGCCGGCGGCACAGGCACCTGGGACGACCCTCTGACTTTCGCCACCGCGCCTGGAGAATTTGCTCCCTGCGAGGTCATCTACGCGCCGTACATCCAGAAGTACCTCATTCACGAGGACTACTGTGAGACCTGCACGCGCCGCTGGAATGGCCTTCTTGGTCCCCAGATGTGGCACGTCGATGTCTGGTTGGGTGGGGATTCGGTGACGAGTGCAGGGGAGCAGCTGTCTTGTGAGAACCAGCTGACACCTGGCTTGGAGAGTCAGGTGGTTATTCGAGATCCGAGGGCGGATCTGCCTGTTGACGGTGAGTGATTCCTTTTTCGTTGTTGATATAGGTAGAAGAGAGACAGGGGGAGGTGCTCGTATGTTTATAATGTGGCTAACATGCAATGGCAGACGTGTTGTTCTACGCTGGAGGACGTTCCAGTTGTGGAACCGAGCATGTCTATCATGCGTTGGTGGCGGGTGACTATTGTTGAACTGTCCAGTAGGACAGGAATCTTCTATTGCCTGCAGTTGCTGGTCTTGCTGTATATTAGATAGTTTTGGAAAGTTCGTCTCTAGATTATTGCTTCAGATGTTTTTGGCATTGCTGCTATCGTTCCTTTTGATTCCATTAATACCATGTATTGGGTTTGCTGTATCCGGTAGGGCGTTATTCTGTTGCTATATTGAGCCCCTAATGAATTAATCTCCTCAACTAGCATGATCCGACTGTAAGATGCTTCATATTTGAGCCATGAGCGCGGAGTAGAGGTGTCAGGAACCAGTCGAGGCAGGAGCAGGTGTGGTCATGTGAGCATGATGCTAGGGAAAAGTTTCGGGCAGGGATCCGTTCACTTCTTCAATCACTTCTCCATGGATATAACCATCTCAGATCCTCCTTCGACACGTATTTTTCCATGCAAAAGTCGGATAAGTCCCAGTGCTGTACGAAGTCTTTCCTGCCTGCTGACTTGAAACTATTGCAGTGTACCCTCCCCGTGGCTCGCGACGTATACCTCTACTCTGTCCTCAACTTGCCCTCCTAGTCTTCATCTTGAAGCTCAAGGCCAAGGGTCCACAAGCTTATTTACCTCTTCTCCGCTTGGCATCACACCTGGAGAATGAGCGCGAGATATATGGAAGGGCATGCACTATTGGTGGTCTGATAGTTATATAGAGGGGATACTTGAGTGGCCGAGATCGTGCATCCACTGCAGTCAACATTAACCATCGCACGTATCATCGCATCAGTCACCAGCTCGAGAAACACGCCTGACACAACCCAAGTACAATTGGTCCCAGATTGGATTATCGCAGGTATTGCGGGAAAATGAGACTCATGTCTTTTTACAAGGTTCCCTCGCGATATGATGGCGAAGATGCGCTAAATGCTGACATGTTTGAGACTCAATGCTTTCCAGCTAGGGCCGAAGACACCTTGATACTGATTGACGACATGAGCTCTCCGACGGTGGGGGTCACTGGCAGGCGGCACAGCTGGATAACGTGATGATGACAGGGCTGGCGGCCCGGGCGCGCACCCAGGAGCAGTGGTATCAGCTTTTGGATAGCGCGGGGTGAAAGGTGCGAAGTTGCGCTCCTGCCTCGATGGGGATGCGTAGGTGTTTTCTGGAACGCATGCTATCCATCCCTTAGCTATTGATGAGACATATGCATTGAGGAGAATTTTTAAATAGTAAAAGACAAAAACATACAACAGAAGGGATTCGCTGGTGGTCACCCACCCAACTACTAACCTCCCGGCGTGTGGCTTGAACGCGGCCAGAAGGCGGGTGGGTTCCGCTCGGGTGAGCTAGCGGGTGAGGCCGCTTTACGGTCGCGCGACCGGGGGTGACTTAGGGTGAGTGACTTTTAAGAATGGGTGAGCAATCACCCCGTCGCGCAACGTTCAGCAATCTCACCCGTTGAAACTCTGTTATCCACTTCATCTCTGTGTAGCAATGATGATTGGTTTGTAATAGTGTGCTGGAATTGACAAGCCACGAAACTGACTCGAGATTATCTACTTTAGGTCTAGCTGCCACGTAATCAATCCTATTCCCCAATCTGACAATAAGGGAACGGAAGCCCCATAAAATTAACGCAAAAATCGCCCTACCTCGATCCTTTATAGAGATTTGGAGTCAACAAGATTATGTATCAATGGTTAAATATTTCAAATCAGAAATTGGAGCCAAGTTTTTCATCCAGACATGATTCAAGTATATGTTTTAAGGACACAGCGAATCCAATAATATTTGGATGTTTGCTTATCAAGAGAATAGTATCAATCTTTCATACAAATAGTGGTTTCAGCCTTGCTGAGTCAGAAGAAAATGTCCCCTCTTCCTATCTTTCTACATCCTGACCAGCTGTTTACGCAACAGTTGACAAAATCGAGATCAGCAATATATTGGTTCCAGAATTCAATCCAGATATCACAAGTATTATACTGAACCTTGAACATTTGATTCATATCCTATATCAGGTGAATTGCAAAAAATCGTGCTGTATGGAGTATATATTAGAATCTTTTACTCTAATTACAGCCGCTCTGTACATAGCCCCTCTCAGTCTTGTTTAATTTAATCCTTTCTAGCCCAACTACTTATCTTAAATAATGTTTCTCCCCTTAGAATACTTCTCTTTTCGACCCTTATTAAATTCATAGCTGTCAAAAATGGCGAGGGGTTCTCATGATTGAATTGATTGATGATGATATCCTTAGAATCAACGGGGCGGAACCACGAGATATCCGCCAAAGGCGGAACCGTCTGGCAGAACCACCACCTTCCATGCTGGAAGGTTATCGCCTCAGGCGATTCACTACAATAGCTTCAGAATTATAATCATGGCAGAAGAAGACTGGACATATGATATATTTAAAAAATACTTCTCAAGATTAAGATAAACTTCCAGAAGTCATTAAAAAGGTACTAAAACAAAAACACTCGAAAAAGAATTATATATCTCGGACCTTTCTAGGAAATAGAAACATTAACCCGAACTTTCTTAAATCTAAAGATATACTCTTGATACTTGTAGTACGACATCCCTCACATATTAATATACTAGAAATGCTTATTAAGATTGAAGGGCTCGACATGGATATAAGTAATAATAAAGGACAGACTGCTCTTTCCTACGCCTGTAAGCTGTATAAGATTAAATATGTCAAAGTCTTACTGCTCAACAAAGTATATCTAAATCTATAGGATTAAGAGGGTCGTACTTTATTATTATAGGCAGCAACGCCGACCGGCAAAGGAAATAATTTTTCTAATGTAATAGAACTACTCCTGAAATATAGAGTAGATGCTAATGAAGAGGATCTTCAAGGATAGATTCTACTAATATAGGCAGTCTCCAAAGGATCCTATATTATTGTTGCAGAATTATTATCTTTCGATACAGAAAATATTAACTACTAAGATACGCAAGATTGTACGCCACTTTCCTTAGCCGTAGAATTTTAATACCCAGAAATTGTGGATCTTCTTCTTCGTGTTGGAGCCAATCCAAGTATTGAGGATAATAATATGGAGGTGACTTTGATATAAGTAATTCATACACAGTAAACTAATACAGTTCAAAATATTTAGGCCGTGCCTAACGCGGGCATAAATCATCGAATTCGGGGTGGAGTTTCACCATTGACGCTGGCAGTGAAGCTCGGACTTACTTAGATTACAGAGCTGCTTTCAAGATCCGAGGCTGACGTATATACCAAGGACGAGGACAGCTACACTCCTCTAGGATAGGCAGTCATCAAAGGCCAAAAAGCAATAGTAGACTTACTGATTTCCTTTGGCGCTGACTTGAAATACAAGCATCAAAAACACGACTGCTGCAGGGCACTGCTACTTGCTATAAAACATGAACAGAACTGTGGTTAATAAGCTACTCCAACAAAATACTGAAGTCAATTGTGCGGATGTGCATGGTTATACATCTCTAGCATAGGCAGTCAGGCAGGGCTCTGATGAAATAGTAAAAGATTATCAGCCGAGAGAGATATAAATATAGACACCAAGAATATAAACAAACGAACACCTCTATCTTTAGCAGCGGAGTATGACCGGTCCCAGATCGTGCAGTATCTTTCACAACAGCAAGCCGATATCAACTCCAAAGATCGGGAAGGGCAGACCCCGCTGGCGTGGGTGATCAGGCAATCACAGGACAATACAGTAGTTGAACTACTTTGCAACGAGACAATTGACCTTGAACATCATAACATGAATGATAACTCACCACTCTTTCTTACCATAAAGACTAATAACAGCTTTTTGATATATATTATAATAAAAGCGGGTGCGAATACAATGCGACTAGTTAATAGTCATACATATTTCTGGTGGCTTGTCAAGGCTAGATTCGAGATGAAGAATAAGCCAGAAAGCTTTATGGCTAGTCGACGACAAGCTTTCCAAATACTCGAAATTGTTCCCTACCATTCAGATCCAGACCTTCTAGAGAACAATAGAACCTTGTTATCATGGTCAGCGGAGTATAGTGACTATATGATGGTTCAGGCGCTTCTCGAACACAGTGCTAATCCTGATATTCGCGATGGACCACCAATAAACACCCAAATACACTCTATTAAAACAAAGCGAATAGACGCTAGCTTAAGCTTTTCTAAAACACTACTATTATAGGCATTGATTAATGGTCATCTTGCTGTGGTGGACATGCTGAAAGAAAAGGACTCTTTATTATTATATCTACTTAATAAAGAAAGAGAGCTTCTAGGTGATCCAGAAGCTTTGAAGCTGGTTTGTAAACTTCTTAAGACAGTATATAACTTTAATAAGCTTAATTCTGAAGGCAGATATACACTTTATTTACTGAGTAATATACAGGATACAAAATTTGCTAAAGCCCTGTTAGATGCGAAGAATATGGAAGATTCCTTGAATCTATAAGATAATTCTAGAAAAACATCTCTCTATTATACTTTAAAAGAGAAGAACGAAGCATTTGCTTGGATGTTACTTAAGAAAGGAGCTGATATAAGTAATATCTCTACTAAAGCTTGGTTTTATCTCAGTAACAAGGCTATACAATAGATTGAGTTCACACGGTAAGATAGTGGTTCTATATCTTTGTGTCTGCACCCGAGTGTGGGGGCGAATGGTGTCGATTAATTAACGAAAATAAAAATCATACTTTGGTAAGAAGCGCCTACTGCTTAAGGTTCTCGCTGACATTTCAAGTCTATTCCGGAGAGGGGACCCTACTTGGTCGCGAAAAGGGCCTAGGCTTGCTTCCCAAATGATTAGGTACGATTACTTCTGTTGAGGTTATTTAAAATAAAATTCTTTGTTATTTAAGTCTTCAGAATCTCATATCTTAGTCTACTTTCCTACTAATAAAATCAACATTGAATCAAAACTCGCATTATGCTACTTTTTCAGGTATTGAGTAGAACAAGGAGTCGAGTGCGAACGGGGACTTTTATACTTTTAGGAGTATATTATTAGACAGTCGAATCCCTTAAACACCAGCGGAGCTCTGTAGTACTTTTATTGACCACCTAGGTCAGGAATGGAATAGTATATACACTGGTGTGATGGAAACTATCAAGACGACTATAAGTACAATTATTTCTATTTAATCTTTCTGTCTTATCTTTGTACACGATTGCTGATTTTGCCAGCGGCGTGACCAACTTTTAAGACAGGGCCAAGGTCAAAAAATAATCCAGATTCTTGCTTAGAATAGAGTAAGATATACCGAGCTGCAAAGAGCTTTATGCTAATATATTGAGAATCTCTGACAAGTGATTGATGAAGATACTACTATTTTTCCCGGACAGAAAAAATAATTACAGGTATAGGTTAATAAATTTGACAAGTCGGTCAAGGCCAAGGTGCTTAGGATTAAACGAGCGGTTCGAGAGCTTTTACAGATTGTGTGTATATTTTTGAACCGTTTGACTGCCTCTAACTTTTCCAAAGGAATTTGCTGGATCTCAATCAGCGAGGCAGCAAGTATCAAATGACTTAGCTGGATTACAGTCAGTATTCAGAAATCCCTAATGTACTTTTCTGACTATTCCTTCCACAGTTTATTTTTCTGCCATTGATGTTTGTCTCAGTAAGTTCTTCTACTATGAAATACACGTTATTGAGCGGCGAGTCTCACCCTTACCGCCTTGAGGAGAGGGGCGTCCATAAGGCGGTGAATTCGACTCTGGCAGTAGATTCGTCCCAGGCGGTAAATCAGTCTCCGACGGTGAACCAGTCCTTAGGTGGTGAAATCCAGTACTATGCTCAATCTTAGGTGGCAAAATCTAATGAGAAGATGACTCAGAATCCCTTGGCAGATACGCCGACCTCGCAGATTGTCTTATTCCCTTCCCAGTCACATTACCTCCCGTCATTAGACTTTCAAATCAAAAGACATTGAACTTCGTTTAACAAAACATAAGATCAGAGATTATTTGTGTGAAATAGGTCTCTGAGGCCTCCTGAAAACAAGCTGCAATCACATTATCCGTATACTCTGATGCCAGGCGCCTGAAGACACGAAAGAATTCCTGTTATATGCAAAAGTATTGAGGATAAATGCAGCGCAAAATTGAACGAAGCGGTAAAGTCGCAGATGGAATTAATATCTGGTTCTGAGGATTCTGTTCAATTTTGAATGCCAATCTTTTTCGAATAGTGGCTATCTTGAAGCACGGGGAAATCGCCCTTCCGATAGGTCCCAAACGAAACATTTTCCCTACAGAGAAAGCACAATCTATGAAGAATTGACTGAGACGCACAAGGGAAGTTCAGTAGTGAAGGTGAGAAATTATATTGAATGATCAGTCTATACGAGCATCTTTCTTAGAACTTGCAGTCTAGTTCAAACAATAACAGTTTATAATTCAGGTTATACTTACATCAGCTTGGCTAAATTCATACTAATATTCAAGCTAGACATCAACAGGGAGCGACCGAACCATAGTGGGATAATTGGCTATGAAACGAAAGAGATAAAATTTTCATGTAAAGATTGTGTTTGTAACAAGAAATTCAGATCCGATCAGCTCAGTGCTGGATATTCCGACCCTTACGCTGCATATACCCAGCCACCCAAATAGACTACTTCTGTTCGAGATCGTCATTTGTAATAGCCTTTTGGTCCAAGTAGCTTTTATTTATCTCACGACCTGGACTCACTCTGCGAAGCACTTCCTCATTCGCACGATTATCCACATTACTTCCTTCGGGTACCGGGGCATGTGGACGAGAAATAGTTTGCCGTGAAGGATGAGCGGTGCCAGTCTGTAGGATTCCTTCATCGGTTACTCTGTTAGCTTCGGAGAGAGCAAGATCTCCGGAGTCAAAATATGTTCGTTCCTATATCTTTATTAGCTTATACTCTTTCCCAGCCGCCGTCAAATTTACTCTAGACTTATATCGATGCAAATCTCCCAATGTCTGGCTTTTGTACTTGGTCAAGATTCTCTGTTCTCTTTCGGAAAGCAGCTGACAGAGATACAAACAGTGAGCACTTTCCGCGAGAAAGAAGGGGGAAATGATCTCACATTACCTCCTCATGAGTATTGGGACTAATTTTCTTATCCATAACGAGTTTGGGTAATAAATAGCTGTATAATACGACAAGCACACTATGAAGCTTCCGGTAGCTGGAAAAGGATGCTTTATCATAATCACTTGAAGGAAAAAGGAAGACAATATAGCCAGTTGCCACCCTTCATTCCTGCAACACTCGCTTTTATGTCGGTTTCATATTTTCGATGTCACCGCTCGAACCAAAGCTACTTACCTGAACTCTGCCACTCCCGGGCGGAAACTATTTCCACAATGCAGCACCGGTCGACCCTCAGCTGAACTCATAGAAACTTTGATCTTCCGTTCGTGGTTTATTTTCATAATCAAGATTTAGAATTCCTGAATTCTTGACCAAGACCAGTAATTGGAAAGACTGGAACAACAATATTAGGGACTCTGCAATAAGTTTACTATTTATTAGATCACATCCAGCAACTCAAAGCCAATAGACTGGTCCATTTTTGAGGATCTCAATTTGTGGAGATAATAGATTAGCGGTGGGAACTGATAGGCCGATTAGTAATTCAGCCATTATGTTAACGTAATCCACATGCGAGCTGGCCGCCCAAGCGAGCCGGCTTCCGCGCGCGTTATTTTCGCGTTCTTCAATTCGAAGCAATTCAGTCACCAACAACACCACCAAATATGCCTCGATCACCAAATTATTTAGTGGAACAAGAAGGCCGTATCTGCCTTGCAGTTGAGGCTATTCGAACTGGCAAAATTCCGCTTATAAACGAAGCTGCAAGCGTTTTTAATGTCCCGCGTTCAACTCTGCAACAACGGGTTAAAGGAGTTAAATCACGCCTTGAAATACGTGCCAACTCTATGAAATTGACTATTCTTGAAGAAGAAGCCTTAAAAGACTGGATACTTTCACTTGTTAAACGTGGGCTTCATCCTCGGCCGTTATACGTTCGGAATATGGCTACTATTCTTCTTCAAAAACGTGACTCGGATTCTACAGTCTCAGTGGGTGATAACTGTGCATACAACTTCGTTAAGCGTACACCGGCATTGAAAAGTCATTTCTCTCGAAGATGTAATATCCAGCGTGCTAAATGTGAAGATCCTAAGCTCTTGAGTGAGTGGTTCGACCGGTTTAAAGCTATAAAGGAGGAATACGGTATTCTCGATGAAGATATCTGGAATTTCGATGAAACTGGCTTCGCAATGGGAATAGTGGCTACAGCCCGTGTAATCACAAGATCTGATTACGTGGATAAGCCATCTCTTATTCAGCCAGGGAATCGAGAATGGGTGACCTCAATTGAGTGTATCAACGCCGCCGGCGTGGTGTTGAGACCGTACTTGATTTTTAAGGGTAAAGTCTATATCGAGGCATGGTTCCAAGGCCTCATTCCATCTGACTGGCGTATTAACTTATCGCCAAACGGTTGGACTTCTAATGAGATCGGTTTACATTGGCTTCGAGAACACTTTATTCCTTCTACAAAGAACCAGCGAATCGGACGATATAGCCTCTTAATTCTCGACGGGCACAACTCTCATCTGACTCCGGAATTTGACGATATATGTAGCCAAAACGGCGTTATTCCTATCTGCATGCCTCCACATTCTTCGCATCTTTGTCAACCGCTTGATGTCGCTTGCTTTGCACCGTTAAAACGAGCGTACGGCAGCTTGGTGGAACGGCTAATCCGCCAGGGCACTCACAATATAGATAAGGTTGATTTCTTGGATATATATCCAGAAGCACGTTCTCTTGCCTTCAAAGAATCAACTATACGCAACGCCTTCAGAGCTTCAGGATTGGTTCCATTCCAGCCGGATGAGGTTCTCGGTAAGCTGGTTATACAGCTCCGTGAGTCTACTCCAACTAATAGTGTCTCTACTGTATCAACAGTGCCAAAAACACCTAAGAATACGAGGCAATTAAAGAGGCATAAAAGTACAATTGAAAGGCTTCTCCGCGAACGTACGATTAGTCCGTTATCGCAGATGAAAACAGCGTTATCTTATGTTGTTAAGGGATGCGAAATCGCCTTTAACCGAACTACTTTACTTGAGCAGGAAGTCAACAATCTGCGGGCTGGATTAGAGAGACAGAACAACAAGAAGAAGAGGTCTTATCGTCAAATAGCTGATCTCAACGGCCTCACTGTTGAAGAGGCGAGAAACGCGTTTAATCAGACTGGCGAGGCTGATCAGACTGGTGGAAGTCAGCCTATAGAATCAGCTACGGGCGAGGAACAACCTCGCCGCCGGGCACCACCTCGCTGCAGCGAGTGTAATACAGTTGGACATAGAAGAACGAGATGTCCAACACGTCAAAACACGAATTAAACACGTTATTTGTTGATATAGAGGACTATAATAGCTTCATCTTTTTATGGAAGCATATTTTGCTGGGCGCGGAAGCCGGCTCGCTTGGGCGGCCAGCTCGCATGTGGATTACGTTATGGGAGCCATCTTCGAAAGGCGCTATATTTGGTCAAAGAAAAGCACTAGGAAAGCAGCGGACAAATTAAGAAGTCATATGATTTGCTTTTGGTAAACTCATCAGTAAAGAATGACAAGTCGAAAATCGTCAACTGCGAGGTGTTGAACATATGCATCTCGTTAAGCGCACCACCGATGCGGCCGCAACCACCGCTGCCCCAACGGCAACGGATAGGCAAAAGAACGAACACGTTAAAACTCTTAATTGCTTTAAAATCCAGAAATATTGAAAGTTTCATATCAAGCTATATTGAGAACTAAGTTAAATCGCTAATCCGAATCTATACTTGATCCGTTAGAATAGATGAGAATACCGTATCCCGAGCCCGTATCAGGTCGTCACAATCTGGGAATAATGTTCCAAGTAGCACCAGCCAAATGCATGTGCCAGAATGGTATCACGTACTTTCCTCAAATTAGTTTTTAGCATAGGATTAGTTACAGCTGATTACAAGAATGGCACAAACATCCATAACATATGTTAAACCCAAAATCTTGGGCATGTTTTACAGAGCGGGTCATTAGAAAAGCCACAATCCAGTTTCAGAAAATTCGTCACTTCAGACTGCTGAGGTTCAAGAGTCAGCAGGGATGCAACGTGTTGGCATATCCAAAAGCTGCTGTATGCTAAGCACTCGGTGCGACAATGTATGTCTATTGGTCTCTGTCGATATCTGAGAAGAATCGACAGTTTCGGCAGATTTAGACCTCTGTTGTTGGTGTTTAGTAGACAGATAAAGCTGTATATTGCTGAGACTCGATTTGCTTCGGATCATTTTCAACAACGTCGTGCTATTAGCGTCTGAACTGTCCTGTAGCGTCTGAAATAGCTGGAGTAAAGTATCCCGTTCCTCTGTCAATTCTTCAATTCTTTTTTTATAGGCCGATTTTCGCCGCATATCTCTATCCAAGTCGAGCGTACAGGAGAGATGACGCTTAGTGCAATTTTCGCAGGCAGCGGCCTTGTCCCTAAATATACACTGCTATGTTTAACATGCTTTGGGATTGAACAGAGACTGAAGGATTGTTTACCTTTGTCTTGAGTCGCTTGCACTCTCCACATGCTGCCGACGCCTTGCGGACCCGGACTGCTGAGACCTTGGGCCCGAGGGAAGGTGTAGAGATAATGGACGAAGGAGCTGGGGCGAGAGACTGCATTGAGAAAGAGCTTGAGAGTGCGATGAATATCTATTCAGAAATGCCTCCATATTAATCGGAAGATTTCATTTCTGCTACGGTGTAGGAAATTCGCTGGCGGCACTTATAAATCGTGTTCCCACCAATGCTTGGTACCGGCTCGGATATCTCATCCGAGCTGGTTTGATCAATCAACGTCTGCAATCTGCATGGCAATTTTTGTCTTATTCTCTTGGCACAGTGACATACCTTGCTTCTGAATTCGGACAACTTTACCGCTCTTGTTTCAACCAATCAACATAAAATTGGCTTTCTTGATTCCCGGTCGATGTTCTCGGCATAGTGACGTGCCTATGAACTAGATTTGGGCAAAGAGCGAAACAGAATCAGGCTCGGTAGGTGTACGAAAAGAGATACCAGTTGTTGGAGCATATTGTGAGAGTTCCTTACAAGGTTCGGTCGTTCTTTGATTCGCAAGTGTCGTCATAGTCGGAAAGCCTTTTGATCATTGGCTTTGTTTTCGCTGATGCGCCCTATGCCCATTGCAGCAAGACTTCACGGCGTAAGTATTGTGAAAGGTGCTGCCGAGCGTTCATTTCATGTTCATTAAATCTACAGATCATAGCACCACGTAGAAGTAGATATCTTCGGGTTAGAGAGAGTAATTTCTCGAAATCAGGTGCTATCTCAGGTAAACAGATCATCCGATTGGCCGTCCCGCCGAACTCGATGAAGGGGCGAATACAAACCACTAGTTGTAGGGATGAGGTGGAATGACCACTTCATCAATTGGGCAGTCTTGTGTGGCAGCATAACGGACTCATAGATTATCCGGTACTTCAAGCGGATCTAAAATACCATAATTCGGGTGCGACCGAGGCTCCTTGTTCCTCAAGGATTTGAAACCGCAACCAAGGAGACTTGGCATGTTCTAGGTAGGTATTGATATTGTTATCAAAGGGTACGAAGAAAGGTTTGGAAAACCTCAACGCATATGTGCTTTCCAGGCAGGCGATTCGAAAGGAGATAATAGCTGGTATTCGGATGACGTCATCCGAGCTAGTACATTCCGGGCTGGTGTCATCGGATCCTGGAGGCTTCTGTCGCAACTCGCCCGGTGAAATTTTAGGATCGTGCATGGCTGAAAGTGGTTTCCCAGATTGGGAGCTGTGGTCGAGCAGCGTTCCGCCAGAATTAATCTCGATAGGCCGACTGGAAGCTCATAAGATATAGACAAAACACACTCTCTATAGCTGTTCCGAGGGCCTTCAATGCCACTCTCGACGTCAATATTCGGCTCGCACAAGTAGTAGTACAAAGTCGAGCACTCGTCGGGCACCCGTAGAAGCACAATCCCAAGCCCAATAGTCAAGTATAAGTACTTTAGACTTTCAGAATCATCACATGGTATTTCTGAACGATCGCAGAGCCGGCAAGGTGAGCGACGTTATATCTTACTTTCTCCGGGCCAACAGTAGGAACTAATCAGTTCGACAGTCTCGTGGTAAAAGTTCATCAGTCGAAGTCCCGCCCTAAGATTCTCGTTAGATAGTTTATACGGCGGTTTGTACTCGACTATAGTCAACAAGGCCCTAGTATCTCCATCAACACGGTGGATACAGAATTGGTCGGGGCGGGCAGGACGTTCCTTCGAATTTGCTTCGTCTGGCGGAACTTTCGTCAAAAGTATTAGTGTAGTTGTCGAACCACACCCCATTCCTAGGCCAAATTCCTCTCGAGCACTCGGTATCTTGCACAGCGCTGAAATAATATCAAAAACATGATTTTCCACGGCGAAACGCTCATACACCTCCAGGTCCTTTTCACTCGTGATGGGTCGAGCGGCAAAACACTACCCGTACTCTTCTAGTACAACGCAGGGACTGAATAATCGCGGTGCTTCGCTGCCTAGAGGATGGAGATATTGACGAACTGAGTTGTAAACCCGCTGTAACTTAAAGACACAATCTGTCCAGGGTTCCAGTCGTAGAGGGCAGTACTTGCCGGTAGGGGACAGAATCTTGCTAGTGGTAGACTAAGCAGAACTTCCGACTTCTAGGGGCTTTGAAAGAAGATTATAACAATGTTGAATAAATTCTTCGAAGGTAGCCTGGCGATTTCGTGCATCTGCCTGCTCTCTCAGTATCTTCTCTTGCCTGCTTCCCTCCTAGGCTTTCCTTCGTTCTTCGTCAGCTTTCTTTAATTCCTTCTCGGCTTTCAGGAACAAAGCCTTGTAGTCGACGACCGAATCTGACATGACCGTAACTGGTGGTTGCTTGAAAGGGGTGTCATTCTATTGATGAGTAAGGACTTAGGAATAATAACTGTTATCAATCCATCCCCTTTGTCGAGCCCACCGGGACGGCACATCGGATAATATATTTATCCGAGAGTAGCACTAAGTTCGATATGTAATCGGGAAGGCATCGTGCCGCCCGCGACGGCCTTGAGGATCTCGCAGGCGATTACGGCGGTGATGTGGCTCGTGGGCGAGCGGAACGGGATCATCAGGGCGGTGCCGAGGATGAAGAGGGGGAGGGCGGCTAGGGCGGGCGTTTTGAAGCGGTTGATCTTGCGGATTAGGCTGGTTTTGTTAGTACACTTTGAAACCTTCGAACTCACAGCGTTCGGGGGGAGAGGTGGAAACGAGGACGAAACGGAACGAATATTAAAAAGTGTGAGTCACGTGAAGTATAGCAGGGGTTTATCATCCTCATGGGCTTCTTTCACCGCCCTTCAGCCTCAGCCAATAGTTGTTGTAAAGAGTCACGAGACATACCCCACCTCAAAAGCGACTTGCTTCGTTCCCTCACATTTAAATCTCCCTCATCAACGCTCAAATGTTCAACAACGAAAGACAACAAGAAAGGGGTCCTGCCCGTCCCTCTCTTCTCATCCAGAAGATCTATTATCAAAACACCGTTATCTCTACTTGCAAAAGGTTAACATACGACCAATAAACCTCGTCTGCCATCAGCTTGTCTTGACGCTTGCCCTCATTCATGTCTTCATCCGACAGGCCTTCGGTCTCATCTATCCCTTTGCAATCGGAAAAGGTCAAGATTTACGCCACTGAAGCATGGAAAGAGGTCAAGCCGGTTGCTGAATCCTTACCGAGACCGAAACGCAGTACAATTGCACGATTCTTCGCAACAGATGCTTGCGACGATCCAATCAATTATGCAATTTCGGAGTATACAGCAAAGGTCAGATTTTGGGGAATTTTTTAGCAGAGCCTCGATTCTGACAGCTTTGGTAGGGGCTATCACAAACGAAGAAGGAATACGAAACGCGGGAAATATTGAGCTATAAAAAAGGGGGTCTCGTCGTGTTTCCTGGGAAGGCAATTGTTGGTCAAACCTTCACAATAATGATCCCTCTTGAAGTGTGTGGGGAGGTATATATGGAAGGGTTGGCCTTGGATACAAGTCACTATTATCATATTTTCAGGGAATGTAGCGTCGAAGTGTCGGAAGGTGCCAAATTAACGGTACTGGTAATATCTGATCTTACATGAAGTGTTACTGATAATTGATTGATTTGCGCTCCATCCTGCCAGCCTTGAAGCTTAACATATTATCATACCCCAACTACAAGTTTGTCTCTGATTCTAGTTTATTCATTATTCAACAGATCAAAAGGTAGCTATATCTTCGATATACGAAGACCGATCGAGGTATCACTAATATACAAATTCAGATCGTATGGTGAATCCCATTTTCGAACCCTTGAATCACATTATCGTGAGTCAGTTGAGTCTGATAGTGTGCGGTTTCAAAGCCTTGAGCGATATCATAAAGAATAGACATGCTCTCTCTTTGGCCGCAAATGTCATCTGGAAGGCGTTGAGAAAAATTGCCGGAGCTTAAAACCCCGAATCTGTGACCATTCACATCCTCAAAACCTTCAGCGATATTCTGGGAGATCACTTCCTCGCCTGCAGCGTGATAAAGGACATCCTCAAATCCTCGAACCACATTATCGAAGGATGGAGAGTAGGATGTTTGACCATGCGGCGAGGGTCCAAAAATGGAGACTTTCTCTAGGATGAAATATTTAGGTTCTAGGCGCAAAAATCACTAATTAGATAGATAAGGGAAAACGTACCCTGATGTATACCTGAAGCAGGCAGTGTAGAACGCTCGTCTGCTAAACTATGGACTGAGACAACATCTTTGTCTAGTCCTGAGGTGTTCTGTATTGACAAAGACGTGTTATAGCTGCTCGCAGAATCATGATCGGCTCTGAATTGTAATTGATTCAAAACACCTTGATGTTCGGGCCCTACAAACATATTTAGCGAAGGGAGATTCCAGAAAGCACGTGAAAATGAGGTAGACTCTAATTACCTGGATTGTTACCAGGGGATTTGATGTCTGGTATAGTTATGAAGCCAGGAGATGATAACCGGCCTTGGATTCGGTCTGAAATCACCATAGAGTTGGTGGCCTCTGACCGACTAGACCCAGGCAACTTATTTGATTTAGATTTCTTGTTCTTTCGGATTAGACGCGATGGTAGGATTGACCCAGCTCGTTGTGTTATCTCATATATGATTTGAGAACCAATGCCGTGCAGGTCGTATTGTGCGGCAATATGTGGGACATTGATCGAAGTTAGATGAGAAACGACAAAATCAAGATCATCACGTTTGTTGAGAGATATTTCGAACCTTTCGCACTCAGTAAAGCTAGAATGATTGATTGTATCCGAATACTTACATCCATGCTGGAGCTACTCCAATTAAGAAGAATGTGCCATACCCGCCCAAGTGTTCTGCATAGGTATTCCATATGAGACCAGCCTTGTAGTCATCCTTGAGGTTTTTCTTGACAGATTCGACATCCTCTTTCCCGTTAGGATCAATCAAGGTCGTGCAGTAGCGCAAGACGCGTTCTGAGAAGATTCGCACATTGAATCTTTCGCAGATTAGCCGAACAAAGAGGTATGTCGCAGATGTATAAAACGCCCGGTAGGTTACAGAAAGTCGGTCATTTTCTCTGCTTCCGTGATATAGTTGGCGCAAGATATTCGCGTCCCATTCCAGGCTCACTCTCAGTTTGGCTGTCCAGAATTTGGATGGAGCTGCTCTGATTTCCGCGATGAGTGAAAGGGTTTCTGGTGTTGGTAGAATGTCCTTTTCAGTGGCCCTGCCGATGCGCTCCCGAGCATCTCTTGCTCTTGTACGAGCTCGCTCTATTCCAGAAGACTTGTTGTCATTTTGACCAAAGGCCTCGAACAAAGAAAGCCTCAAATCATCGGAGAGGAACTGCTTGTTACAGATGATAAATTGAGTTGCCTATGCTTGTTAGTCTTGTATAGTGATTGTGCTTGTCAACTCTTACCCGTCGAAGAATATCAATTTTGCCACATGCATTATTCGATACTTCTGTGGCCTGAACGGGACAGACTGCACTAGTAAGTTCCATGTCTGCTTTTTGAGATTCTCAAAAGCGGTTGTCAGGTCAGTCTCAACAAAGAGGAGGGAGCCGGCTCAAGTCACCATTAAGCATGCCGGCCGCAGTATACGTGGGTAGGTACGCTGAGAAACTGCGTTCAGGATAAGCCAGCGAGTTCATGATGCCAGACGAAGTGTTTTATTGTTGGTGAATATACGAGTCGTCGGCTGTCAGAGCTTTCAACTGTCTGATGACTTAGCAATAGAACAAAAGGGAGACTCCAATGATTCTTAGATAGCACATGAACATCGAAGAAAGGAGCAAAAAGCGGGGTAACCTGGCAGTCACGGGAAGCAACAAGGAAGCTGATTAATCACGAAGATGTTAGTAACAACCTCAACAGCAGGCCGAGACAACGAGCTGCAATCCTCAAAGCGTGGTCTGAACACTAGCAATAATCATAACTGAGGTCGAGCTTCATGTCAGATTTCGACCGCCGTTTAATGTAAACGAATTTATGCACATTCCGAGAATATCGGCAATTGAATTTGTTTGGGGAAGCATTCTTTCAAGACAAATGATGTCAGCAATGTTCTGAATCTTCTGGGACCCGGTCGTCGTGCTCATATTTATGGCGATAACATACCATGGGACAATTAATCTGGAATTGATGGTAGCATTGATTATAATAAGCTTTGCTCTTGGGATTGTAGAAAGCCACATGCAAGCGAAAGAGGAAGGTACATTCGTCCAGCAAGTTATCGCAATGCGTTTTGCACAAATAAAAGAGCTAAGAGAGTTCAAACTCGGTACATCAGACTCGGTACATTTTCTTATTTCTAGTACGGCCATACCATCATGTGCAATTTCTCTTGATGCTCATCCTCAGCCAAGCTGATAAATTCCTGTTTAGCCCAGTCACTCACCATTCTAGCCTGTTCGTACTCTTCCGGTTGGACCATACCCCCAATCGGAATGAGTCCTTCGTCTGCCAACTGTTGCACGATAGTGGATAACCCCTGAACAAGATTTTTTTCGTTTTGATGTTCTGTTAGTTCCTCCTCTGTAAATTCAACTGGGCACGGGCTGCTATAGCCTAATCGCGTCCAGAGTGCAACTATTTTAATCAGAGCCTCGCGCAACGAAAATGTGTCCTGCCGTTCCCAACATCCTGAGATCAAGTTTAACGGGTGGAGTCTTGTTGTAAGGTATGGATTCCTGAAGACTCTTGACCGGATATTGTTGGCATTTTTAGTGCCCTCATAATAGTATTCGAGAAGTTCCTTCTCAAGCGAATTTTGTTGACTGGTACGAGGACTAGGTGAAAGCTCTAGCATCTGTGGATGGGGGCGCTGCAGACAGATAGGTGTTACAGCTGCCAGCTGCCAGTCAATGATTGAAGTAATTTGGTTTGTATCCGGATCAATAAATATGTTATCAAGATGCAGATCGGGATGTGATAAAGTATTAAGCGGTTCACCGGCTTCTGGTCCTGGTATGAGATAGGGTGAGATCATTAGATAGCGCTCGAGAAGAGATCGGTATTCTTCTGGACTTTCTGGCTTGTCAATCGAGCGATATGGATTGATTCTTGGTATTGCCTGAGACTGCGCCCAAGAAAGCTCATTTTTCCCAAGAGCCATTGCATAGTCGGCAGTGTTTGACCCTTAAAATGATTAAGCTGGTGAGCCCATAAAACGGAGGGAATCTGGTTGAGCTTACATGGACCCCAATCAAGTTTCAGGAATTTTCTTTCAGATTGCCACATTCTGCGGTCATTTGAAGGACCTATCGTGAACCTGGAAAGTTCCGAAAACTGGCGCACTTCCGGTAATGACGCACTGTCCAGCATTGAATCTAAGCTGTCATAAACAGGCATCCTCGAGCTCAGGACAGACGTATGGTATATGCAGCCATGCTTTGAGAATGACACCGATGTAAGTTTCTTCTCTATATCAATTACCTGGTCTATAATCTCGCATCGTGATGGCATTGACATCTGGGCCCATAGTTTGCCCAATGGTTGACCTGTAGCCTTTTCTTCGAGAATATACTCTGATCCTACCGGATTTGATGAGTCTGATGACCAGGTGTAGATTTTAGGGACAGGCAATCCCATGATTTCGCGAACCTGACTTTATTAGTTTAATCAACAGCAAGTGATATCAAGACGTACAAACTGACGAGTTGCCACCTCGGAGGCAATTGTATAAAATGCAGGGCCTGCGTTCGGGTTGGGCAGTCTGGCAACAACTTCATCACCATTGCTCATACTCAATACGAATGCCTTATTGAACTGCCCTTCAACACATTTGGAAACTTTCGTGCCTGGCAAAGACTGTTAGACCAAGGACTTATAGACAAATTGATGATGAATACATTTTAGTCCATCTCCTCCTTTGGCTTGGATACTTGTATGAACAAGTTGACGCAAGTCAAATTTCAGGTAACGTCTTGCAAGTTCTCTTGAATCGCCGTTTCTAGAACTTTTAGTCAGCTGGAATGATATGGAGTAGAAAACTTACAGCCACCGATAACGCTGGTAACCGAACAGATCACTTTCTTCAATAGGGATTTCTGCTGGCGAATTAGTCAAAACTAACAGTCTCTGAAAACAACATACCTGAGCCATCCGTGAGAGTCCGAAAAAGAACAGGTCGTAGTTCTGACTGCATATTTTTCGCACACTTAGAAAATTTAGACCTGATGATTCGCGGCACAGCCATTGAATATTCCTTGAGAGGCACAGCTGTTAAAGAGCAAACTGGGAGTCAACTAGGAGTATTTATACGGACTAGTTAATGGCCAGTTAGATGACTAATCTGCGGGACAAAGCTGGCGGGCCGGTTACTATAGCGGGTCGCTTACCGAAAACGTTATCCCCGGAGATCCGGGATTTGGCCTGCGGTCTTGGCAGTTCCTGCGAAACACGAGTGCACAACTTGATAAGTTTGAGAATAAATTGCTTTATGGATTAATAATGTCTATTGGACCTACAGAACATTATTCAAAAGAAGCAAGGATCAAAATAGTTCAGCATTATGTACAAGCTGAGACTGACAAGAGGCGGGAGGTCGTTCCGTTCTCGAGTCCAAGATGAGCTTTTCCACACCGGCACCTATTTTCATAAGTCGTTCAATCTGCATTCATCGCCTATAATAACTTAATGAAACACCAAGAATATATTTTCGATTATTTAGTGTACTACTTGAAGAATCATCGCGGTCGAAGAATAGTCTGTAGATGTCATTTGCCAGTTGTATATGGCAAACAAGAACATTATCACGTTTATGCTAACCGATAGAGTCATCGAGCTAGTGGAGGCATTAGAATGAGGTTTGGCAGTAACTAATGCCGACAAGAGCTTTGTCTAGACTCGACTCTACTCAGTATTTTCGACCGCAGATGCGACATCATCAGCTTTGAAGTTCTCCCCAAGACCAAAAGTGATCTTCTCTCCAATGACCTGGTGTGTACCCTTGTGTCCACCAGTTTTCCCCTTGATGAAATTCTGCACTGTCCTATCTTCTGCCTGACTGTTCGCCTGGATTATTCCGGTTGCCATTGTTGGATCTCTAGTATTTCGGTGCACATCAAATCGAAGGTCCTTGGTCTTCACGGCAGTCTTTGAAGTCTGGTTATCGGCAAAAGTGAGGTTCTTCAAGGCATCGGAGTTCTCGCGTATTTTCTTAGCTAACCCTTCGAATGCGGCTTTGGAGATTTTCGACATTGCTCACTGTTTTGCCAATTAAAATTTGAGAAGACACCAACATATGGATACTTACTATGTGGTAAAACCTATGGTAAATTCGCACAGCCTGAAGATTGTGGATGGTTGGAATTGTAATGCTGAGAAAAGGGAGAGCACTCGTTATATATGTAGGGTAGTCCCGATTGACTAGACTGTATTGCTGTTGAAAATCATCATAACCTATCATATGCCCTGCTAAGATTTACATAGAGGTAATGAAATGGTCAGAGTAGGCACTGGAGGACGAAATGCGTTGCGCCGTCGCTTGGCCATCAGCTCGAGCGATTTTGTGAATCTCTGTTGGCAAGTCACAAACGTTCCAAATAGTTGAAGCTCCCCAACCTGTCTCTTCTGGTCTATGATTTGCAGAAAGAAACTTATGGGGGCGGGTTTTGCTTGCTAGGTGCTTTTGAGAATTCAACAATGCCTCGAGCTAAATTTACCAGTATTACCGTATGATTTACAATTATGGCGTTTGCATGGATTCGTTTGGTAAGAGGTAGAATACGTGCGACCCGTTGTTTTTCTGGAGGGGTGGATTACGTGTCAAATGAACACATGGTGCTTAGTGAGATTCGTTCTTGAGGACATCTTCATTCCTGGATAGATGGACGCTAATGCAAAAAACATCAACAATGTTGACACCTTGTGCATTAGCGCTTCGAAACCGCCAAGAAGTTACACAACCCAATCTTTCTTTGAGAAAGATTTATAATGGTCTGAAGATAAAATTTACAAAATTAGATAATCACTGCTCAATAGACTATCAACTACCGTTGAGTTTTCCTCTCAAATCGCCAGTTGAATCTTGTCACTGCCCTATGCGTTGTTAAGACGATAGTCCTCAAAACCCGAAGCACACCATTGTCTATCTTCTGAGTCCTGTTGCTTTTCGAAAAGATCCAGTGTCTCGTAATTGAGGTCTAGAACACGTTTTAAGGTACTAAGGCTATCACCTTGATTACCTCAGGTTGTATTTTTAAACTGGTTATGTGCTACAAGATCTCAAATGGCTGATCTGGACACAAAAGACCCATGGAAACACTCGAATCCAAGCTTATCAAACAGCAAGAAAATACCGACTAAAACTAGGCATTGTCTTTTTGATCGAGCGATGCCCGGAAGATTATCTAACTTACGCCAAATCGATGAATAATTTCCCAGGGAGCATGTCTTGGGGGTGAATGAGACTAGGCTGAATGGGCCAAGTATCTGATCGGCATACTCCGGATGCGCGATCATCAACGACCTAGGCAGTGGATATAGACAAAAGTGATAGTGAGCCAGAGCATTGCCGTGGGATACTCTTCTAGGGTATTTGCTCATTCTTTACAATGTCGGAGACGGCTGCCACAGATAAGCAAATGATTCTAACCGCCCATGGAATGCCTTGCAGATTCGGAGAGTCGAAAGCTATTATGAAGGTTTCTTTCTTGATGTTCTTTCTTTTATGATAAGACATCGCAATAACCGAGAATTTCGGTCCTGATTTGGGGGAGATGGACTACAGGCCGCTGCAAGATACCAGTAAGAATATGTATTATTTTGCCTAATCTCTTTTGATGAGGGGTTCAAGGTTGTGTCTTACTCTCTGAGAAAACTATTCCTAGAAGGCTTTTAATATAGCAAGTAGATTATCCTATACTTAATATTACTTTTTGAACATGGCTTTTCGTAGCTGGGAAACTGTTCAACGCTGCGGCTTTTAGTGTATCTAGAACTATCTTACACAAGTTATCATCTGTCTTATGCTTCTTTGTACATAGAGCACTATGGGTTTGTATCCAAATAAGGCGCAAATTTGAATTATAGATGAGATAGAATACACAGGTTTAGTCTTCTAAGTACAGGGAAGGCAAAGTACCAATGTACATATTGCAAGTAAGGAATAATATCACGGAAGAAATGAGACTTTGATGCACTGTTATGAGTATAAATTCTAAATCCTATGTATTGCATCTAGTGAGAATCTATGTTCTAGATTTACTAACCACACCTGCTCTCTATCTTGAGCTCTGTACACGTCAATGGCATGCCACATCTTTTCGAGCGGTATCTCTGTAATTCACAGATAATCACGTACTGAATCGGAATCGGACTGTTGGTCAAGCATTCGTGCATCTTCGGGGCGCCTATGCTACAGGGTTTGAGACTACCAACATCATTCATTTTTGCAATCTACACCGTCAGCAGCAACCAAATACAATAATCTGAGTTCTCGAAGTTATACCATTTTTATAATCATTATTCTTATAAGGTCTAGTAACGAGTCCATTACATGTGGGAAGCTGAATCTAGTAGATCTAGCTGGTAGTAAGAACATTCAATGCAGTGGCACCGAATACAAGCAAGCTGTTAAAGCCGGTCAAATCAACAAAAGCTTGCTAATACTTGGACGAGTTATTAATGCTTTGGTTGATAGATCTTTACATGTTTCGTATAGGTAAGGTCTATATCCGTTTTTTAGAAGAAAATATTAATATTGAGTTGAGAATCAAAATTGATAAGATTACTACAAGATTCCTTGGGAGGCAACACTAGAACTTGTATAATTGCTACTGTTTCTTTTTATTAATCAAGTCAGGAAGAGACTGCCTCTATATTAGACTATAGATTTTAGACTAAAAGATTTATAATAGACCACAGATAAATACTTTCATGCCGAAAGATATATTACTCTTAGAGCTGTCTTCTGAGATCGAGACTCTTAAATATAATTTTGAATGACAAGGTATTGTAATAGTATCTATATGACTTCTGAGATATATGAAGACATGATCAAAGAATTTAAGTCTTGGAGTCTGGCTTTCAGCATAAGATAGAAGAGTTACTTGTACTAAGATGTTAGCTACTAAGTTTATAATCTAATAAGAAGGAGATGCATTTAAAACTCTCTTAGGTGAATAATACTATAAACAAGGCTCAGACTAAATGGGAGGGATCTATTGTAGAGATATTAGACATTAGTGAGAAAGTGGGAGCCTAGCGAACGGTCTTATCGTGAACATCCGTCACCAAGAAACCATTAACTCTCTTAGAAACTAAAGAACGGCGAGCAAGAAAACAATCTCCGCAGCGCTAGACAAGAAGTCCCTCTGGCCACTGATTGGTGAGCTTTGAAGGATAGTACCCGAATCCTATCCTCGCACAGCAGAGATCCCATGACATGATTCCTTAGTTTGAGACCATGAAGAAGACATCCACGGTGCAAGTTGATAATATACTATATCTGTTTGCCATCGCTTTCCCGAAGTCGCCAAATAGGCCTAAAATAAGTCGTGTGTCAAGCTCCGACTTGGTATACAACACTCACTTGTCCTCCGAATAGAGAGATTTGCTTTCCTTATGACCTTTGGCTTCATCAAGTGGGGAGATCTTGCGAATTCTCAAAAACCTGTTGTAACTTAGTACTGATTCTTTTTTATCATGATAGATTCACTCACAGCTGGACGTTCTGTAATGCAAGGACATAGATAGTGTTAATATAGCAAATCTCTCCAATGATATGGAGGTCATCTGTGTTTTCCAAAGCCTCGTGAAGATAACCTGCTTCCTTGCGATAGTACCCCGGGAGTAAAGTAACTACTGTCTGCTTTATTTCACAGCTTCGGGAAGATTTAGCGTCTATGCGGTATGTTTTGGATGTCAGCGAACTTACTCAGAGAAGCCTTCATAACGCTCTTCCCACCACTCCAAGTGCATTTCGTACGATCGAAGATACGATCTTACAGAAACAATGCATTTTTGTTCTTTTATACTCGAAAGTTGCGAGACGGCAGCTAAGACTAGCTTTGTTTCAGGCAATGGTCTGTGACTTCCATTGTTCTGTGGGTGCGGGCTCGCCTGGACTTCCTCGTGTCTATAACCTACTTCGCGATCTGGGGTTGTTTTAGCTCTTTGCTTTCCTTTGATCGTCAGTTGAACTTCTTACACCTTTTGCGTGCCTCGCTGTTGACCTGCTTGAAATACTCTTTGAGATGATTGAGAAGCTCAATGGAGTTTTTGAAAAGTCTCTCGCACCCACACTCCCCCAATTCGCAAATTCTCACGATGCCAAGTCAGCTTTAAGTGTGATATACAATACAGAGCATGGTTCTTACCTCACACTGGCACCGGGCTTGTACTTTGGAGCTTGTAATGGCAAATCTGCATGGCGTCTTTCGAAATGATCAACAATGCAGCGAAAATAGTCGGAGCTCATTCCACAGCGAGAACAATAGAAAGACTTTGGGACAATATGTTTGTAGATGATATGCTCGTTGAGTGATGAGCGATGAGTATAGCCCCTCTTCTCGCACCCTCTCCAAGTACAAAAAAATCTTAGTACATTTCTATTCTCAAATTCAGCAATGACGACATTAAAAATACCAGGGAATGTGAGTCTTGACTTACTGCGTATCGCCAATAACTGATCGAGAAGCTATTAAGCTGCTCCCCAAATCTTGAGTTGCTAATCTGAATAGGCAAATGTGAGTTGCTTGATTAGCGACGTTAAAACTGAAGACTTACGGGGCCAGAGGCGTCTGATACTGCGTCTTTGACATTCTCTGAAGATACTTCTGTGTTGGTCGATGGAAAAACCTAAACAGCGGGTCAATCAATGCGCGCCGACAAGAAGCACGTGAACAGCACTGACAGAGACTCGATCTATGTCTATTCCGGAGATACTGCAGATCACCAACATCGTGATGACAACTATGAAGGAGTCTCTTATATAGGAGATGAACGACTCCTCCGGAGATAACAAGACTGGATGGTTGCTCGCCCGTGACGAATGAGAATGACCTATATCCTACACGTATGCACCGGAAATTACGACAGACATGGATGCTACAACTAGAAAAGCCACAACATCACTCCTGGGAACGAGAACAACTAGGTCTGTCCTGGTGCAGGTGTAGTCAAGCGGCATACTTCGCACCATAGTAAAGTAAGCTGGTATGTTGTTCCAGCCCGAATGTCACGCTTCTCTATTTTCAGAGTCCTTCGTTACAGCTTAACGACTAAAGGACTGACTTATCCGCCAGCATAACTAGTGCAAAACTGAACATACGCAGCCAATCTTGCTGAGATTTCGATTATGTTGGTAGGACCGCGCTCAATTAGCAGAAAATCATCCGAAAAACCGCTTTTTTGTGACGGAGTATGCACCATATTCTGGTACAAGGAGTCACTGACTTCGCTATCTTCTTCAAGGATTTGGAAAACCTGTCAATCATGTAATTAAGTGCAGTCAGACGATACTAACCAGATCCAGTCTCACTCTGGGAAGGTATGTGAACGTATTCACTCATGATTAAGACTCCTTGTCAAAGTATGATGAACTTTTCAGTAACCACGATATAAAGAACAAAGCTAGAGGAAGAGCCTTATATAAGAATTAGTACAGATAAATAAGTAGAAAAGGGAAGAAAGGCACTTTCTCACAGATTCAACTACAGATAACTAGCTCATCGAGATGACTCCGGGATATGGCGCCTACGTCAATGTTTTTATCCATGTAGACCAGTACCTCCATCAATCACGGATCGGTACAATAATCGTCCAATTAAATAATCTTTTCCCACGGAAAAGACATCAATGATTGAGATATTCTAGATCTAATCGACCCTTTGACGTTACATGCGGGGAGGAATTTCTCTATCTCCATACCTTATATAACTAATCAAAGATGTCTTCTAATGAAAGTGTCCCCAGCGAACAGCCACCCTTAAATCTCTTTTAAACTTGATCTATGCTTGCCTTGTGAGGAAACAACAAGCAGAAGCACTGGTATACAGTGCTCCTTAGAATTAATGGTCTCAATGATAAAGAGTTGGAACTAAATCAAAGTAATAGTAGACCGATATCCATCCCAATACTCTCAGAACTGTCGTCAAAGATCTCGGTGTTCAGCATCATCGCGTGGATGGTGGTGGTGGCGGTGCACCGGGTTTCTTAATACCTGTAGTATCGTAGGCTCCTCACCGGCAGCATAATCGGAATGAATCAAACATTTCTTCCCTGGCTAAAAACAATCCTATTAATTAACTTCATTCTCTCTATAGAGATAGATGTGATAAACTTACTATTATAATATACAGATACCGGTCACAATGTAAGCCAACAGAACTGGAAATATGGAAGAATTTATAATAGTTCGGGTATGCATTTATAAAAATGGGCACGCCTTGAAGAGTACTTTCGGCCTTGTTAGAACTTCCTAGAAACAGATCATACTACCCCTATTTCAGTGAAAGGGGATATGCAACTGAGATCCGCGTAGCGACTACCATGGTACCATATCGAGACTGGGATTCCCAAGATTAGTCAGGCGGAAACCCGCTCCAAACTGAGGTGGCTAGATAAGCCCTGACTGAGGACGACTGGCCCTTTCATCTAATTTCTCTCATTTCTTTCCGATTGCTTATGGACTCGCGAAGTCTATTCGCCTATAGTCGCAATCCTCGTAGTTGTTCTTCCACTAATACTTGTTGTGGTTCACCCCGACATCTTAGCTTGGCTTAAATGGCCAAATCCCATCTAGGCTTTGCTTCACCATCATAGCGCACATTTGGCTCCCAGATGAAGCGCTAAATGAAACTGATATTAATGTGCATTCGGGATACAGACAGGAACTTTTTTGAGGGCTAGGAAGCTACGCCGCAACTGCCCAGGTTATACAGCGCAGCCTGACATATGTACATGGAATCCCTGGTGAAGTAACTTTTACAGTAATTATAGCTTGAAACCATCGGCGTAGGATAGTGATCTAGGCCAAGATCTGCTTTTCTAGGACTGGGTTTAGTAGATATCTCCCCTCCGCCGACCAAAATAGATCGTAATACGTAAGTTTTGTTGATTACTGCGCGAGGGCCACGAGTCAGGTCAGGTTATTAACTTACTAGGCAACTTGAACTTCAATTCAAAGACCATCTTGAGCAGTTCTATCTGGTGGGTTGTGTCAACTACAGGAGCCTGGCTACTTTTATCCTGAAATTCTAGTCCAGATAATGGAGTATATACTCATCGAAATTCGCGAATCTCCTGTTGAATAACTGCAGAGACATGTTTTTAAATACTCTCAAATAGCTTACGTGCTCAATTTCTGAGTTAGTCTGTGCGAAGTCAAGTTCACATTAGTATTACTTATAGCTGTAACAATAGAGACCCGAATATACTAATGTTGCAGCTAGATCCTTTACATCTCTCTTGAGGCCGAGACTGAGTCCGGGTCCCAGTTAATGATTTGTTTAAACATCGAGGCGCAATCATCATATTTTAGCCGTATTGTCTCACGTCTATGAGTTACCTCACGCCTATGATTACAGGTCGTAACGTCCCCGAGGCATATCGTTAACTGACCACATGCTGAGCGCTTGGTGAAGGAAACTGTGTGGCGCAGCTGGGGCTTTAGTTCCTTAACACAAATCCACATTGTAGATTATACAATTACACTATGATTTGAACAAACCTGCAAGAACTAACCCTCGAGTTTGTTGCTTCAATATACTATTATCTTCTCTCGAATGATGGAGAATGAGGAATTGCTCTAGATAAGCAGTGAAGGACTTGGTAGCTTAGGGCTAAGATGAAAAGGAACGGATATCAGGGGACACATTCAAGTCTTTTATATACTTTTTGGGTCACTACGACAAATATGGACTAAGGAACGCAATGTTAGTATGAAGTAAACATGCTTGATTATTACCTTGGCATCTTCCTTTCAATTCTTATTTCCTAAATGCATACAAGCATTCTCTGGATGACAGAGCCACAGCTGTGACTAGGTCACACTTTCGAGGCTGCAATGCAGCAGCAATTATTCACTGAACAAAGGCGATGGCTATCAGGGTCAAGAACATCATATCTAGAGTAGTATGAAAAGGCAACAAGGGGCCGTATCGCAAGCGGAGGATCATCTGACTTGATGATTGGGTCACTTCAACACTTGCTGTTTACAATGGCGAATGAGTTGCGCAGCCATGGCAATGATTATTCCGAAGTATCTGAAAGGCCTATCCAAGAATATGTTTAATTAGATATTTTATTATCAGTCTAACCCCTTCTCATGAGTTCAACGATAGAGCCGGCCCCAACATTTCCATAGGATTGCTCTTAGAGTGTAGCACACAGGACTAGAGATTTTGACTCGATACTCCTAAGTAAAACTAGCCAGTAGTATCCTTTGCTAGCGTACCACTAGTCATTTCTGAGGTTTGAGAAGGGTCACATTTGCGAATCCTACGAGGGGGCAACAAAGCACAGAGGACTTGTTGTCACTCCAGCAAACTAGCAGCCAATTGTGCAATCCAGGAGCTATTTTCTTGCCTCATTCTGAACTCATCTAAATCTATAGCTTCGGATGACTGAAAGTTGATGCGAATGCGCTGCAAATTGTCGGTAGGCCGCATCATACAGATGAAAAGGATGCAGATAGATGCATAAAGCGGCCTTCAATATAATAAATTACCTTCGAGGTCACCATAGCTTTCGAGTGTCGGGTCAATGTCTACCCAGTCAATGTCTACTCAATGTCTACCCGGTCAATGTCTACCCAGGTAGACATTGACTGTAGACATTGACCCGACACTCGAAAGCTATCCCTAGATGTTAATACCCGCATCAGGTGACCGCGCAGGGGGCCGCTTAGTAGTGCCTTAGGCTAAAAAGTGCGCTAGTGGTTTGCTACGAACCACGTATCTCTGTTGGGCATCATGGAAAACCCCTCCACCCCACCAACAATGCCTTGCCTCGTTGCAAGTCGCGCAAAGCAAACACACTGCATCCTGCTATATCTAAGGAGTTAGCTTGAAAATTATCCCCTGGCTTGGATAGATGTCAAAGTAAGCCACAAGATAACTATTGATATTTTGAAAGTGAATGTAGGCAACAAGCACCCCATGCAATCTACGTTGCTAAAATCCTTCCTACACAGACAAAGCCATCACCCTACGTCGTTATCCGGGCTATGATATCGTTTTCCATCGCTTAAAGCAACAGAAAACTCACTATGGACGAACTTGTGGAATTTCTTCCGAGAGCACAGTGGCGGGGAAGAGGTCAACACACTTCTATTTGCGACGATGATAGAAACCTCGAGCCTATATTAGTCAAATGCGTGTCGGAAATTCCTCTTTCATTAGAAGGCTTCGGTCTGCAGGTTTGGAAAACAACAGGAATTACGAGAATACTGGAAAAAGCGGCCTATATAATCCCGGTGTCTATAATTGAAGGCACACCCCAGATTCTCGACGGACCGCCACTTGTTCCGGGAACAGCTCCCTTCTACTTTAAAGACCAGGCTATTATCTCTGGCTCTCTTTACTACATACTCGCAAAGCCCCCCAGTACTAAAGTACTAAACAATCCGAAAAGTAATACGGAGGCTTGACGAGAAATGGCAGAGTCAGTCATGGAAGGATTTACAAGGGGTGAATTACGTCAATGTAACTAACGCCCACCTACTACACAATAGCATATCAAAGATTGTCTTATGCTTCTGATGTCGCTTCGATAGACAGACCAAGTGTCGCATTTGTGGGATTGGTCGACGTACCCGATTCAGATAAAGCCGATTGGTATTCAATATGACCATTCGTGTACGTTGATCCAATATTCTGGGTCCCGGCTGAAGTTAGTAGAGGACCATTTGTACTCCCTCCAGCACCATGGAGTGAAAACCAAGGGTTACACGAAGCAATTATATCGTCAATCGACATAGTGGGTCTGAAACAATCACCAGTAACGCCAACTCTATCTGCTTCGACTGGACGTTTGGGGAGGTATAAGTAGGGTTCATCTGAAGCAAACACATCTTCCATAAAAGCGAGATCGAAGCCAAGGGAGGGACTATTGCGATAGTCCGATGATTGTGCTGAATCGATGTTGACCTGAGGTTCCTCAGTTTCCCGAGGGCTGGGCCTCGCTGCCTGATGTAACGCGGTGTTGCCTTCATAATAGTTCAGAATCGCAACCCAAGCCTTCTGTAAAGTTTCTCGAATGGCAAACTGTGGTAACGTTTCCGTGTATGCATTCAAAGCTTCGATTTTAATATAAGTCCACTTGTGAAACTCGAATCTATGGCTAGTCAGTCTTTGAAGATGGAAAAGATGGGGTTAAAGGACCTTTTTGCTGCCACATGAGTCAGCGAAAGTATTAATTCACTGTGAGTCAACCTATCCCACTTCCATCCAAACAATGAGTAGCGTGAAAGCCTTTTTCTCCTTGTGTCTTGATCCTTCTTTGGGTCGTCCCACAGCTGTGAACATATGTCGACTAATGCAGAGTTTAGAAAAGTAGAGTGTCGACTATCATGGTCACTCTGTGTTTTCCTGCAACGTTTTCGCGCTTTTGGACTAGAAAGAAGCTGGCTCTGTCTCTTGTAAACTTGTCGAGATAAAGTTACAAGCAATACCTTGCGTCTTGTTGCATCAAGATCTTCCATGCGTTCTAGATCGTGGTAGCACCGTCGAATAATATCTTTATCCGGCGCTACTCCGTCGCAAAATAACTGAGGGCATGTAGTCCAAATCTCAGCACAAGCCTTAAGACATTCGATGTCTACAAGAGCCCAGTTCTTCGTGAGGGACGCGAGGGCTTCTGCTTCGTCAACAGAGAGCCTCTCTCCTTTTCGCGAAACGAAGTTCGAAAACCATGTTTGACGCTCGGAAATCGAGGTATACGGTTTGGACCGTCTTCTAAGTCTTTTGACGAGAGCCCGATGAAGAGATAACAGCTGATTGTCCGATTCCGAAATCTGCTTTAAATAATCACTGACCGCCTATGTCGGGCAGGTTAGCCATGAAAATAGTTATGAGGTAAGGATAACTCACATCATCTCCCGCAGCGCGAGTAAGAGCCACAAGCTCCGATATTTTACAGGAAATAGCCTGCTTTAATTTATTCGAAGACTCTTCATTGCCGGCCATGATCAGAAATAGGGATGACAAAGGTTGAACAAGAAGACTGTAGTTGCACTGGTGGTCTCTGGACGGTCTTTTAATCACTCGCACACGAAAGCGGGGTAAGGCTGCCTGGGTGGTCAATATCTTCCCGGGTAGACATTGACCACCCGAGCGCCTGCGCCTGTGCGCTGGAGCAGTCTAGAAATCTGACACAAACAATCCGGATCCGATGTGGTAAAATTGGATGACCCGCCAAGTCCTCTTGCATCCTAGAGGCAGACTCCTCATGCTACTAAACATGTTTGGCGCTAGGAATATACTTGTCTGGACACTACATATCGGGGGTTTACAGAGACAAAGGCTTTAGCTGTGTATTTAAAGCTGGCTTTGTCCAATTTATGCTTCAAGATACAACATAGGCAATTCCAAGATCTACCCTTGTTTTATTTCTACATAAGCTATATTTCTGTTTCTCATAGCTTGATTATGGTACGTACATGTCTGTCTGTATAATTCAATATAACATCACTAAAATTAGAAAAGAAACACGAGATTCCACTTCCTGAAATTTGCCTCCGAAGTGCGGCTGAATCAGTTCTAAAAATCTTCCAGGTATCATGCCTGAGCAATGAAGCTTTTAGCACTGAAACTTTTCGAAGAAAACTTAATCCCGACATTCAATTGCTTGTGAAGAATTGTCAGGAATTTGGGGAAACTGGTATTCACAATAAGGACATCGCACACATGTTTGATAATCAATCGCTGTGTGATCACGTCCAAAGCATATCTCAGCACCTTTCACGAGATGTTCTACTCAAACTATCCTTCCTTACGTGGTACTTTGATGCGCATGGCTCGGTCTCTACAGAGCTTCGCTACTTTCTTGCCAACCCTGTGGACAACTTTAACCTGGTTTTCGAAAATATTTGGCAGAGTCTGGTCAATCGCTCAGAATACCACAAGACAAAGCTGGAGTTTTTTCAGGAAATGATAACCCTTTTGAAAGAACTCAATACTGCTTTTGTGCATAGGTGTAACGTGATTTATTTCCCTATGTTGAAAGGTAGGGATACTGTTTGCTTCCTACAGTCTCTGTAAGCTTGATACTGGAGGACTGGGCTTGAAAGATCATGAAATCGACAAATAATTTGAAGAGATGTACCTAGTATTTGTAAATATTTGCAAACTGAGATAGGTGGACTTCACGCTAATACATTAAATCACGTGTGTATATCATTTACTTCTCCCCTCTTAAGATCGTGGCATTTATTCCCCTTTCTTAAGTAGACAATTATGACCTCACCTTAGAGGGAGCATTCGCTAGTACTTATCTTGTAAATCAATACAATATGCTTGTTTTGTATCGATAGCGCACTAAGTTTAATTGTTGTATAGTGTCATTAAAGCATGAAACCCTGATCTTTCTCTACCTATGCCTTGCATCGACTGAGGAACCTTAAAACTCCAAGTCCTGATCTCCTGTCCTCCAAGCAGTAAAGATATAAGAAAGAAAAAGACAATCCTAATTGCATGGAATAAAGTTCCAGTCAATCTTCCATTTTCAAAATGTCAAATAGTCAAGATCAGAACCGGAACTTTTTTATACTTGATGACTATGTTTTTCCAAAACCACCAGAATTGATAAAAGCACCGCCATCAGAACAAACAGGGTCTCCAGATTTGACAACTCGATCGGTAAATTTTGTCAGCCAGAGCATGACTCAAGATTCTTATATCAATCACCTGCCGGCGGAACCATTTGTTCACAATCCAACCAAACCTCTCTCTTTGGAGCTTTTGGACGGACCGTCTTGGTATGAGGAAGACGATAATTCCTACCCTGTCCCACAGTGCCTTTCTTCAATTGCCAAAGTTTTCAAGGATATGCTCGGTCAAATAAAAGTAGGTCTTCATCTCTCTGGAATAAGAGTGACCGCTAAGAAGGTACTACAGAAAAGCAATATTTCAGGTCAATCTAGTTAAATTCTCAATATCAGCCAGAATTTGGTTGTCGACAAATTTCTCTGTCTCAGACTTTACTCAAATTGTACTTGAGAGGCCTCTTGCAGAATCTGCGCAGACTGATACTCTTTGACTTTAGCACAGCATTGGAAATGACTATGAAAATTATACCTGTTCGCCTATCATAGTAACCGATATAATCGCAATCTCGTGTTTGATTTCAGATTTCAGGTATTATGAACCCCAGGAACTTTCCAATTAGAATTGACTGTGTCATATTCATGACGTGGTATCACTATCGAGGAAGACATGTGAATAGCAAGAGAAATAACACATACATTGGTTATAAATCCAAACTGAAGTTCTTTCTTTTTACTCTGTATGTAATGACTTGCCTGAAATGTAGGGTCAAGTTCCTGCTCTTGCATATTATTCATACATAGCCCGGGAGCGTAAAGCAGGTATAAAACAGAGCTAAGATTTATACTTACACGTATAATCTGTGACTTATACTAAACTATCTGAGTATTGGGAAGCACCTTGAAATATTTACAGAGTTTAACTTATATAATCAAGTTTTTATAGAGAGAAGTAATACTATCTAGTCTAGTAGACTCTTCGTACTATACTTTTTTTATTATAGATGCCTGACCGTCTGATGGCAGTACTGAAGCTGTGACGTAATATATTAGCTTTAGTTGAGGAGGATTATCAAGCTGAATTATAATTAAAAGCCTTTAATTGTCAATATTTTTCGAGGATTTATCATAAAAGTCATTACATGCCTGCTGGGTGATTTTAGAAAGTATCGGCTATGGATGCAACTACCTTATGTCTTCTTCTTTATTTAATCTGGCTTGTTCTATTCATTCCCTGCTGCGTTTACTTTCAGTCGAGAAGATTGCAGATTCTCTGGACACCAAGGCTTCGAAGGTTCTGGATCAGATTAGCTCCTCAATTGCAGGTGAATATCGATGCCTTGATTCTAAGAATCAAAGATTCTTGGATTGCCTGGCGCCCAAAATTGAGAAGATCTCAGATTCAAAAAAGGTATAAATGCTCCACAAACATCTTAATCAAGCCTCTGCTATGTATGATGGCTGAATACAAAGCAATAATTAGGAACCACCCAGATTATCTAGCATAGAAAAAGGCAACATTAACAAAGCTATTTGTTATACTGGCTACTTTCTATGTGGAATGGATCACACACAAAGGCATATATATTTATTTCAGTATGAGTTGCCTTCCTTATACAAAGACCACTACTGACAAGAGTCTCACAGAACTCTGGTTGCCAGTCGCTTGCCGAAAAGCCTGGCCGAATGTCACCGATACATTCCAGTATACATGACCTTGGACAATATCCCAGCCGGATACCCGAATGATTATATGCAATGCCAGACGATAGCATATTTTCTCCAGCAGAACAACTGTCTTGACTATGCAATTGGACTTAGTATGTTTCTATACTCGGCTCGACATCTTGTTTCCAACAGTAATTCCATATCCAAGAATACCTTTGGCAAATTGCTACATGAGATTGTGCGAGGAAGGATTCCTATACAGAAGGAGACCAAGGCTGTTGTGGCCAGCCTTGCGTATAGCGCTATGGAGTCTCTTGATATGATCATCGCAGCTGCTCCACACCCGGCTTTAATAGAGACGGAGCAGGAAGCGAGAGTAAGATTATTCTCCAGTTACGAAACAGTTGTCGACTTCTTACGTCTTCTCATACACAAAGACAAAATACCTCCGAACACGGACCTGCTTCTTTTCGAGTATACACAATCTCGTTGCCTGGGTTTCCTACACGAGCAATCAGTCCTTTACAGCTTTGGCTTTGGTCTCTTTTTGCAGAATTCGCTATCAGATTTTAAGTTCTACACTTACGATCTTATTTCTGTTATTCGAACGCCTCTTGCATCTGAATCTGCATATTATATCTACAAAGAGTTTTCTATGCACGAGAAATCCCTTTCCTGGCTGGCAGAACAATTATTAAGGTCGACCGAATGGTCGAAGCATGCATGGAAGCTATATCATCTATTTGGGAGTCTCCGTTCACTTCGCCAGAGCCTTGCGAATAAGCTAAGGTCTTTTGATCTTGAGTATGATGCTGCAGAAAGCCTCCGAGAGTTTAAAAAGGAGCTTTTATGGCTTGTCAATTTTGTTGTGAGCGTGTCAGCTAGCCTGGGCGTTATTGACTGATATCATCCAAAAATTCATGCAGTTGTTCCTTATAGAACACCTCAATTCAGTCTCAATGCTATGGATGTTTTTTGAAGGTGTCATCACCCCAGTGTTGTACTGCGCTAATGTTACATACGGTCTCCCGTGCAGATCTTATCGTCTTTCGTCACCACCATCCTCCTTATATGAGTCAACTACTTTATCCCATATCTTAAAGCCATGTTCTTCCTGCGCCCAGAGTAAATGACAAACGGAGGTACTATATATGCGGATAAGGAATGTTGGATGAAAAACTATTTGATAGAGATGTGCTTTGTACAGCTACTTATAAACTTAAGATTCTTAGTAAGAATAATTGTGGATCGATTGTCCGTGTCTTATACAGCGGGCTCGGTAAATAATTCAAATTAGACCTTGCAAGCTAAATAGACACGATCCTTCACGATGCCACGCCAGTGCCAAAGGATAGAGCTCTATACTCCATGAAAACCTGAGTCTGATAGTTCTTGTCTCAACTTTCCATTCGTAACTAGTGGAAGAGTGCTCCTCTTATGTCGTCCCTCCGTTCATTTCGAAACCCCCACCTAACATTAATACTTCTGAGATCCTTGACCTTAATTATAACATCAAATAAAATCAGGATACCCTCTTATGCGACTGCGAGAACCCAGTGCCTAACAAATCCTATCGTACTGCCTTTATGCAATCATTGTTTTGACAGAGTTTGGTGCACTACAACTGTAGTTGTAACCCATGATACATACTCGTAGGGTAGTATTGTTGTGTGAGTAACTATGACCTCCCAGGAGGGGTCGCTGGTGTCTGATGAAGCCGCTGAAGCTTGATGAGTAATTGATTGCTTAGAATGAGTTGCAGTAGCGGATGTGCTCTCAGAATTTTGGTTACTTTTCCGGGAGCTCGATCTCGTAGCCACACAAGACTGCAATGATGGCCCAAGCTGTGATGAAATGGCTGTAAGTGGACAATTTGTAGAAGTATGATGTGATTTCGTTACTTCAGTTGAAGATGTCATCTTCGAACGGGCTTCAGTGGACGACTGCTGCAGCCCTGTCGTACCTCTGTAGACTGATAGTCGAGTCGAGCCTGAGATTTGAGTCGAGGCAGTTGTCTTCATACGTGCAGAGGCTGAAGAACTGGAGGCGGTGCACGCCACCGACGATACCTTTGTGCTTGTACGCGTTGGGGATAGTGTCGAGTTGTGCAGGCCAGCTTGAGTATCTGCACTAACTGCAGAGGTCTGTCCTTCTTGCGATGACGAAGATGGCAGATTAGCATTCGAAGTTCTCGACACGGGTAATGTACTGGGCGGAATTATCCCATCGGATGATACTAGCTCAAGTCCAGTATTACTTGGAGCGTTTGCGGCATAGCTCGTGGTGGTTCGTGGTCCAAGCGGAGCTAGAAACATTATTATCAATATTAGACAGATTATTGGCTCTTCACACCTGTGGTTGACAATGAATCCTCTACCTCGAGTATGATCTCAATATCAATGCATGAGGTATATAGCTAGCTATCTGTCAGTCAAGGAACTGAATGTAAATACTGGTATTTATACCAGAAACCCATTCTGTGTATTGACCGATGTGTTCCAAAGCCAATAGACTGTATATAAAGTAGTCTCTGAGATGCTCTCTGGGATTTTGAATGATGTAAAGCATTCGCCTATGACTTGCTTGTCTGCGTATTTGCTTTCAGTAAGCTCTGAATTTGTCATTAGCTAGAACACATAAAGCTGAACCTGTCTTCTATACTTAAACCAGCATCAATCTCTTCGAGCATCAAAACGTCTGATAATGTCCAACTTCCTAAGCTCGGAGACGAAGTTCCATACCAGGATATAACGCCAGATCCATTGTTGGTCAAATTCTCGAGTGTATAGTGAGGACAGATTGTTGATCCAGGATAAGCTTTGAGTCGCGGCCATAGAGGGATCTGGAACGGTACACGCTGAGTACTGCTGCAGAAATCAGCAGCCAGATCGGCACTTCCTATCGTATAATAAGGCATAAGCTTTTCGGAATCCGCTATTGAAACCCATCAGAACACGATTCTGTCTAGTGCTTTTTATTAATTACAATAATTCCTAGCATATCCCCATGCCCCATGCGGCGCTGAAGAAGCATTGTTGAGGATTTGAAGACCATTAATCTAGAGTTATCTTAGCGATCATCATAGAAATAATGAGATAAGTACCTTGATCATAGCAAAGACGGCATGTGGGATAGCTAGAGTAAGATAGATGCAAAGCAGTCTCATGGTAATGATTGATTGTCTAATTCAACTAAAGAATAAGTACTGATCGGTTAATATCTAGGTGTGAGAATAGCTTTTATAGATTATCAAGTGACTAATCCTATATAAGCCTGAAACAAAGTAGAGATGTATTATATAATATTACCTTTATATATAGTATCAAAATTCAATGATTGGAATTCAGCATTCTAGCTGAACTAAGCAGGCAAAATCTCTGAAATTTTTTCCACATAGATTTCTGTATCTCGAGATGGCTACGGTATAGGAAAAGGCCACGCGAGGTTGAGATTACCATACAGTGCTATGATCGACGAGCGACAAATATCATAATGTTTGTTACTTCTTGGGATACCTCCCGCAAGACACGGTTGGCATCGCGCTCTTACAGCCGTATAGTCGGAAGCTGACACGATGTTAGGACTTGACAAAGTTTGATAGTTTCAGATAGCTTGTTGTGCTGCGGTGTGTACTGACTAGTATTTTACTTGGGTAAGGCTGACAAATTCAGAGACTGGGGCTTTTTCTGAATTACAGTTAGTGCAGATTGTATGGCTCTTCAATTTAGCGAAAATTCATATATGTAATACCACTAGTAAGATAAAGTTTAATATCTCATGATACCTGTCCTAGATTTTCTTTTCTTCCTTGCTTGTATTAAAACGCTTTACTTTTCATAAAGACTTTCGAACTCAAAGAGCTCCAACTGAACCTTGGCACTGTGAAGGTTCTCCTTAAGTTCCTCAACAATCTTTTTTCTCATCATGGCAATGACATCCGTGTTGTAGTCCAGAGCTGTTCTCATGATCACTGACCTTGCTGTTGCAAGGACGAAGACACCACAATCATCACTATTATCTTGCCGTGGGGAGACATGATCTCCAATAGTCCATTCCGGACCAGCCCCGCTCTTATACTCTGTGTCCAGCCACTTTTGAATTTGATGAACATGGTTGTCCCCAAGACCGTGAAGGGAGTCGTATCTTTGAATCACCCGAGTGCGAGGATGCAGAACAACCAGGGTCCAGTGTTGTCTGGTGCAAATAGGCATGAGAATAATATCAACATCTAATGGTATCTGCGAGCCCTTCTGACTAACTCCCGAATAGCCTTGTTCCAGGTTGAGGGTGAAGAAGAAAGAATCAAGAACATGACAAGTGACACGCCCAGTCAAATTTGCATAATCTTTGAGCAAAGACAAGTATGCATAGATAATATTGTCGTTGAGCCATTGTCCTGGCTCACAGGTGCGCAAATCCTCATTAGATATCTGGTAACAGGGCGAGACTCCTTTGTTGACGGGCTCATCTGGTGGAGTTAGTATCTATACTGGTTCCTGATCGGGCAGACTAACCGTCAGCACACATTGTCAAATCAACAGGGTCTTTGATATTTGCCAGTGATCTCATCACAGCTCGGCGATTACCTAGAAATAGTCAGTATTATTCAAAAGACTTTGAGAACTCTCACCTTGCGGTTTAATACGCGTATTCTCAGACCTTGCCTTGGGCGATGCTCTCCAAAGTCTTCTTCCAGGCCTCTGGAACGAAAGTTTTGCCTTCCCTTGCTGTTCGTCACAATTGCTGTGAGCCATGGCAACGGAACTGCTTGTACTTGTCTGATTGTTGCTAAATTTCTCTTCTTCCTGAATTCCGACGCCTGGATTACTTGGCTTCTCATCTAGACCGGCTTGTTGGGAGTTTGCTGATTCTAGAGTATTGATTTCATCCTCGTTGTTGTTCAAATCAGGCATCTCGGTATCTGGATAAAAATTAGAAACATCTGGAGTCTGCGCTACGTTAGGGTTTACCTTTATCTTGAGGCACCGAGTGATTGGCAAGCATACTAGCATCGAAGGGTTTCGAAGACAATGCAGCGTCGATGCCAGATAAAAGAGGATTGCTGTTTTTTTGAATGCCCGGACTAGAATGAGTGGAAAGGGTCTGGGGCTCAACTGTCAGGGGACTATTAAGAGCTGGAGCATTTCGAGACTCAGGTATCGCGGATCGATGCAGCGATACATCACTAGGCATAGGGCGGCAACTCATAAGTACAGCTCCAAATTCATGCAATTTCTCAACAAGCAGCATGAAATCCGATTGTAAAGCAGTATATTTATGTTGCATCTGGATAATTACGTCGTCGTGGGTCATGGTATTAACAGAAGTGTTTCCTTGACCATCTCTCCAGGGAATCTGTTCTGACGGATGCTCGGTCGTGCGGATCAATACTGGATGCTGGGATGCCAAAGCAGACAGCGCACTACAGTGGCCATGATTTTTGTTCGCTATCTTTCCGCATGATGCTTGATGAAGTCCAAAGTCGCGTACCTGAATTTTTTCGTGGCAACTGGGACACGGATGCCATTCTTCTGCACGGTCGCATCTTGTGAAGTGTCGCTGGCGAACCACTGACCTCAGTAGACAGGAGCAAAAGGGACATTGATTCCCACTGAACTTCATTGTGAACGTGCAGCAGATGGTGAGTGAATCAGGAGAACCACCAGAGCCAGACAAGGTAAAAGAGCCAGAAAAGCCAGAAGAGCCAGATAAGTCAGGAAAGCCACTTCAGCCAGGCGAAGCCAGATAAGTCATGTCAGCCAGGTGAGCCAGATAAGCCATGTTAGCCAGGTGAGCCAGGTAGGCCACGTCAGCCAGGCGAAGCCAGATAAGCCATGTCAGCCAGGTGAG